TCTAATAAATAATATCAATGGTAGTGAGTTGTGCGAGGGATCCCGTTAATTATTTACTAAAAAGGAACTAAACTCAATGTAGAGATAATTCAGTAGCTAGATAAAGGATTATTTGATTGTCCACCCTGTATATAAATGGGTTAAAAGTAGTTGCATTTTTGCATGATTTTTTGATAAGATTAGGCGATTATTGAGGATATTTTACCAGAATTGCCAAAAGATTTGAGAAGATTATTTGATCATTTTATTAGAAAGAATTGGGTACATTATATTACTTATTTTTGGAAATAATTTACAAGAATTTCCAAGATTTAAAGGATTGATCAATTTTTTATAAGTTCAAATTTAACGATTTTAAGAATATTATTAATGAATTTGGAAGATTTTAGAGAATTCTTCAACTTTTTAGAAGCTAAAATTTAATGATTTTGGGACTATTTTTAAAGAATTTCCTAGATTTTAGAAGATTGTTCAACTTTTTAGAAACAAAAATTTAACGATTTTGGGACTATTTTTAAAGAATTTCCTAGATTTTAGAGGATTGTTCAACTTTTTAGGAGCTAAAATTTAACGATTTTGGAACTATTTTTAAACAATTTCCTAGATTTTAGAGGATTATTCAACTTTTTGGAATCTAAAATTGAGAATATGTTGATGTTGAGAATATTTTTAAAGAATTATCATGATTTTAGAACGTAAAATTGGACGATTTTTAAGAATATTTTAGAAAAATTACCTAGGTACTAAACTTACATTTTAGAAGATTCTGATTTTAAATTACCATGGTATAAAAAATTCAACTTTTAGTAGCTAAAAATCTAGATACTATTTTCGAATATATTTTGAGTAACGCATACTAATTCACTAGAAAAAAATTAAACAGATCCTCTCGTTAATCCACCACAGTAAATCAAGTCCCTGCATACGCATAATTCAAGCCGCTCGGAACATTGTTTATTGTAGAACAATCGGAACGCATTAGAGCAACTCGAATATTCCATTCCGACAAATAAACTCGAGTCGAGTTTATGGACTGGGAAACGCATATGCTCGGCCTTTAACTGAGCTCTACAACAGTCTCCCCCGACTGATTTACTGGGTTTCGACGGCTGAGTGATGAGCCGCTACCAACAACAGCTCTTATATTAGTCTGGGAAACCTTTCGAAAAGATTATTTTCGAGCCGAACGGGAATAATTCAAGTTATGGCGTTCCTGCAGCCGATGCGAATCGAACCCGCTCGGTTAATACGCGTTCGATTGACTTCGGAAAGAGAATATAAAACACGCGGCGGTGGAGATGGAGTTATCAATGTTAATTATCGATAAATATTGTTTAATGTTTGAGCTGAATAGCCGACAGAGCGAGGCCGGCGAATTCGAAACCTACACAAAGGTCTTGTTTGGAAATCTCGACAATTTTTTCCATTCATGAATATGTGGGAACCGATTATTGCAACTGCAACTTATAATCGAACACAAAAGAATTATCGTTGTTGTTATTATTACAGTTAAAAGTGATGATTTGTAAATAATATATAATAAATATTTTGCGATCATAGGCGGGTTTCTTAACAATATCAAAGGAACAATAGTGATACACATTCTGCTAGATATTTTTAACATATTTTTAACTTGTGTTTAAGAGAATATTCTATGAGCTTTTGTTTGATTTAATATGTGAAGTAATCTCTCAGTCATGTCGAGCTCAACTAGTTAATGCGTAAGAGTGTCACGTAATGTTACGGTGTTTTACATAATGAAAGTGCTAAAACGAAGTTTATTACTATAATAATGGAGAGTTTGCTTTGCTAAAACGATGTTTGCGCGTTTTTATTATTTAAATCATCGTTAGTAATAGAAAATTTTTCCGAACGACTTCCTTAGTTTACTGTAATTTCCTCAATTACGCCCAAGTCGGGTATTATTTCAGCCGATTTTCATGCTAATGATACAGTAATTTAACCGTTTAATATCGATAGATAGTACAGGTAATAGAAAAGCTAGTTCTTATAATAAACTCTAAAATATTAAATACGCTTTACGGCCTGCTAAACCAAACCTAATTAATATATAGACATATTTAATAATCCGCTATTTTATTATTTTTGCATTAATAACTCTCATTATCATGGCGAATAACAACCGGTAATACCGAATAAATAAACTACAAGTAATCAGATTGAGATAGCAGCGACTTCGCCTCGTTTTTTTGATTATTCCACGCCGATAAATATCCACTATTTAATTACGAATCAATGCAAATAACTCAATTATTTTAACGACGCACGTAAGAATAACGACATCGCCAACGATCCAACGAGAAACGAAAAAAATCCGTTCCATTTTGATTCGAAAAACCAGATTTCATTAATTGATTTACGGCTGCAAATTACAATTAACTTTATTCGTTAATGCAGGTGATGAGTTGTCGAACTACTGTAGATTATGAATTTATTATTAATTTCTCCTTTTTCGTTTAACAATTTCACCAGATCTAGTATAACTATTCCATTTTTAGCAGTATTACCAGATCTAGTAACTTGTAAATAAACTGCTCAACAAAAGTTAAGGAAGTTGGCAAATTTTGCGATTATTTTAAAAGTTACAGACTTTTTGATCACCAAATTTTCAAATATGCGAAATTAAATGTTTTTCTCTCATATCTCAGTGGATTTTTTGCCCCTTCCTCTACAACTCGTACTAAATTTGGCGATCAAAAAACCTGCAACTTTTAAATTAATCGCAATATTTGTGAACTTCCTTAACTTTTGTGGTGCAGTATATTTTTTAATAGTGTTGTCCCCAGGACTAGTAGGTAACTCTACTTTTTATACGATAGTAGTTCTTGCTAATCTTATAGTAACTTCTCTATTTTGAATAGTATCATCAGATCAAGTAACTTTGTAACCATTTTAGTTCCTATTTTACAGTTCCTACTTTACTATAGCAACTTTTGCTAATCTTAGTGACTTCTCAAGAGGGTAAACTATTGTTGCTAATCTTACTAACTCCTCGCTTTTAATTTTTGCTAATTTTTAACTTTTGCTAATCTTAGTGACTTCTCAAGAGGGTAAACTATTGTTGCTAATCTTACTAACTCCTCGATTTTAATTCATATCACCATTCGATCCAGTAATTTTGTAACCACTTATAGAAACATCTCCGAGTCTAGTAACTTTTCGATTTCGAGTAGATACCCAACATCACCAGATCGAGTAACTCCAGCCCGTTTCTAACGCATTAAACGAGCAACAACGGCCGTTCTTGTTCTTGTCCGGCAATTAACTCGCGCCGGAAGCGATTCGTCACGTCGCGGAATATCCAGAATATCTCTCGCCTTTCTCTGTTGCCCCCTTTCGATATCCTCCTTTTTTTTTCTCTCCCGGCGAACGCTCTCTTGCCAACTCGGATCCTCTTGTTCTTTCTGCACGACAATTCCACTCCCACGTGCGCGCCGAAGGCCCATTATTTATTTTACGGTAGCTTCTTCGAGCTAATTTACGGCGTATAACGCCGTATGAAACATTACATAAACGCCTATTAGTATAAAGTCGAAGAGATAGTGGGTACAAAATTAAATGGAAACTCAAAGTTGCGTGCGTGATTATAATGTAAAGCGCATTGTAGGTGTATTTTGTATACATTTTGTAGGTTGGAGCGCTTTCGCCATTTTTGCGGAAATAGAATTCACCATTTTTTTAACATTATCCTTTCTACAAATCTAACAAATTTGTATTAAAGAATCTTCAAAGTATTTTTCATTAATCCCCTGTATATACTTCTATATATCTTTCAGAATAATTAGAAAATGAACACAGTGCGCCCATTTAATACCGAAATGGAACATAAATTACATTATACCGGGATCGTTTAGATGGAAATTATGTAATAAGATGCTTGTACGGAGGTTACAATAAGCGATTGTAATTTATTGAACACAATTTCCGTTCCAGATGCGTAGAACAATGGCTTTGATTGTATTTTAATTGATGATAGTGGACTTTTTTTAATCACCTTATTACTAATTACGGTCGATAAAAGCGCGTACAATATCTTGCTAATTAATTAATATACAGGGTAAAAATGATTCGTTTGTGTTATTAATTGAATAATTGAAGAGGTTTTTTGAAGAGAAATTTCATTTATTTATACATTCAGGATACTAAACTTGTAAACGAGCAATGTAGTTTTCAATTATCTGTACAATAATGTAATGAATGCGCGATTTGAGGATGCGAAGCGTGGTAAATTATTGAAGTAATGGGTAATAGTAACCCCGAATTTATAAAATAATTATTATCAATTAATTTAAATTTCTCTATTATTCATTTTAATATCGCAGCTATATTATTTGAAGTGCGTCATTAGAATGTATAGTTATTTATACAAATAAATGAAATAAAAGAACGTTTGCTTTTCGGCGATTTTCCATGAATCCATCAAGCGAATTAATAAAGAAAAATCGGTACGAAAATAGCCGAAAAACAAACAACAACAAAGGTCTTCTTTCTCCTCTCTTTGCGCTCTGGCAGAAAGATATTAGAGAATTGTCCATCTGTCGAGTTCCCCGATACGAATCCTCTTTATTTTTTTCTCTTTGGGCATTCGCAGGTTGCCAAACGCCCACAGTGACTAAATTTACGCCGGCACGGCTCCAATTTTATCCTCCATTCACAGCGATTTTAATATAGAATTGCATAGTTTGCACACAGGACGTTCCCAATAGCGGAACCTCGCCGATTTTTACAAGAAACTAAATTATTTTATTGACCCATTTTATGAGGAATATTTTCGATGCGTAAATTACGTTTTCTTGCATTAATAACGCAAATAATTGCCCGTCCAATAAAAGTGAATGAACGCGCATAACTCCGACTTATTAGCTCCAAAATTATGACAGTTCTTGTAAAATATTTTGTATATACAATTTTACCTACTAATAAAATGTCGAACAAACTTCTAAACGTGTTAATATAAATCGTTTTATTTCAATTTACAGACACCCAGCGCCAGCCAGCAACTGGTCAACGAAGCCCAACAGAAGCAACTCGAGCTGCAGCGCCTGCAGCAAGAGCAGCTCCTGCACCAGCAGCAGAAACTCCAAGAGCTCCAAAACCAAATAACGACGCAGTATGCGGCCGGTCCGCACCAGGGACTCATGTTCCTGCCGCTCTTCGAGCAACTGCGAGGCCTGCAACCCTCAGTATTACCGCCGGGAGTCCACAAACCCCCTATGGGCAACCACGTAAGTTTCATTCTACGCGTTTTGAAGCTCCGTAAAATTGGTTACAACCTAGCTAGAAACGGGAATTTTTTAGTAGACTTAGCCTGATATCTTGTCTTGACTACCACCAAGTAGCATCATTCCCTATCAACTCCAAATTCCAATTTGGACAATTCCAAACTCCATTTTTTGGAGATCACTTCTCTTCCACTACACCAAATCGAATCGACCTCTTGGAGTTAAGCGACGATGATGCTGTAGCAAGGAGGTTAAGAGTAGATATGAAGCTATATTTTCAGAAAATTTCGCGTCTCTAGCTTAACTGTAGCCTATCTAATAGCCATTCAAAGAAGGAAGTGTTTAATTTTGAGTTTGTCTTGGTGTAGATGCTCCCGCCTCACCAAGTGACGAATTGGCTGTCGGCGCAAGGGCACCTGCCCCAAATGCAGGAGAAACGCTCGCCGCCGCCGCTGCCGACGCCGTCGCCGCCGGCGCCGCCGCCCCCCTCCGACCCCGACGCGCCTTTGAACCTCTCCAAGCCGAAATCGTCGAGCTCGGGCTCGGCGCGATCGAGCCCCCAGGGCACGCCGACGGCGCCGCCGCCCGTCGACCAGCCGGCGCAGGCGACGGCGCCCAAGATGCTGCCGCCCGCCGCGCTCATGTCGCGGTTCCTGCCGCCGTACGCCGGCCTGCCGCCGCAGTTCCCGATGGGCGGCAAGGAGGCGGCCGGCCAGGACAAGCAGCAGGCCCATTTCCCGCTGCACATGTACATGCCGCCGCCCCACCTGGGGGGCCCCAAGGAGGAGAGCATCAAGGAGGAGAGGGATTTCCTGCACCGTAAGTTATAATAGAAGCTCGCTTTGATCTCGCGGTATACTTTCGATGCCGCTTTTATTAGTTTTCTTTTCGAATTGTTATCTTCCATCATCTCGGAATAATATATGGTTTGAGTTGATGCCAAGAGTACAATTAATATTTACGAATAAATATGATATATTGACGCTTTTATTGATATGTTAAGTGGATGTTGTATAATATCCGATGACAGTTTCTGGTTGTTTTTTATGTGCAGATCCTAAATTAAGAAATGGCTCAATACAACCAAATTAAAAATAACTTTCCTTTAATCCATACAGAAATTATTAACGAAATATTTTCCAGTGTGGAACGCGCCCGATCCGAATTTCAAACTGGAAGCGGACAATTCCGATAAGGCGAAAATCATCAGGCAACCGACGAAGCGGGATAACGAGAACAAGCCCCACATAAAGCGCCCCATGAACGCGTTCATGGTGTGGGCGAAGGACGAGAGGAGGAAGATCCTTAAAGCCTGTCCGGACATGCACAATTCCAACATATCCAAGATACTGGGCGCCCGATGGAAAGCCATGTCGAACGCCGAGAAACAGCCCTACTACGAAGAGCAGAGCAGGCTCTCCAAGCTCCACATGGAGAAACACCCCGATTATAGGTACAGACCGAGGCCGAAGAGGACTTGCATTGTCGATGGTACGACAAAATTGCTTTAGAATAAAGAATTCTTTATTGTAAATTCGCCCGTTTGTGTGTAGGTAAAAAGATGCGAATCTCCGAGTACAAGATGCTGATGAGGCAGCGACGCCAGGAGATGAGGCAGCTGTGGTGCAGGGATACGGGAGACATGAACTTCGGGCTGCCGCCCAACCAGGAGATGACCTCGCCGGCCACCTCCACCTCGGGCAGGCCCTCGGTCTCGCCCCCCATGGGACTCATGAACGGCGCAGGTTCGTATCCTTCTCAATACATCATTGATACTCTCCACGAAATCCCTTCGCTCTTCCATTAACCGACTCAATGATTGGATTTTTTGTGGCTACAATTGATTGTTTTTGAAGAGGATTCGAACGTTTCGGATCCTAATAGTCTCAGTAGCTAGTTGTTGGGTGCCAAATGTCTGGTGATTGCACGAGTATCGTTGATATTTCGCAGGTCCGAGTTCTGAGGGGGGTTATTACTACCCGCAGGATGGGGCGTCGCCGGACGGGATGGGGTTTTCGCACGACAGCAGCATGGCTTACAGCTCGAGTCCGAGACGTGATAACGACTGAGCCTGGCTGTGCGGGGAGAAGACATTCCCTCGTTGGTACTGATCCGGGCGCGGCGATAGCTGGAAGGTGTTTGATAAAGGGCCGGGAGGAGCCTTGTAAAATTGTGTAAATTTTTTCGTAACGACACGGGACTATTCGTTTGTGCCATTCGCGAGACGAAAGGAAATATACCAAAAGACTATTCTTACTCGATGATTACAAAAAAAATGGTGTTGTACTTGTATTTGTTATGTAGATATATTTAAGAATTTTTAAAGTTATTTATTTATATCTAGTTATTTTTTTTTGTTTTTATTTTGTAAATTCGTGTAGAATTTTATTGATAGTTTTTTTCGCATTATATTTGCATTGCCGGTGAGCTTTTTGTTGATTTTCAAGTCTCGCTAGTTTTTGTTCTATATTATTTATGAAATTACCCGTTTATTTAATTAATATTTTAATCGTTTTTTGAGTTTTATCAAAACCGATTTTATCCAATTATCTAAATAGCTAGACTTCAATTGTACACTATTGTTATTCGCATTAATTTTGAAAATTTTTCTGGAAACTCGAATAATCAGTATTGGTTTTATCGATGCAAAAACGAAAACTTCTAGTCTTCTGATTATGGCGAAAATGTGTAAAAAACTTAGCTTTATTAGATTAATAAATTTCTAGTAGTATTTTTTAAGGAAATGGTACAAAGAATTTTAATAATGAGACGACTAGAAAATCGAAATTTAATCAATTTTTTAACTATAACTAAATCGTTTCACCGCCGGATGGAAATTCAAATAAAATCAGTTTTTTTTTTAGAAATTCGAGTGGATCGAACGATTTTCCATGGCGATATTAGAAAAGTGCAATGTAAAACTATTTTTTTTTGTTTTCCAAACTGTTGATGTTTATATATTTTAATGTAAGAGCCAGTACGTTAAGGGACATTATTTATTTTCAACAGTTTTTTCGCTAGAAATATGTACAGTCAAACTCATCGTAGAAATCATAAGAATATTTCCAACGTTGAATTCCGCAATTATTCTTCAAAATTTTATTCGAAGGTTTTTCTTCAAATTTGCAAATATTTTATTGTTTTCTACGAGTGTAATTAGGTATATACACATGTTATGTACTTAGGTATATCAAGAAAGTTATTTAGGTATCGAAATATATACAGTCGAATTTGCTATTTATTTTTTTCTTTTCGAAAAATAGTGAAAAATATTTTTCATATTTACAGGAAATACTTGTTAACTTTTCTATCGAGTTTGTTTAAATTTTTTTCGAAAATTTATGAAAATTAAAAAATGTATTAATTTATTCTCAAATAGGTAATTTGAAATTAGCAGCTTCTTAATTACTCTTTCCTAAAGTTTTTTATTTCAAATTCATAGAGGAATTTTCAAAAAAATATAAACTAACTCGAGTTTTCATTGTACTTAAGTAACTCATTGAATGAGTGAAAATTCGCGAAAAACTACTACTTATTATACTTTGTGATACCTACTTCTATTAGTTTTTTGTTCCAAAAAAAATAATCTTTTTTAAACCGAAGAAAATTGTAGATATATACATACATTTCCGGTGAAAAACATGTAAAAACGTGATTACTCTATTTTCCGAAAAACAGTGAAACTTTTCGTCTTTGCTCGAATAGAGGATTGTAATGAATTTATTAATAATTGTGCCAAAAATATAATAGTATGGCAATTTTTTTTATAATTTTAACAATAAAAAAAATTACATTTGTATTTTTAAAATTCAGTTTGTACCGAAAGCAATTTTCAAAATTCTAAACTCGATTAGGTGCATCCTGCGTACATTTAAATTTACAAATTATTTATTAAATTATTTCGAAAAATATTTTTATTATTTTTTATATCTCCCGCCGTACTTTAATTGTAATCCAATAAATTTCTATTATTTTTTATACGCGAGAATTTTTGTGACAAAAAAATGAGACGTTCTCTATATTAATTATTCCATAATATTTTAGACGGCTAGTGATGAATGTATGTAAAACCCAATTATCAATGTAAAAGTTAATGTTAAGAATATACCCGAAAAAAGGCCACATCTCAAATACGTTATTACTATTTATTAGAAGCTAGGCTCATTGTTCTTTCCTGTGCCAAATTAAAATAAAGTACACAAAATGTAATACGATTTGTTTTATTTACTTATTAATAAACACTACAGCTTTATAGTATAATTAATTGCTTGGATTATAATTTCGATTCTATAATCAAATAATAAGGTGAATTTTTTGAAACTCTTCTTCTTTTTTAAATAAGTCACTTATTAACGGTGGCTGTTAACTATACTAAGAAGAGTCAGCATTACCAAAAAGAATGACAATGACAGATTTGACACTTGACAGTTTCATATATGTTGTTAAACAATCAAAACTGGGGCATAATTGCCTTTTTTTAGTAAAATAAAAAATAAAATGATATATAAAGTACATATTTAGTATAAAATGGATTGTAATAGAATCAAAACCGTTAAATATTCGTTAAATAACAATGAAATGTACTTTTACTTCTACATAAGACAGAAATATGTGGATACAGTGATTAAATGCTCTAATGGGGCTATAAAAGTTCACAGCACAATAATTAAACATAACAATGTTTTCAACAACTTATTATCGTCTTCAAGAAACAAAAATGTAAGCAAAAATTAACTTAAGTAATCTAATAACTCAACGAATGATTCTAGGTACATGAATTGGACTTTTCCCAATTCTCTATGGAAGTAATGAGGGTTGTTATTGAGTACATTTATCGCGGGGATTCCAGATATTTCAGGGAAATTCAAAATCAAGTCGAAAATGCAATAGATTATTTCTTTAACGATGCCAATTCGAAAGTTACGAGTACTGTTGCAAATAGTAACAGTCTTATTGAAGTTCAGGCAAGTAGGATTTAATTGTGAAATGGACCTTTTTTAATTGATCATTCGTTTGATTTTTAGGAAGCCGATGTCGAAACAATCGTTTTGTCAGATAGTGATGATAACGAAACTCTTTGCGAGGTAATAATTGCCCCAAAATATAAAGCCCAATTAGAAAATTTTGTTTTGTAGGATGTCGAGAAAGCTAAAGAATCAACTTCAAGTCCACCTAAAACCAAAAGAAATGATCATCGGATTACATCAATACATAGAAATAACCATTCACCGCGTAAAAAGTACAAAAATCCAGTTGCATTTGCTCGAGACCTGATAAAAAATTCAAACAAAGAGGATAAAAATGAACTTCACAAGCCATCCCATTCCAGGATTAACCCCGCTTCAAATACAGTTTCTTCTTCCCAATCGCAACAGCATAAAAAGTCTGACAAAAAAGATTGTTACATAATTAGTGATTCAGAAGGAGAAGATAAATTACAGAAATCCTCCAGAACTGAACAAACTCAGAAATTAAATAATAGAAATCAATCCGATATTGTTTACGAGTCGACTGATGATGAAGATTCGGTAACATTGAAAATATTGAAAGAAAACCGAAGCCGCACGAGGAAACGCAAAACTAGTCGCCTTAAATTCACTTTTCAAGTGGAAAAACACGATGAGAAACAATTCTTTGCTAACAAAAACGAGTCGATAAGTAAAAACAGTGTTCAAGAATCGGTGAGGTGTATAGAAATTGAGGAAACTTCCGAAAATACAGCACCAACACGGAAGATTATTATACACAAATCAACTGTTATAAGTAAATCAACAAATAGAGAACCAGAAATTGATGAAGATGTAGAAAATTCAACACTAACACAAAACAAATATTTAGAAAATCCAGTTCTTGTAGTAGCTTTGGACAGACTGTCATCTGCAGTTTTCAATAAGTTTATCGAACATTCTCCATCTGATGACACAGCAATGGATTTAGAAAATACCTCAAGAAACGAAGAATTACCAACTAGTCCTTCGAATGGAAACGAAGCAATTGTGAATATCTCTTTGCCGGATTCACAGTCTAATTCGCCCGAAATTGGTGGGAAAATTGAAAATATTTCAAACGCAGAGGATGAAAATGGTGTAAATAACAAGCATTTCAAAAAGAAAGGCAAAAAAATCATTAAAACCACTCCAACTAAGGTAAATTTGGGTCTTTCGATAAACCTGCGAAAATATTCCAGGTGCAGGCATTGTCTCGAGAAATACCCGAGAAGTCGAGAATTCTTTATACACGAGAGAAATTGCGAAAAAGTAATGTGAAATGCTTTTGTCGAATATTTTTAATTCAATTTAATTAGTCGAATCCATTTTTAATTTACAATATTTTAGAAACGAAAATAATCGTGAAATTTTTATTGTTTCTTTTTTGCTATGTAATTTTAAATTCTTTATTTCCAAACTATTTTTAATACATATAAAATTCACGGGGCTTTAATATTTCTCTATAAATCCCGAACGTTCAATTTAAAAAATGGAAAATTGCGTAGATTAGGAGTTATTCTAATAGATGGAGAGAAATAAAAACAAAATTAGAGTAAAACAGTAAAACGAAATAATTTATTTTAATGTTTAAATACAAATAGAAAAAACGTAAAGTAGATGCCTTGAAGATCACAAATAATACACTTAATTAGCTTGTTCAAATTTGCTCTCGGAAACAGCTAATGAAATTCCCAATAATTAAGTTAAATTGTCAATTTTAGACTAGATAAAAACGTCCTTAATCGAGAACTTCACTCAGCTACTTAACTTCTCCTAACACTAAACTTATATTCAAATAATAAAAAGTAAAAAATTTATATAATATCAAATCATCAGATCTACGTTATATGATCATCTCGACATCTTTACAAAATAATCTATTACAAATATTTAACGCGTTCAACACGATAAGTTTTTCTAAGTTCTCGCGATAAAAAAGGTAGCAAAATTATGAAAAAACGTAAATCTAAAAGTACTCTTCGAATTCCACCCTTAAGTCGAACGTGTTAAGGTAAATATATTATTTTTCTCACTACTTCTAAGCACTAACTAAGTTAGTGATAATGGCTAATGGACGGTTTTTATTGAGACTAATAAATCGGTTTTAAGTGCATTAGGTATTAAGAAGATCTCGTTTAGTCAAACTCGTTACATTACAAATTTGTACTAGAACATACACGTAAAAAAATGGTTTCTCTAAAATAACGAACACACGAAATACAAGAGGAAAAAGTACAAAAAAAATTAGTCTTAATCTTAGGTCTGATATGATGTGAAATGCATCTATAAATTCCATTTACAACCTTAAAAATATTTCACGGCATAGTGAAATCTGAAATGAACAGGTCGTTTAAATGCAATTTACCAATTTCTCGTCTCTACAAAGCACCTTAACTCTCAAAATCCATTACAAAAATACGTTTTTGCGTCCCATCAACGACAATCGAGAAAATAACACCACAATTGCATCGAAACAACCCGTCGTAATGCCATAAAATCAGCTTAATCTTTTTACATAGGCACTGTAAAACTCCTACCGCACTCTCGAAAAAATATTTACAATTTTACAAACGAAATTATTGTCAGTGAAAGGGCCAACAGAAGGGCGTACATCGATAAAAACATGCCCGTGGCGCCGTTGTAAATGTCGCAGTAGGGACATTGACTGCTGCCGCACACTTGGCAAATATCCAGGACGTATGATGATAAGGCGTCGAATATCGTTTCGTTGAATCGTTCTGTAATATCACAAAAATGTATTACTGTAAATTCAAAACCGTGTCTTTTTCGAGATTTATTTGAACCGAAACTAACCTGGTGCGTAATAATCGTACACTCTTATAGGCAAATATCTCGACATGTTAGCTACAGGATGCCATCTTTCTACCGTAAAATTAACGCAAATTTCCTCATGATCGAGCTAAAAAAGAATTATATTACATTTATCGTATATTTTAGAATGCATTATACTTACGAAATCGAAGTAAAATATCACTTTTCTTTCAAAGAACCTTGCCCTTTGCAAATTCCTCACGCGTTCCGATAGTATGTAAGCGTCCAAATCTTGTTGCTGTATAATATAACCGGTCGGTATGGCTACATCGAGAACAGCCATACCGGATCTCTCGGATTCGTACAAGTTATTCCACCTAATAAATTAATTATGCGTCAATCTACCTAATTAAAATGCTAATTTTATTTACCTCTGGCAACTGACGTAAGTGATGTGAGACTGATTTCTACCGTAGAAATACTGCCTGGTCCACAAATCGAACGAAGTCACCGGCGGTTTGGTTTGGAATCTCTCGATATCGACGTTGTACTGCACCCTCATTTGCAATAGGGCGTACCCCGTACCTTTGGCCTGCACCTTAACGGTACCCCAAGCATTCGGTATATCCAAGTACTGCAAATTCGCCCAGTTTTTCTCGTTTATATAAACCACCTGCGATTTTCCGGGCAACGCCGTCGCCTCCACCGTCACCGATATGCTCGATATATCTCGAATCCTTTGCGCCGACGTATATTCGATCAAAGCCTTCATGGCGTTCGCTGTGTCCGAAGTAGAGGCCCAACCGCCGTCCGTTAACCGTTGCGTATTCAGCCACCTGACGATGTTATCGACGTAAATCTCCTGCCTGGCCACGTACACCATCAACCCGTACGCGGTCGCTTCGATATTCTCCGAATCGTATTCGTAAGGCAACCGAGGCAGCAGGAACGGCCGTTGGTTTTCTATCTTGTATGGGGGTTGGGGTATTCTTTCTCTGCCCCAATACATCAGGCCGCCTTCTAGACGTTGCCGCCTCGACAATTCCAGGAAAGCCGTTTCCGCGTTGGCCGCCTTGCTTCTCATTAGCGCGTAGGCCACGATGGCCACTTCGAAGGGCGAGCCTTTTTCTTTCAGCAACTCCATGTTTTGCTCCAGCCACCCGATCGCCCTCTTCGCCGCTATGGCTACCTTTGAACTGAGACCACCTGGAATAATACGTTTGATTTAGATCAAGACAAATACCCTTTAAAAACATCTCAAAACCCCGCCAGAACACATTAGAAACTTCCAATATCCCCGAACAAATCCGTCAAATACTTACTAGTCAAATCTTTCACGGATTCCAACATGATGAGAACGTGAGCGGTGAGCGTGATGTTCCTGTACCTGATGGGATCGTTTTCGAAATTCAACGTCGAATTGTACTTCCTGTCCGGCAACCAGTCCTCCTCCCAAAAGGCGCCGTTGCCGCTCTGGTGCTGCAGCACCCAATCCACCGATTTGGCGATGATGGCGGGATCGATGTAGATGAAGTTCTCCCATTCGTAGAAACTCGCCTCTTGGAATATCCTCGCCACGTACGCCGTCAACCACACCGATGAAACCGATTGATTCCTGGAAATTACCGTTATTTATCGTTGTACGTAAGGTCTCGCTCGCTTCGCGAGCTCGAGTAGACAATGGGGGAATCCAAAAAGGCTTACCAATCGCTTCTGAATGTACCGAAAGATCCGTCGGGTTTCATGAACGAGAGTTGCCTTTGATAGCCGATGTTCAGATAGTGGAAGGCCTGCCGGCTGAGAGTTTTGTTCCGTATTTGAGTGTACCTCATGTACAATATAGTGTACATGTTCACCGCGAACGAGAATATGTTTTGTTCTCCGGAATCCTGCGAATAATGGAAAGTTAAAAGATCGTTTAAGAATTAATTGGTGAGGTTTACCATTGGTAAGCTGAGCAACGAAGTGGCATTCATGGGCATCGTCGGGAATACTGCACCAACTACATCTCCTACGAGGGATATTCTGGCCTTGTTCGAACCGTACACGTAGTAACGATCGTACTCGTAGGGAATTATGGGGGTTTCGGTGATGTTGACGTGCATGTATTGGAAGGAGTAGGCTCTGTTGCTCAGATCGATCAGCATCGATTGATGCCTGTATTGCGGGAGACCGTCAGACTACAACGCAAAAAAAAACAACTCAAAAACCAGGCCATTATCGAACGTTTCTCTTATACTAACCTCAACCAACAATTGCCTAGTGATCTGGTCTTTTCCTATAAGAGCAGTGGCGTAAATAGTAACTTCGATTTCGCCTAATCGTTGCGGAACTATCGGAATGTACACAACAACAGCATCTTGAGCCTGCAACCAACGATTATTAGCCACCGCTTACATTAATTAACGAAATACATTACCTTTATGTAAATGAAGAATTGATGTTCGCCGTAAGAAGTACGCGGATTGTACGCTCGAACAACTCCGTTTTCTTCTACGTGCACGAACTTGTAATCGGGCGAGCTGGTCAATACTACGGTGGCCTCGATATCGTCGGTCATGTAGTTGAAAACCGACACTCTTATACCGATCTGTTCGCCTTGCATGCATCTAGTAGGCATCTCTACGTTGATGAAGAACGGCAACACTCCGACGTACTGAAAAATTCGATTATTTTAGAAATTTAATTGAAATATAAAGGGATTCAATGCAAAACGCACTGTATAAAGCAAGTGTACAAGGATTAGCACGAGACTAAACTAGTAGAGCATAGTTTGTGTGAAAAAACTGGTCTCTGACTATTCGGTTATGCGCAACACACCGAAATTGTAATGTCTGAACATTTTTCTTACCTCTATAGCGTTGTGTAGCATACCGAACCCGCTCGATGGGCTCATAGAGAACGCGGATATCATCCAATGAGCAGGTCTGGCCGGTACGGGTATATTAAAAATGTACCGTCCATGAGGACCGATGTTGACGTCTTTCCACACCCAAACGTTTTCGTATTGCCTTTGGATCCTGTTGAATCTGTATTTGCGGAACATCATCAAATCCGTCGCGTTCTCGTAATTACATCCGAGCTCGTCGGAACCGTCGGAGCAATCGTTCTGGTAATTGCATCTCGCGCGCGTCCTGTAACATTGCCCGTTGAGGCACTCGCTGTATCCCAGCGTGGCATTGCAGAATATAGGCCTTCTGGGTAAAACGAAATCGCTGAAGACGACCAGACCGGCGAACTCGAACGTTCTGTTGGCGTCGATGCCGAAGGTGTTACTCGGAAAATGTACTATTTCATCGGGGTAACCTGTAAAAATGATATTGATAGATATAAACTCGAGAATTGCGGATGTATTACCTTCGTGGGAGAACCAGAGGTGTTTGTGGGTGCCGTTGGTGGCTTCGTCGAATGTAGACATTTTCGAAATAACTTTCGCGTATGTTAGTTCGTTACCGGCTTGCATCGTGTAAAACGAACGATCGATTCCTGATATTCCCACGTAAGAACCCGGTTCGCCGTAAATAGCCACTTCCACTTTGTGACCCGTTCGGGCTTTCTTGTTGTTGATGAACACTTTGAACTAGAATAGATTTTTTTAGACGTACATTTTGACTGATTGTGCATATGGATCGGTTACCTTATTTCGACTGATTCCGTTAACGGGGAATGTCAAAGTGTCCACGGTTAGATCCGCGTTGTGGCCCACGTGCCACACGACAATTGTGGCCACGGGGGCCATCTCGGCGCTCAAAGCTATGGCCATCGTGCTGACGTAATCGCCCATATCTTGGTCTCCGGTTAACAAAACGATACCCTTCGATATAATGAGGTAGCTGAATTTCTCGATGTAATAGTTACTTCTGATGTGGAATATCATATATTCGCCCACCTAAAATTGTTCGGTAAAGACTACGGAATATTCGTCATGTTATGAAGTTACCTTCGGGTCTACTGTACTCGTTATGACTTTAATATGTTGGTCTGTTGCACTGTAATGAGCTAACATGTCCAGTTCTGCAGTAGCTCTTTGTCCACTATAGCCGTCTTTAAATACAGCTCTGATTTTAATAGTATCTGAAACAATACAAAATGTAAGTCAAATCTAAATCAACTATTTAGAAGGCATATTAATCGATTTTTGAGCATACTTTACAAGGTTAATTAGAAATTACTTACGCATTCTACTAAGTTCTTCGTACGCCCTCGGCCCGCTCACTCCCAAATCCCTTTTCAAATCCACTTTGTACTCCCACACGCCGGGATTCGCGTCCGATTGGTACAAGATGTGAGGAGGAACCTCCCTGGAACCAGCTCCTCTCATATCGACCGAGGTGTAAACTTCCAGTGCGCTGTTAGAAAGTATCGTATTTTCCAACGGAGATCCGTCTTGGTAACAGGCCACGACCTTAATAACACCGATAAAATGAATACAATATTCAGAATTTTAGTAACGATTTGTACGTACGTATGTCGTTATGGGCATTCCGGGTTTAAACACCTGCGGGGAGCCCCCCAGAAACGATAATTTTATGCTGGAATTGAAGATTCTCGCCGTGGAAAAACCTTCGATGACTTCCTCGAGGAACGGATCACCCACTGTTGCTGTTATAACGACTTCCACGCCATCTAAAGTCGGTACGTAATGTAATAACTCTTGAATCGGGTATTTGAACTCGTACACTCCTGCAAACTACAAAACAAAACGAATTTATATTTACACATATAGGAGTTTATGTAGCAATTACGTTTTTCATGCTGGGAATGGGCTCGTAATAATCCCACGGGCGTTTGATCCAAAACGGCAGCTCCTCCTCGAAATTGAAATACTTCTCAACGAGAGGCCTGTTGTAATTATAATCGCTGTCGAAGTTATCGAACAGAGGTTCGTACGGTTGATTGTTAATGTCGTGAGGCCGGTTTTGATCGTAGCGATTTTGATAATCGTAATTCTTCGGTCGCTTTCGGTGCTTCTTCAAGAAACGATCCGGATCGATCGGTCTAATAGGCCTTACGGTCGCTTTTAGGGTTAAATTCCCGTGCACCGGAGCCCCGCTAGTGTAATTCGCCATGACCGTTCCGTAGATATATTGTTCGGTGTTCAAGAAGAATCCCGGCATTGTCACGTTCACCTACAATCATTCATTAATTAAGAAATATATCGCATACGATTAATCGACGAATGCAAACCTCAAACCGCGTTTGGTAGTATTCTTCAACTAAAAACGTCGATTCCTCGACCTGCCCCTGGGCGATAACTCGAATTTTCCATTCGCCGAACACCGGTTGATCTGAGAGTTGATAGTCTAAGCTGACTGTACCTAAATTCGATTGTCTGGAGAGCCAACGTTTCAAAATATACCCGCTGGGATCCAGCATGTAAACGTCCACGGCGTCATCGAAGGCTTTTAGCTCCGTGTTTATAGGTATGGTTCGAAAGCGCACTGGAAATCAAACAAATTAACCGCTAATTTCGCGTTAATAGAGTTATTATGTACCGGTTTCGCCTTGCATGTAAATAGGCTTCTCCAATTGGATGAATATGGTCATGGATCTTTGGGAAAAGGTCAGTACAGTTTCGTTGACGAATTGAGCACCTCCTAGAACGTCCTCGTACAATCCTTCTACTCGTAATTTGTATTCACCGGGAGCACTTGTACTAGGCACCTGAAATAACAACAAAAAATTAATTGATCGTTAAAAAAATTTGGAAATATTACTGACCCTCATTAGAAGGGTTTCGGGTATGCCTTCCTTGGCTTTCTTGTGGTCCGCAGACACTTCCACTCCGTTTCTTTGTATCGAAGCCCTGACAGTCAGAGGCTGTGTTTCTTTAATAACAGTTGCCGAGACTCTGTACAATTGTCCGGGCCTCACCATTCTCGACGCCACAATGAAGTAAGTTCTGGAAAATACAACTATTATTCCTGGAAATTACTTGTAACGAAAGCTCCTTACGCTTCTTTAATAATAGTTGTGTGGCTATCCACAGGCCTTCTATCGTTATTGAACACGTTATTCCTCCACCCTCCGCCGGGATATTGGTTCTGATTGTTGTAGTCGTAATCATTTTTACCGCGATCGAAAGTGTCCGGTTGAACGTAAGGATTCTGGCCGTAAATATCGTTTCGATTGCCCTGATTGTCTAGGGGATTATAAGGGTTATCCGGATTGGAAGGCTGCGCGTAAGGATTAACGTCCGGGTATCTGCTCGTTGTGGAAGAAGATATGGCGTCGTAATTCGTAAGAGGGTTATCTTGAACGCTGATCTCTTGCGCTGTTGCATAGCAGATCATTAGGAGCAGCACAAGGGGCATGTTCTTCTCGTGTTTCATTTCCTCGATGGTGCGGCCTAGATAAGAAAAATGCGATATTTTATGATTCGTCTAGTTGGTTTTGTAAGTATCTTTTTAGTGACTAGATGACTGCTGTGTAAAAGACCATACGTAAATAATTAGTTCAACGATCTGTAACAAACTTTTATTTAGTTCGGGAAGCGCGAGAATTGCCAAGCAAAAAGCGAACTTTTAACAGTCTATTCTAAATATATCTCGAGTCAAACGAAAGATAATTACATTGAGTTTTAACAGACAATTCTCATTAGTAGATTAGAAAAGTTTATGATTAAAATTTATTAAAAAAAAATAAATCAATGAGCTTCTTGTGTATTTGATTTATTGATTTATCTAGGAATTAATTTTTTATGTATCATCCAGTTATTTATTTATATGCTGGCGCAAGTTGAAATTAAATATTTTTAGTGAGTAAATAAATAAAAATTAATGATTGTTTTGATACTGTTAATTAAATGATAAGAAATTTGTTAACATTAAACGCTTTCTTTACTATTCTTAATGTCAATACCCAAGTATATTCATAATGTATTCTTTCCTTAACAGCGATGACTAATAATAATTTAACGCTATTCGCAAAATACTTTTTTAAGTAGGGCGTTTCCAATATTTAAACAATTTTAAACATTACAGGTAACATCTAGAAATCTTATGAATATCTTGTTAGAGTTTATAATGAATTAAATTAATTAATTTATTAACAAAATAATCCTAATAATAAAATTTTATACAGTGAGTCATAAATTACAACAATATTTAAAAAACAAGTTTTATAAAATTAAAATAATATTGAACATCTAAAATAGAAATCACCTCGCAGGTAAAAATTACTCTATTTGCAATGACTAAAGAGGAATACACCCAGGTTTATTTATTTTTGTTTTTAATAAGTACACGCCCAACGATAACCTACCAGTGCAATACTTTCATTAAAATTTACCTGTAATTATAGGTGGATAAATCGGCTTCTCGGCGATTTAAATTTTCGTAAATATCCACCGGTAGTAAACAAACATTGGCGGCGTAATCTTATCAATTTTGTTATCGTTTTATCATTCATATATCACAACAAACATCTCACCTCCATACACAACATTATAATTACACGGGAAACGAGAAATAACAAACTGAAACGGTAGAAGGGGCAAAAAGGTACGTTGATTAGGTCACCAATCGCCATGACGAAAATCCCTAGATTAGTCACCAGAACTTTGACAACTGACAGATTTGCTGAAACAAATCTACCAATGGCATTTGTTTGCTTTGGATTTTGTCAAATAAGTAAGTAAAGGTGTAAATTGATTATAAATCGCTAATAGTTTTCAATATTATATTTATTAGTTATTGCTACGCTATAGTAGCGAGTACATAAAACTTTCAAATTTAGCGGTACTTTCGAAGAGGTGGCGTCATCTGTAAATGACAGCTTATAACTGTCGTTGACGCAAGTACAGAAAACGCGAAATGAATCATTCCCTAAATTTGTCACCAGGAATTTTGACAGCTGACAGATCTAATAATGCCAACTTATCAATGGTGTCAATGGTGTTTTTGTTTGGTTATTCCGAATTCATTACAAATGAAATTTAATTAAAACCCACCGAATTCGAAGCGGTATTAGAGCATATTTCCGTGCGGCTGCCGCACCGATCCCGAAGGCACGATGGACTCCCGAAATTCCGCCACGAAGAACGGCAGTGTGGACGCCGAAAACCTCGACCTGAGCCTCGACACTGGCGACGAAATGAAATTAGACGAGGTAAACTACGAGAGCGACGTGTCCTCCTCGAGCTCCGCCAGCTCCACGGCGCCCACCATCAGCTCGGCCAGCTCCGATTCCTCGGGGAAGGCGCGCCGCTCCCGGCGCAAGGGGGCCCGCTCGAAGGACAAGAGCGTCTCGCCATCGAAGGAGAAAGACAACAAAATCAAATCCTACGACTATATCACCAAGATAAATTACTTCTTCCGCGACGCCAGGTTCTTCGTCATCAAATCGAACAACTCGGAGAACATAATACTGTCCAAAGCCAAAGGCGTGTGGTCGACGTTACCGCAGAACGAGGCCAATTTAAACAAAGCCTTCAGAGAGTCTAGGAACGTCCTGCTCGTATTCTCTGTGAAAGAAAGCGGAAAATTCGCCGGGTTCGCCCGCTTGCACGGCGAATCGAGACACGACGGATCTCCAATATCCTGGGTCCTACCCCCGGGATTATCGGCCAAAGCGCTCGGAGGCGTCTTCAAAGTCGACTGGATTTGCCGCAAGGAATTACCATTCGCCAACACTATGCATTTGTACAACCCGTGGAACGACGGCAAACCCGTCAAAATCGGCCGGGACGGCCAGGAAATCGAACCCAGAGTGGCCGAAGAGCTCTGTCGCCTCTTCCCCGAAGACGACGGCATCGAATTACTGCCGATCCTGAAACAAGCCAAGGAAGCCTCGAAGAAGACCACTTTACGCAGCCGAGACGGCCACCGGCACCCCAAGAGCCGCATGCCCATCGCAGCCCGGCCTTCCAGCTTCAACTTCCGCGGCAGGGGCTCGTCGTACTCCAGACGGAAATACTTCCTGTCCAGGGGGCTGAATACCAGGCGATCGGCCTCGCCTCGGGCCAGGGATCGGTTCTCGTTGTTCTACGAAAACCGGCCTTACACGGCGGCCGCGGCGGAGGCCTACGTGGCCGATTACATGCGGACTATGCAGCACCAGTTACCGCCGTTGCCGTACGTTGCGCCGCCGGGGCTCTACGGATCGTCGGGTTTCGATAACCTGCCGCCTCCGAGGTATTACGACGGGCTGCCCGTTCCTGAGTACGCTTCGGCCAGGCTGGGGTCGTATTCGGAGAAGCGCTCGTACGATAGATCGGTGGAGGAGTTTATATGGAGGACGAGGGACCGTTCGAGGGACAGAGATCGGGAGAGGGAATCGAGAGACAGGCACAGGGATAGGGAGAGGAGCAGGAGCAGGCACCGGTACAGGGGCAGGAGATGAAGGAGGTTCTAAGCTTAAGTCGATGTAATTTAGTATTTTAATTGTGGAAAAGTATGATTGGAATTCGGTGTCGCCAGAGAGCCCCTTCTGTTTTGTATTTATTTAGGATCAAATCGACTGGGACGTTTTTTTAGTGCTTCATTATCGTTTATATTAAAGGTCTTATATTAAAAGAGTACTTTATAAGTCTTAATTTTTTTCGTACGTTCAATTCGAAAGGACTGATAAGTGTTTGTGATCGAACTGATTTTCGGTTTTATTTAATGAAAAACATTTCGCTGCGCAGAGGTCGAAGTGTTCAAAGACTTAACTCAATCGCAAGGCTGTGTACTTATACGATTATAATTGTCTCTGTATATAATTTTTGTACGTATTTATAAATATTTTTCGCCGAGTAATTTGTATGAAAAGCCCTTCAGGTACGATAATAGTTGTATATTTGTTTCAATAAAACTTCGCCAGATGCATTTTTTTCGAAATATAATCTTCTGTTGGAAAACGTTTGCTTGTAAAAATACTGTTTTTTTATAATATTTTGGGTGTGAAATGTTGTTTTTCATTCAAGTTTAATGCAAATATGTGATGTTTTATTTGTAACTCAGAGATAGAAGTTTAACATGTGCTTAAGGCGCATATACAAGTGTCAAGTAGCTAAAGCAAGTTACTAAATCGAGTTACTTGTATGGTGTGGACAACTTGATTTAGAAGTTTATATCGAATCAAATCCAGCTGTTTTACCTTCCAATTAACCAAGATAAAAGTCCTAAAAACATGTTTTCCAGCAGAAGAATATTTTTGAAAATTGTACTATCACAAGCTGATCATTCTTTGAGCTCTTATTAGTCTCATTTAGTAAGAAAACTAAATAAATCTTGGATCTACAGTAATGAAGTACTGGGATTTCCACTCTGAGCAGATCCAGGCAATGGTTCAACATTGGAGTTGTCATCTTGTGAAGATCCAGATGAACTATTTCCACTTTCAGGTCTAGGCAATATGTTTGCGTTGAGTTCCTCTTGATGCAAAAGTTCCTGCTCCATGATGACTTGGGCTATTTTCCACTTCGTTATCGCCTGTCTCCTTCCGGAAAATGTTTTTATGGTCTTTGCGTGGGCCAAGAGAAGACAGTCAGTGGCGTCGTACTCTATTCTTTTTTTATTTTTAAAATATTTTAGCATTTCTCCTACAGAAGACAATGGCGTTGTGTTGTAACGCTTTTTGCCGGTTCTGTTATTTGCAGCTGGTTGTGTGGCATTTAAAACTCGTTGGTTCGTTTCTAGAGGATCCATATTTTCTACAATATCTAGATTTTCGATATCTAGATTTTCGAAATTAGCCAATTCAGTTTCAAATTTTACGTTGGATTCTATTTCAGTTTCCTCGAGAACGCTATTTGTAGAATTAATGTCGCTGATATTAGAAGAAGTTTTGGGGTAAGCCACGTAAGGCCGAAAAGGCTTCATTTGCTCGGCCCACAGCCATTTTTTCGTGGTATTTCCTGCTTTACTATTGGTACACCTAATATATTTTGCATATGTATCCCGTAAATTTTTCCATTTTTTTCTAATATCTTCACCTAGAACGAAATAATTTATTTTACAGATTTCTTGCCACCGGTGAGGCCCTAGTCGTCACATAAGTTTTTAAACGCCCTATAAATGAACCATGAAAAATGAAAATTCAGTTTAGTTTCATTTAGTAAAATGTTTGGGCATTTTCGATACCAAATTTTTAACTTTTAAGTGCATTATTAACAAAGATATCATAGAAAATACATGTGATCGTTTTTCCAAATATTTTCAAAAAAAATTAAATAACTTAAAATGGTGCGTTTATCAGAGTCCAGTAAGGGGCCCCAGAATCCAAAAATGAAATCAAAAGTTCCTCTTCAGGAGCTCCAAAAAATTCTAACGCACGGCTACCGCGGAAAACCCCCGGTATATACAGGGTGTATCTAAATAACACCGAAAAGAGGTGATTCTGTTAATGGGTGATTTTCTGATGAAAATTAAGGTGTTTAAACTGTAATTGAATAATAAACAATTTCAGTACCTAGTACTTACCATTTTCATTTAATTCATTACCAATCTCATTCCATATTTTCTCTTTCTTCCTAATATTTTTATAATCATCATGTTTCAAGTCGTATAAAATTGGGTATTTTTTAACAAATTCAATAATAGCTTCCGTCTTCGACATTTTGTTTTGCTAGCAAAACAGGAATTTAAATCGCGACAAAAAAGTCGTTGGAAAATCGCAATTACAGCGTCAAAGTGGAGCGAATTTTTCGCCACGAAATAATCGCAACGACAGCGAATATTTCGCGTTGGCTACGTCTGAGGGTGCCTTGATATGTCAAAAGTCAAAAGTGACATTAATGACACTTCGTATGACAGAGGTTTAATAGAGGCGGGAATCTACTTTACGGTATAGAGGTGTAGTAACGACTGTTACACAATAACTGTTATTTTTTCAAATATCGTTCTACTGATTACTCTTCCCAATTCAAATTCAAAAAGTATTTATTGTCTTTAGAAAATTACAAAATCAATAATAGAAAATATATGTATAAGTAGATTATGTGATGTGTGTGATGCGTATTCAATTCTATTCTGAATCTATACATTGATCTATGTAAAACTATACTCTCTATTCTACTCTAATTTCTTATATTTTACTCTACTCTCTTCTAAACTACTCGCTCTTGACTCCATTGCACTCTCTTATATTCTGCACTTTTCAACACTCCACCGTATTCCTCTACAGTATTCAACTACGCACGTTAATTTCAAGATAAATTAAACGACGCATTTAATTTCGTATGACGTTCAAATTTAATTTACAAATTTTCGGATTATTATTTAAACAAAACAAGATAATGTAGATAGGTCTAGACCTGCAATAATTTGCAGACACCTAAAAGGTACAACCAAGTAAATACCAATTCAATTATATTACAATTAAAATTTTTAAACAAGAAATACTACACCATTAGCGTTGTAATTAGCTATTTCATTACCACATCCAGAATTCTAGGTATTTTTTTATATATTTCTATCAATTTTTTATTATTCAAATTCAGATTTATTTACAGTGCGTGTAATTTCGACGGTGAGTTGGGCTAGTACATATTTTTTAATCGAATTCAAATATCTAGAAGGGAGTTTTGTCAAATTATATTGACTCACTCTGTATATATCCTATTAAGGCGATTGAATCAAAGAATAACGCATACATATACAGTGTGGAATAATAATTTTTATGAAAAAAATAACGACTAATTTAATTTTATAAATTCATAGGTTTTTAAAACTGTTTATAAGTAGATACATAGGTACTAAAAAATTAATTCAATAAAAAAATCCTCACGAAAGAGAAAAAATTGTGTTTTCCCTCGTACATTTTCCCGTTTCTCGTTATAATTTTGCCCACAAAAAACTGACCGAAATCATAGCCTATTATGTAATTTTTCAATTACATTAGTTCAAATAATTTCAATTAATTAATTCAAATCGTGTTGTCACTTAATTTTGACCTAGCGCACGTATTCTTCTTTATAAACACTGTTATTATTATTATCTTGTTTGACGAATTCGGACAAGCGTTAAATATTTTTTATTTATTATATTTCGCTACTTACAGGTTAATTATATAACGTATCAACATCAAAATGATCGATTGCAAGCCGACCGAGAGAATAAATTATTCCTATTTCGTAGCCATTTCAGGTACGTCTAATAAAATATTAATACAATAATCTACTCGATACCTCTATACTCAGATCTCGAAGTAAAGGTTACATCTAGATCTACCCTGTATTAAAATCTAGCACCCTACTAACAGAGCAGATCTAGATTGCATCGCTTACAAACGCATTTATTTCCACAGTAAACTTCATGGCGGTCCTCGCAGGAGTGGGCTTCTCCTGGTCGTCCCCCTGCGTTCCCAAACTCTCGGGCCAAGCCGACCCCGAGCACAACCCCCTCGAGCACCCCGCCACCATCCAACAAATCGCCTGGATCACCTCGCTGCACAACCTCGGCTGCATCATCGCCCCGCTCCTCTGCGGCCCCCTCACCGCCAAGCTGGGCAAGAAGCGCACCCTGCTCGTCTTCGCCGTGCCCCAGCTCCTCTCCAACGTCGTCCTGATGTTCGCCGACGAGGTGCCCCACTTCTACGCCGCCCGGTTTCTCATGGGGGTGGGCACCGGCGGCGCCACCACCCTCATCCAGGTGTACGTGGTGGAGGTGGTGCCGTCCAGCCACCGCGGCAGGGCCTGCAGCTTCACCAATTGGATGGTGACCCTAGCGCAGGATTTCGTGTTCGTACTCGGCCCGTACGTCACCATAAAAACGCTGGCTATGATTTCTGTAGTGCCTTCGATAGCTTTCTTCGTGGTCTTCGGATTGTTTGTACCGGAAAGCCCTTATTACTTCGTCGGTAGGAGGGAGTTGAAGGAAGCTGAGGCTATATTAGTGAAAACGAGGCGGACTAACGACGTTAACGAAGAATTAGAGAAAATCGTGAAGTATCTAAACGAAGAGAAGACCGTTAAATTCTCGTTGGGAGCCATGGTGGCTTCTAAAGGTGTTCGCAAGAGTTTCGCGCTGGCTGTTGCTTTGACAGTGTTCCAGCAATTTGCTGGTGTGAATTGCGTGTTCGCGTACCAACAATCGATCCTGGCAGAGTCGGAGTCTTCGCTACCCGCCGATAAATCGGTGATGGTGGTGGCTTTGATACAAATAATCCCGATGGTTTTGATCACGAAGCTGGTGGATTCGTGGGGCAGGAGGAAATTGATCATGCTGTCGTACGCCGGGGAGTTCGTCGCGCTGGTGGCGTTCGGGGCGTATTTTTTCCTGAAATCGCACGGGGTGGATGTGAGCTCGGTGTTCTGGTTGCCGGTGGTGTGTTTGATCGTGTACATTTTTAGTTTTAAATTGGGTTCTGGACCGTTGACTTCTACGATTAGTATCGAGTTGTTTCCGCAGAAGTACGGGTATATTTTGACGTGCGCTTCGGCTTTCCTGACGCATTTGATTATGTTCCTGGTAACCTATGTGTTTCCCAGTGTGTGGACGATGTTGGGACTGGAGGTGGCTTTCTGGGGATTCGCTGCGGTGGCGGTTTCTGCTGTAGTTTTTATTTATTTTTTGATACCGGAGACGAGCGGTAAAACTTTGGCCGAGATACAAAAGGTTTTGCTCGCTTGAAGGTTATTTAAATGGACAAATAAATTAAATGGCCTGTATGTATGTATACAGAGTTCCTTTTTTATGCTATAACTTAAAAAAAGCGATGAATACGGGTCTTTATGTATTCTATTTAATGTAAATATAGTAGTATCTATGTAGTAATTAAAATAGAATGGAAGTAAATTAAAAAAACTGCTTTTGATATTTTACTTTACAAATAATCACATCCTAAAGTATCGGCACTCAATTAATTAACACCCTGTATATCGCATTAAACCAAATCCTTTGAAGATACAATCTACATAAAGAAGAACCAAAGGAACCCTGTCATTTAACACATCAACAGCGACCGAAGATCTAATCATGTGGACAATAAATGCACCATACTGTATACAGATAAGTGCAAATTTGTACCCAATATGGTCAACTCAATGTTTTAAACAAAGGAAGATTATTAAAATAACTAAATAGAATAAGAATGTTGCAATCCCACAACATCACCCTTTCTTTTTCCTCTATAAGAGTCGAATGGAAGTTGTCTTTGTTGCATCCAATAGACCATATTGCGTAGAAATTTGCACTTGTCCGTATACACCTTGCTCCATTTCCGATTGAAACATGATATATTTCTATGAGTGGAACAAAGAAAGATTATTAAAACGACAGTTGTCAGAGTGAAAAGTTGCAATGACACAAATGTCACTCTTTCTTTTTCCTTTATAAGTGTCTAATGGAAGTTGTCTTTATCGCACCCATGGGCTATAGAACTTATGTTGGGATCAAAAATGGAGCAACGTGTATATATACCTCGAGGAAACGGAAAAAATGCACGGTGAAATAAAATAGGCGGGTCGAAGTCGAAACTATTTCCCGAGTAATTAGCTTCGGTGCGACAGCGCTCTCAAGGTTTGTTACACTTCATTGCCATGGCGAGCATTCAGCTAGAGGAAAAAAAAATCCACATATATCAGGCTAAAAAACTGACATACCTGTTGTAGGCGAGGCTTTCCTTATTATAAGACATTACGAGACGGCGACTTGTGCAGAGAACTCGGAGATTATATTTTTTTTATTTCTCGTTCATTGTTGCAATTACACGACGGTAACGGCTGATTGTGATATTCAGATACGATATCGACCTATAAACATTATACAGGTTTTATGTATGTGTATTATGTATTATATTCGGTTGTTTGATTTATTCCATCTTTAATGGTTATTGTTTTGCCCCATTTGATAGTCCTTTGTGGTTCCTTTATATATTCCTTTAACTCCTTTTTGGCTCATTTGATGGTTCTTTGGTATTCCTTTATGGTCCTTTTTTGGGGCTCTTGATGGCCGGTTTTTAGCCCTTTAATGATCCTTGTTCTTTTGTAGTCCTTTATAGCTCCTTTTTGACTCTTTCGATAAATTGAAGGTTTTTTTACTTCTGAAAATCAGTTCCAATTACATTAACATTCACATTGTTTGTTAATGAGACAACAAATAATAAGTAGCAATTATTTTTTAGTCTGGCTATCGAAGTCATCGATTCCGCTGGCTGGATTAACAGTAATTTCTTTCATATTATTCGAATAAATAATTAATCTCTCGACGCGAGTACCTAACCGTAATTAAATCGAATCAGTAATTGTAAATAAACTTTATAAGTATTATCAAGTAATTGAAAAATAATCTGAACGAATAAACGACGAAAAGTTTTATGAATAATTCGATTAATTTGATATGTATTTTGCATTCGCAAGTGCACGAGAAATTGACATTTACTAGAAACATGAAGCATAACAAATATCACACTTATTATCTAGAAATTGATAACTAGAGTAGGTAATTAATAATTACCATTTTTCAATCACGTTGTTGATATGCGTGACTTAAATTTGAATAGGTAATTGGCCGATTAACCTAAATTTGAGCCTAAGCAAACGAATATATTGTTCAAAAACGCATGAATAAGGAAATTAATGAAATATTTTGGATTTTTTAATCCAAACGATCGGTGATAAAAATGCAATAAAATCTCCGCTTTACTACCGCATAAATTTACTCGTCGATTCGTGAAAAATGTTATAGACCTTGCATTGCACATTTAAAGGAAACTAAAAGAGTATCAGGTAGGTGTCAGAGAGCCTTGCTACTCATTTTTTATTGAACAGTAATTGAAAAATCGGAAAAGAAATTTTTGAAAAAGAACCTTGAAGGAACCAAAAATGATTACGCAGGTTCGCCCAGCCTATAATAATTTAGAGATTTTATTAGTTTGAATTAATGAGGATCAATTAAATGTGTCAATATGCTATTAATATACGGTTATTTTTATGTCACAAAATAGAAAATTCAAATTATAAGAAATTTAAATTTCTTATACTAAATAGTCCTTATTCCTTATATTAATTGGTGTCTAAAGGTCGCTTGAATAACAGTATTCCCAAGATAAAAAATAGTAGGTACATAATTCACATTTTTTTAAAAAAATTAATCGCTAAATTCGAGCAATAAATGACAAAACCTGAATTTAAAATTGAAGTAAATTATGCAGTGAAAGAGGTAAATATCGAGTGTTCCGCAAATCAAGGTTTAACGGAAAATATTAAAGGAATTACTTATTGAAAATATTGCGACACAAGAAACCCACCTATTTAGATCGCAATCGCAAATTTATAAACTAAGGTTCAGCTTGAAATATATTTTACGTTACACATCATCCTTCGAAAGACCATTTAAAGACACAAACTCCGGTTTTAATTATAGGCGGAATCGTTCATTGCCTTCGATTTTATTTTTTGTTAAATTTACCAAAATTGAACGTATTTATTATCGTACCTATAGGCAAATTTTAGGAGGTAATTCGCCAATAGAAACGCATACCTAGGATCGGTCCTATTCTAATTTCTGCTTCCAAGGAAACAGAAAGTACGGCTGCTAATGGAATAACCCTCCATCGAATGATCTATATTCTCTTCTGCAACGTGTGGGATCGGTATTAAAAATACCTTTATACTGTTACATATCTGGGAGGAGGGTGTGGTGTCTTAGTATAAATAGATCGGACAGGTTATAATTCCTTCACATAATTTTTCTAATTAATTGCAACATGTTCGTAAAACTGGTAAGTAGTGATTTGAAGGACCTTTAACAAGTGCCAAGTGATTATTGTTGTTTCGAAAAAAAAAAAATTAAGTGCGTGATATTTTCGGTGAATTTCCCATACAGGATTACCAACCATAGAAAACACAACCGATTAAATTTTCCTAATTTAATACAGTGAAGAATAAATACGGCGATAATAAATCTGTAACGTTTTCCGCAGGTAGTTTTGGCTTGCTCGTTGGCCGTCAGCCAGGCCGTATGGAATGGCCCTTTAGCAGGAGGCCAGCCGGCCCATCTTTACCCAGCTGGAGTCAGCCCGCAGGCCTGTCCCAACTTCCCCAACTGCAACAACCCCGCCGTCGCCGCCAATCCCCAACAGCCCGTCGCCCAGCAATGGAACGCCCAACCCCAATGGAACGCGCAACCCAACCAATGGAACGCCCAACCTAACCAATGGAACCCCCAGCCCAACCAATGGAACCAGGTGAGCAACTAGAAACATTGTTGAGTAAAATTGAATGCATGATGGGTATTTTATTAGGGTCAATACAACCCCGCGCCGGTGCCCCAACAATGGAACAACGACGCCCAAGGCAGGTTGAACCGAGGCGAGTACATTGGAGACGGTGATTACCACGGCGAAGGTCTCGCTGAGGCTCTTGCACCAGGATACGGTCAGTATATGAATGTTTCTACCGGGTTCGGCGTGTGTAGAGAGTGTAATGTTGTTTCGCTTTTGCAGAGAACCAGCAGATAATCAACAGTTGGGAGAACTCGCAAGGCCAACAGCAACAACAGTGGAACCAGGGAGCGCCGCAGAACGCCCACGGCGTGGGACAGATACCGGCTGGCGTGGACGCACGCTCGTGTCCCAACTACCCCTTCTGCTCGTAAGGGTGAAGCCGCCAGGCTGACGACGTGTTGCATCATTTCTTTAGCGTAATTTCTCCTTATCGTCTTCGACTCGGGCGCTTCATCGCGCGGTTTTTTTTTCTTTTTCTCTAGGCCACGACGATTCCTAGACGAGTCGGTTTTCAATTCAATAAAATAGGTTCAATAAAAAGTTAAAAGGGAACATTTTATAAATGTATAAAAGGAAAAAACAAATATTTTTTTGGTGTATGCAAATTTGTAAAATATTTTTTTTTAATTCGATTGATATGGTAAACATGATGTATTTATATTACCTAATAAATGGAAATTGTTAAAAGAATTATTTCATTCGTAACTAGAAGATTTTTACTTTCAATTTAAATTTAACAAAATTACAAAATATACTGCTCCACGAAAGTTAAGGAAGTTCACAAATATTGAGATTAATTTAAAAGTTGCAGGTTTTTTGATCGCCAAATTTAGTATGAATTGTAGAGGAAGGGGCAAAAAATCCACTGATATGAGAAAAAACATTTAATTTCGCATATTTGAAAATTTGATGATCAATAAGTCTGTAACTTTTAAAATAATCGCAAAATTTGCGAACTTCCTTAACTTTTGTGGAGCAGTTAATTGAGGAATTAGAAATAAATCTCTTCAAATTAAAAAACATTCTTTTATCGATTGAATTGAACAAACATTTAATGCATGCAATGATTTTTTGTACCAAATTTATAAAACAGCAGAACTAATTTGCATCACAATCTAGAAAGCAACCCGCCAGCTGCAACAATAGTTTCGCCCGTTATATAAGCGCCATCATCAGACGCCAGAAAAGCTGCGATTCCGCTTATATCTTCGGGTTTACCGATCCTGCAAAAGAAACCAATACAATACACACTTATACCTCGGATATTACATTAAAAAAAATCACCTTTTTATGTTCATTTCGCCCACATAAGTCTCTTTCATCGGAGTCAAAACCTCAGCGAATCTCGTTTCGATGTACCCGGGCGCTATACCGTTCACGGTGATATTGTAAGGCCCCAAATCGAAAGCTTCCGCTTTGACGAGACCCAGCAGGGCCGTCTTGCTCACCCCGTAAGCCCCCATATCCCGAAAAGGCCTGAAGGCGGAGACAGAAGAGGTGTACATGATCCGTCCGGCCTTGCTGTTTTTCAGCAAAGGCAGCGATTCTTTCGCCAGCAGAAAGGCGGTCTTCACGTTGACGTCGAATATTTTATCCCAGGCCTCCTCCGTGCAACCGAACACGTTCGTTATGGATGGATTCACGCCGGCGTGGGACACGAGGATGTCCAACCCGCCCAGTTTAGACGCCTCTTCCAGCAGCTTCTGCCTGTCTTCCTTTTTGGCCACGTGGCAGGTGAGGCCCGAGACTTGGTAGCCTTTGCTCGAAAGCGATTCTAGGGCTTCGTCGACGTGGGCTTGTTTCCGGCTGCTTACTACAACCTTAGCGCCTTCTTGCGCCAGTCTTTCGGCTATGGCATAGCCGATTCCTTTGGTCGAACCAGTCACGATGGCTACTCTTCCGGCTAAACGTTTGAGCATTTTAAATCTGATTTTAACAGCACTGCTTAACACCTCACTCTAACTGTAAATAGGTTACGCCGAATAGGTTGATTGCTATTGTTTGTCGCCAATGCGAAATTTCAATTAAACACCGGAGAAAATAAAATTAGATAAAAATTTTATAGAGAAACGTTATCGATAAAAATTAATTAAAAACTATTCGCGGTAAAATCTCACGGTTTGTAGAATAACACTTTTACCTCAGGCGAAAAGAGGGGAGAATACGTTACCGGTATTCGAGTTACCGGTATTCGAGTTTCCTTAGTTTTCTCCAAATTTTGAATTAAACTTATTTAAATATTATAATATATTTCTTTATTATACAGCAATCTAAACTGTGTCTATGTTCGAGCGTCTCTCCACAGTTCGATTGATTCTCTCTTTCTACTGTTTGCAGCGCTCGAACATGGACACTCTGTATAAAAAATGATTTTATTTATTTCTATTAGGGTGTGTAAAAAATTAAAAATGCATTGTTAAATAATGAAAAATGCTTAAAAATTATTATTAAAACATCACAATACAATAAAATATTCAATTTGCATAGTAAATTCATTTCAAAATTTTAATAAAACTTGCATTAAAAATATATAACTGCTCGTTAACTATTTTAAACAACCCTTCTACCATTCGCTGGCTAAAAAGTTATGAGACAACCGTGATATTCTACAAACCGTGGTAAAATCTAACTTAATCGCATTCGTATTAAATTTATATTACACAATTCAAGAGGTTTCCATTACATCCCCGCCGGGTAATTTGGTGGCGGCTAAATAGGGATTGTCTATGTAACTGGAATTGCCGGCCCCTTCTTCGCTAGTCCTCGACTCGTTCAGAGTTTCCTTTTTGACTTCTTCGCCCTCTTCGATTCTCTTCTTCTGGTTCTTCGCCTTGTCGTGGTGCTTTTGCTGTTGCAGGATCTGGCTCTTCGGGTCCACGTCGAGGTCTTCGGGATCGAAGATCTGGTCTTGGGGCAGCAGGGCAGAGAGATAGGCGGGAGTGCTCGGTTTACAAGCTATCACTAAAATCGGACAAATTGTTAGTACTGTAATTTGTTGTTATTTAATTGTTATTTACGTGGAAATATATTCGAATCGTCCGTATCGAACAAATTGTGAGTGCTGTTGGTTTTGGCTAAGAATTTCGTGAGGGCTTTCTCGATGTCCCTTTTCTGAATGGCCGCTTTCTCTCGCACCGATTCGTAATCGATGATGGGTTGTTTGTGTGTCTGAATAATGCAATTGATTATGCGATGAATTTAGCTAGTAATTAATGCACTTACGGGGGTTCTAACGTAGGCGTGGGGATCCGGAAAAGGGGGCAGGTGCTGCGGAATGTGCGAAGACAGAGGTTGCTTGGAACCTGCTGCTAGCATGTTGAGCTGTTTCTGGGATTGTTGGGGCTGTAGTGGTGGTAATACTAAGTGTTTGGATGCTTTCACGTAATTTTCTAACGTTTGGAAGTTGAAACCTAAAAATGAAGTTGTATGAGATTGTAGCAAGCATCCATAAGAGGCCAATAATGGGGCTGCTTACCCATTTCTACGAAACTCAAAATAATGTCGCCTAAAACGGGCTCGACGCGACCGGATAATTCGCAGTAGCATTTAGTTAGATAGGCTGTTTCGGTTAGAACTAAAAATTAATTAATTAGTTTAGGTTTATTCAAAGTTTTTCGATATACTCACAAGCCTGCATCATTTCTGTTAGAGTTCCTAAACTGTCTTTCTCAACTGAATCGTAGCCATTTTCCAATAGCACGCTAGAAACGGCTGCAGCTAGCATTTTTCTGTATGCGTTTACAGGTTGGTCCATTTTTCTTCTCGATTTCACAAAGAAAAATTAACTTTTATACGAAGTAAAACAACTTTTTTCAAAAACAAACCCCATTCGTATCAAAAACAAGTTTCCGTCACTAAAAGTAAAAGTCAACTGTCATAAGTCAAAATGTCAAAATCTTTTCATTGCCGAATAGCCACAGCAGCTTAGGCCTCAAAACGAAGAAGAAGAAGAAGAAGAAGAAAATCTTATTCATTTTTATTATAAGTGGCCTCCACTTAGATTGTTAACACTTAAATAGAAACAAAATTTTCAATTTCCGAGTAGCTTTATAAACAAGTTAACGCTAAGCGAATAAAAAAATTAATTATGTAAAAAATATTTATTTCAGATAACACATTGATCCAACGATTTATCACCAAAATAATCACTATATATTTTTATTGAAACCTATTCAATATTAGAATAATATAAAGAACGATAACCGAAAAAATTAATCTTAACACTTAAAATTCCATCCGCTGTTATTTTTATAATATAAAATTCGTTAATACTAATTAAACTCGGCAAAAAATAACGAAAAAGTCTGCGAAATCTTTGGCGCCGAAAGGTAACCAATACAAAATCAATAATAATGTATTACAAATTAATTATTAACCGATATCAATTAAATACGGCTTCGTGTAAAACTGCTTAACTAAAAGCATTACGAATTTCCGCGCGTTGTGCAACGAATTATTCGAGTCTTGTATCTGTAAAAAATACATTATTTTACCCCAAAAAAATCTCGTATATCTAATTAATTTACCTGCTTCAAAGACAGCTCAGCGCACTCTTTAATCTTCCCCTGGGATTGTCCGAAATCCATAGTCAACAACACCTTAACGCACTCGGTATTTCCCCCGCTTTGCCCGACCCTAGCAGGAGCATTGGCGAATTTCCTCACCGCCTGCGGCTCGCCCTTCATCTCGGGCAACTGCGCCAAAACGTACCCTGAGAAAACAAAAACCTTATACAGTCGAAAATATCAATTCAAATGGTAAACATTTACCGGCCAGAGCTCGACAGAGAAACTTGAACTCCGCCGACACCGGGCCCTGTTTGCTGAGCCCGATGGCGCTGAGTATGCCCCGGCCCCATTTCCCGGGCCCTTTTTCGTCGGATATCTGCAGCAGGATGCGGGCGAATTTGTGCAGCACCGCTCCGCTGTGGGGCTCGTCTTTGTCGGCGTGCTGCAAGGTTAGCATTAAAAATCCGCACCAAATTAGGGGTATTTTCGGTTCCGTTGATTCACTGTAATTTTTCAACAACGCATTAATTCGTTAGAAGGAATTTAGAAGTGCTAACGAGTACCTTATTTTGACGCTGACCAGCCACTCTAGGCACAAATTCAGCAGGATTTCCGTGTTGTTTTGTTTAGACATCATTTGCACTAAAATAGCGTTTAAAGCTAGTAAGCAGCTCTTGTTCAAAATGGATTGTTGTAATTCGGTTTGTTTGGGTATCGATATGTTCAATAATTCGCCTATTTCCCTCCAATTGGGTTGAAAATCATCTGAAACTAAATTAAAAAATTAAGTATCGCAACGATTCGTTAACTCTAATCTACAATTTACCTGTATTTACAAAATAGCTGCTGATTGTAACTTCCAGGAGACTAGCCAATATATCGTAATCAGTCACAACTGTTCCCAAAGTCTTCAACAGTGACCTAATGACGATCCCGTTGCCTGGTTTGTTCTCGATCCATTTGATAAAACTGCCCAAAGCGAAGCATTTCACATCGTCTATATTTAATGTGCACAATATCTCCGATAATAACATAATCAATTCATTCTCGTCGCTTACGGTCGTCTCTAAATCGTTCAATTGACGCGTTACCAGCACGGCTATATCTTGTTCTTTTCTGGATATACTCGATTTGTTGCGATTCGAATAAACCGAAAGCAACTTAACGGTAGTTTTGATGAATATCAGCCTCTTAATGGTGCTATCCGGCGTCGGGGCGGCCGCCACTTTAAGAAAACTGCAAGGAATTCTCCCATTAATAATCGGGTAAAATAAACACTTTACTTTATAACCTACTGTAGTAATCTATAATCTAAATCAAGCGGATCGTTTTTGAATATCACAGACGGATCACAGCTCATGACCAGCCAGTCCATGACGTACTGGTAGCGAGGACCGTCCAAAATGGTCCAATCGAATTGCTCGGCTTGGATTAACAGCGATTTGGCCTGTTCGTATTGGTTCTTTCGAACGTTCGGCTCGTTGCACAATTTAACGATTAGGTTAAAGAAGCACTCGTGCACTCGAATTCGCAGCTTCTCGGGCGCCGCCGATAAATGTCCCAGCCAATTCGACCAATGTATCGACGTGAAAACGTGCCCCAAGAAAGCGTGGCACTCCGGCAGGTATTGGTCAACGACCTAAAAACGGTTACACTTTAACAACATAAGGTTCCGATTAATTATTTTGCTTGTTATACTTTCAGCATGTACTCAACGTCCACGACGGAAGGCCAGAAATTGTGCCAAGGGAACGTCAGGAATGTCTTGTGCACCGAGGTTAATACGTGATCTTTCACCGATTTGTGCGCGTAACACGTCACGTACCACTGCCAAATATAGCTCAAAATGCTACTCGATGCTACAATACAAAACAATAAATACAACAACATCAGGATAGTATTCTAGTAGTTCGCTTACCGGGAAGTGTGTGAATCACAAACGATACGCATTCCCTGAAAGAGCACAGGATTTTCTGAGCGAACCCCGTATCAGCGGGTATCCAAGGCAACAGCACTGATCTGTCATCAGCCAATTGCTGAATCCACGAGGCCATGTTCTCCTTGAGATTCTGCATGGAGTACGGCACCAGCCACGGGGCGAACATGTCCCTTAGGTACGGCCATATTTTCTCGCACAATTTATCGCCCAATAGACCTAACAAACACACAAACAATTAGTATACTTCTCGCTCGCTTCGCAAGCTTGACAATCAGCTACCTCTACAGCTGTATATAGGTGCGCAAACGTAAAAAATAAATACCTTGATGAGTGTTCAACATGCTAACAATAATACCGTGCCCGACGGTGCCGAGTAGCAGCGTGTACACGTCCATGTAAACCCGGCATTTGGGATACAAGCCGTAAATCCCGTACTGCAGCCGTTCCTGCGTAAAGTGCCTGGCCAGTAACTCGGCGGTATCGAGCAGTTCTTGATGCTGCAAAACGTTCTGGTGTTGCGCGTACTGTCTCAATTGATCTCTGAAATATAATTAAAATTAAGGCTGTATATACTGCGCGTGAAATCGAAGTAAAATCCACCTTAGAGGAGCTTTCAGATTCAACGGAACGGGTTGCGATAGAAAATTCAACACGTCCATCCACACGCTCTCCGACAACGAATTCGCCTCGGGATTCGCCGAGCTGGCCTTCAACAGCAACACCAACACCTCGCCGTAGTGCTCGGGAAATTGGTGTTCGAATATAAGCAACAGGTGCCTGCGGTAGAGGCAATGCAACGTGGCCGCCTCCACGGGCGGATCGTAGCCCAATTTTGTCAGCGCTTCGACTACGAGTTGAACCAACTGGGACCGTTGGCTTATCTTCGGGTTCTTCCGGCCCAGCCAATTCTCGATTTCGAACTACAAAACAATCCGGATATATTACGCTACAATTCGAATTAATAATTTTACTTTGGATAGAAGAGCGAACGCCACGTCGTGTTTGCGTCCCATGTCCCTGCATATGGTAGAGTACATGAGCAGCAAATTGGCGGTGCCGGCGTCGCCTGGCGAAAAATGCGGGGCCAAATGTTCGCTAGCTTTCGGGTCCTGCAGGATTTTGTTCAACAGCCTGGGCATTTCCCGTTCGACGGCGCGCACGTGCGACTGGCCCAGCCGCTCCAGGCACACGGAAAACAGCGTCTTCGTCGGCGGATAGGCTTCGATTTCCTCGTTTAACATCGACAGGATGCGGTAGAAGAGCTCCACGCCCAATTCGGCCGTGCACGGATTACAATAGAGCTGACCTTGTAGCGTACTGAACCCCAAAAAAAATCAACCAATTAATCTATAATTGTGTACACAATAACGTGAGACTCACCTGATGGTTTTCTGTAGAGTCACCGAAGCCGAGCATAAATTCAACGAAGCGGGCTGCAAGGCTTGGGCCAATAAAGACTCGTAAGTACTCCTGTTCGATGTTATTTGATGGTCTATCCTCTCGTTAATCCTCGCTTCCTACACATTTTTTTTCAACGTTAACTCGATTAACAAATCGAACTCTTAAACTCCCACCTGCATTTCTAGTACAATCTCCGCCGCTCCGGCGCAGTAGCACGTTTGATTCCTCCCTTTGCAAGGCACTTTCTTCTTGACCCGATTGAGCACGGATCGGTAGAGCTGGGGCGCCAGCTCCTTGTAGGCGCTGTCCAAGGCCTTCTGTTCGGACAGTTTGAGCGCGTGGTTGTGGGCGCACTGCTTGAGCGTTTTGAAGCATTGTTCGAGCGATTTGAACATCTCCTCGGCGTTGCCGAATTCTATGTTGGGCACGACGGGGGCGGAGAAGGCGACGGTCGGGGCCGGCTTGGGCTTGTCGTAGGAGGATAGCCTGGCGATGATTCTTTGGATGGGATCGTTGCTTTCGGGGTTCAATAGCGGTCGATTGACGTTGGTTTTTTCCCTGAAATTGTTGATTCTCCACACGCGGACGTGCGATTGTTGTTGGCTCGTTAGTTTTTCTATGTCGAGGAAATCCATCCAGGGCGTCTGAAATGAATGCATATTTGTTATAGCGCATACAAAAAAAAATAGCAAACGTACATTTTCGCCTTGCATTATCCTAATCAATCGGTCCGGTTCGTATTGTGGCGGGAGATTTTTCAACAAAAGATTGTTCTCTTGCAACCTGGGCTCTTCCAACCACAGCGAATAAGCCCTGAATATCCTCTCGCAGGACTGGTAGAAGGGTTTCTTCGAAAGCTCCTCGTTTTCCTCGTCTTTAACATCGATCTTATCCCTAAAGCAATTCGTCGTTAATCGAAATAAATTATCATCTTTTGTACGATATCCAACCTGAAATATTCGATGGACTGTTGCAATCTTCGCTTTATCCTCTTGAAGAAACCGAAGTTCACCAAACCGTCGAAGAATTTTTCGCCGACGCACGATTTCTCGACTATACTGGGATTGGGTATGCGCGCCAGAAATAAATTGAAGAATTTCTGCCAAAGAAGCGGCAACAGCGGATGGTCCAACGGCGTATCCAGCGCCTGCTGGGCCCAGCGGTATATGCACAGGTAACTCGACACGAACGATGGTATTTTCAAAGAACTCGCTGCTTTCTAATACACAAAAAAAACATCAACTCAAAAGCTTCCCCAGTAGAACTTAATAGGTTACCTTGATGGCTAAATCTACGTTGATTTTCCCCTTTTGTTTGCTCAATTGCACGAGGATTTCGTTCCATAAACCGGTGCGGCGCTCCCGTTCTTCGTGCTCCACGGATATAGTCAAATAGGCCAGCCAGGTGAAGGCGGAGAGCGAATTCGATATTAAACTACCGTTGGAATTGTTGCTAGACACCCACTTGAATAGGGAACTTATCGCGCCTGGACTCTCCTGCGGCGTGTTCGCCTAAACCAAACGCACAAAATTACTTACCGATCGAACTAATAACAACGACAATTACCTGCGAGAGATCCCTTAGAATATCGTAAACGGTATCGATGGTGTCGCTGTAGAGGAAGGCTGTTCGAACTATGACATCCATTAGGTGCATTATACCCATATCTTTGTTCCAACCGGACATGGAAACTAACGAATTCGTCCACAATCTGACGAGATAACGGGGACTATCCAAGCCGTAATAACTGTAATTCACGATCTGCGATTCTATCATGTTACCGAACTGTTGCAACACGGTATTCTGGGAATAGACCAAACTCTTCGCCATAGACACGTAGCCCCTATCGGCGTTTAACAGGTTCATTAGGATCTCTTGGAACTTCTCCAGGTTGATCATGCACTCCTGCGAGTGCACGAATATCGGCACGATGAGGTAGAGGGCGAACAGTACGGCTTCGTGTTTCTGCTGCGATTGCAAGTAGAGCAACTGCGCGAGGCCTTTGGTGCAGACGAGAGGTACCATGTGGCCCCAGGAGGTCATCAGGAGCGACACGAATACGGCCAGGCAGTTTTGCTCCCTGACGCCTGCGAATTTGATTTGAAATAAAATAAATTATTATTATTATTATTACAGCGTACCTTTCGTGAGCACGTCGAAACGCTCCAGGTCTTGTACTCGACCGATTTCGGTGAAAGCTTTGTCGCTGATGTGCAATTTCAGTCTTAGAACGGTTTGCCAGGCCCAATTTTCGATGCCGGGTTCTTGGAAGGCGCATTGGACGACCAGCAGGGCTACTTCGCAATGGATTTCGTACGGTATTCGATCCCAATTCAACCTCGATAGTATCATCCGGGACAATTTGCTCTCGTAGCTACCCATGGGATTGTTTAGAAGCAATCTACGAAATAACATTTCGAATAAACGCGTTAGAAATCGTTAAAACGAACCTCGAAATCAATTCCAAATCGTTATCGCTGAGCCTCCATATGGATAACGGTAATTCTTCGTATAAATAGAGCGACAAAGCGCCGATTTTATCCATGTTATCTTTCACTTCTTTTAGAATATTGGAAAGCAAATGGGGATGTTTCGAAGTGACGTGAGTTAGTAGGATTCTCGCCGATTTCGAGCAAGATTCCTGCGTGGCCGCGTTCAAAAATCCCACCTGTAACGGTAAATAAATTAGCAAATAAATAGCGAGTAGAAATTGAGATAGTTTACATGCAACAAATCCAATGTAGCCGAGTGAATGAAGCCCATGTCGGCGTCGCCGCGTGCCAGCGCCATATTCGCGAACGTATTCAGCAAATAATACACTTCAGCATCCTCTAGGCAACCCAATTTCTCCTCGAATTGCCCCCTCAGTTCCTTCTCCCAAATTTTCCTGCTGTAATCGTCCTTCGCGTGCGGATTCAGAATGTCCACGGCCTGATCGTCGGTGCTGTGAAGGAAGAAAAACACCTTCCACAGGGTTTTTATCGATACCATGTTGTAGGGAATGACGGCGAGGAATTGCCAAGCGCCGAGTTTTTGGGAAGAATACAAGTAATAAATGGCGCGCAGGAAGAACGCGTCGTATTCGACTTGCAGACGGTGCAGCATCGCTTTGTCGTCTAATCTTTGCACCTGGCGAAATAATTTCGTTGTAAATAAATTCTGTGGAATTTTTTTGTGGTTTACCATTAGAAATTGTTCCCATTGATCGGTGGCGTATTGAGCTACGTGCCTTATGAAGCGACTCAGCCGCTTCGAAAATTGATTGTACCTGGGCTGACTGTACGTCTGGATGCCTTTGTATAATATTTTTAATACTACTGTAGAAAAAGCCAAGTATCTTAAAATATGGTGTTCGGTTATCGATTCGACATCGTACACATCCTAAAATTAATTGTGTTGAGCATTAAAAAATCAACAAAAACGAGGTAAATACCTGAAAGTTTTTCTGTCTGATAAGTAAAATATTCCTAAATAAATCGTCTAAAGGCAACTGATTCAACAAAGCCACTAAATCGTTCTCTTTTAGAGGTTTAATGGAGGCTTCTTCGTCGTCTTCTTCGCCATCGGAATCCACCATAACCCATATAGCTTCGGCGCACGCGTCGTTTTTCACTGATAAATCCTCTAGAAATTGCTCTCTGCTAACAACAGGCGTTAGAATGGCGGAAAATATCGTCAACAGATGGTTGATTTGAAAGTTCGCGAAAGGCGAATCGGTGTTATTTAATTCTAAAGGAGTTTGAACGAACGACGACGCCCAGGAACCAACCCCAGCAGGACACCTGGAAAATTATAATTTGTATAATCTTATAAAAGCTCTAGGTGTTTAAAGCAAACCTTAAAATGTGATTCAATATAAATAAATGATCTTGATAATTGGCGATCCTTAACAAGATTGCTACTAAATGGGACAGCCAACATCTGGTTTCCTTGATAAACTGGCTCTCTCTAATCAGCTTCCTTTGGAAAGAAAAAAGGATAGAGATGCACATTCGAAGTTCCCCGAAATACGGCTTAAGATGTGCAGGTTCATCTTGAATTGTCAACGCTACAGCAGCATCTTTCGATAACTGGGTCACGTTCATGCAGTTGTGCATTACACTTTGAAGATACAGTTCGATCTGTAATGACATATTTATTTAACCTGTATTATTATCGATGACTGCATTACCTGAAGTCTCAAGTCCTCGGCAGAGTAAGTATAAAGTGTATGATTTTCGTAAGTCAAATCCTGTACGTTTCCTAATATCCGTACGATATTCTGGAACACGGATCTGTGGAAGATGCTGCGATTGTAGCTATGTGAAGCGGAAACGGCCGTTCCATCCTGGCACATTCCTTTGCCTGTGACCGTAACAGTTTCCCCTGTCCAGAGATTTTCTTGGTTAGCTTTGTACTCCTTCCGGATTTGTTCCAATTCCAAAGTGTTTCCCGTTATTCTCTCGCGGATTTTTAGATAGTTTGTTAGCAATTCGTGCAGAGGATGTTGTTTCATTGTTGTACCTACAACATTTATATTGTGTAGTAACAAAATTGTAAAAATATGAGTGATATTTACCTTTCAATTCAGCGTTAACGTATTGATCAATGAAGGTTTCTAATGTGACTAATTCCTGATTGTAATAGAGCGCACTTAGTTGAGATTCTGTATATGGTTTTATGTCCAATTGAATCTCTTCTATGTCATTTTCGTTAATTGTTTCAGTCATTTTTATTTCTTTCACTAATTGTTTGTTATCGTTGAGGACTTTCTCGAGTCTGATGGGTTTTTCAGCATTTTCCTCTTCAAGTATTAAAGTTTCTAAATTACTGGAATTTTCACTGATGTGCAATTCTAATATTTCGTCTTTTTTGTTCGTTTCAGAATCACTCTCTATAGACACGATTTGATTATCAGGCATCTTTTTGCTATCTTGAATAATGGACGTAGACTCATTTTGATTGATTATTTCCCCATTGTCGTTAGTTTCTTGAATGCCTGAAATGTCTGTGAAATGATTCGTTTCTAATTTGGTTTTGTCAGAGGATGTGCTGCATTCTATAGTAGGAATGCATTCGACTGAGCTCGCGGCGACCGATTCAAAATATTCCTGATTATCAGTGGAAGTATAATCTTGATTGTGAGTACCGGCTTTATTTCCTTTGTTTTTCTTCTTTTTCTAAAATAACACGTACCATTATGAAAAGTAAAAAAAATGCATTGATAAGCAGTATCAAATTTCAGATATATTATGACTATCATTAGAATTATATGCCTGAAATAAATCAAATTTTTAATCTAACCAAAGCAATAATAAGTTCATTACTACGTAATATCACAAAATAAACGAAAACAACAAATAATGCAAAGTTTCCAGTACATTGCCATTGTAACTGGGGTCAACAAACAATTATTATTTAAACTTTTTACTTTACCTTCGTTTGATCCTTTGCAATTTCCATAGTTTATAAAACGGGGAACTAAATAATACTATTTATACTAAACGATACCTTTGTTCGTTTTGTCCGAAAGGCACATAATTTAAAAAATATGCCCAAAATTTCACCAAAATATTTTCCTTTTGCAAATTTTTGACATATGATTGAACTGTCATAACAAAATCAAAAATCCCTCTTCTGTTTCTTCTATTTTAAAAAGACTCGGATTACTTACCTATACAGTTACATTAAACAAATTAAATAAAAGTTAAAGTTGTTGATAAGTAATTGCAAAATAAACTATAATTAACTCTGATTTATCGGTGTTAATTTAAATTCTTAAATAGTATTAATTTTCATTGTGTTCTAAATTGGTTCTATAATTAGCAATGTTGCCATAGTTGTTAACAGGTTTTAATAATACACAATCATTTGATAATAAAAATAACTAGGTATTACTTTGAAACAAATTATTTATTTATATTAGCATTAAGTTACATTTTATAGATTTTTGGATTAATAAATTCATCATTATTGATCATCTGTTAACGAATTTTTACTAAATATTTAAGTATCTTTCAATTAATCGCGTAAATTTTGGACATTTGACAACGTAGCTTATAAACGTCAAGAACGTCATAACATGACATTAGAAACGTCAACCCGTGTTGTTTGGTTTTGCGGTTTTGACTTTTAAGACGTGATGGTGACGGGTAAAGGAGGTTCCTTTTCCTTCGCGTAGAATTCTCGTAGAAATTCTCCATTTGGTCGAGCAAAATTCCGAGTTTTCCGTCGAAATGAAATTCGCTTCGTGATCAATCCCAATAGTTTCTAATCGCTCGTGAAAATACCTAGTGTTCGTTTTAACCTAGCACTTTTTCGGAATCCACGGACATTATCGTTCGATTTTAACATTGTTTGAAGAATCTATTTTTACGTACGATTTGTCTACCGTTATATTTATCGGATTTTCCTGCTTGCCAATTATTTATCATTTCGATATACCGATAGAGGAACGATGAAAACACATTGATTCGTCAATTTCAACTATTTCAAGGTAAGAAAGGATTCACTTCTATTCAGGGATTTTTACTGTTTACAAAACATTTTTTGACTCACACTTAAAATTACAATCGCAAGAAATTATCTTGTCACTTTTAAAAATATCTCCATACTTTGTTTCTGAAGATTTTCTCTGTTTACCAACGAGTCAAGAAATAAGGGTGAAATAATTAAGGAATCCCTATTTTGTGAACCAATTTAAATATTTATTCAACCTATTAATGTATTTCCTCATCGTTCTAAATAACCCTTTTATCTTAATTATATCTCATTTTCCATTAAAAATATATTAAGTATCATTTGATAAGTTTTACACTCTTCCGATAGCACAAAGTAAATTTACGAGCGCCCTTGTGATATGTATTTGCTCTACAAAACGCGCATATTGTTATTCGTTTCTTATCAAACATAAATTAATGTTACCGCTCCGATTATTAAATATAATGATTTGGAAACAATTTTTTAAAAGTAATCATTGATTGAGGCTCGTAACGATTCGCGTCGAGACATTTAAATTTGTACTTAGAATATTTAATCGAACAGATAAATGTAATAGATATTTTGCTCACGTTTTCAACGAGATGCCTCGCATGATAATTATATTTAATTTGGTCGTGTGCACTTGACCGCATCCTCGATAGGTAAAAATATTTGTTCTTTCGAGCGAGGGAAAAAGAATATTTATTGTGTTTATCTGTGGATTATTTTGCGGTAGATAATGGGAATGTATAGGTGAAAAATCGGTTTAATGGCTTGGAGTTGATCGAATTTCATTATTGCTTCCTAGTATTAAATTCCTAACGTGCATTTCATACTTAAACAATAACCGAGTTTTTAATGGCTTAAAATTTTACCAAGGCTTTACATAAATTTGTTCTGAAATTATTTATCTAACGCCAATTCAATTAGGAAAAAATGGGTCTTACAAGTACGAATTGATAACACGTGAAAGTTTAAACGTTGATAAGATTGATAAACATTGATAGCATTCTAAATAAGAAGAGCTCAAAGGGACAATGCTATATTGCGGTATTAATTATAAGAGAGAAATTTCCATATTGTAGAGTGTAGCACTTTAAATTTATTTGACTTAATATTTATTCTTTTTTTGTAGACTCATTTATCATCAGTTAAAAGCATTTATAAGTAATCTGTACGTTCCATTTATAATTATTAGATAATTCGAAAGTTTTGTTCGTAAAGATTGTTTTTACGGGAAATTTTACTTATAATGTAAGGTCTTTTTATTAAGTCTATTTATAGATAATAATAACATACTAACATTTTTTTGCAAATTTACAGTACAGTAACATACATATTTCTTAATCTTATAGTAATTATAATGACGTAATTTATTTAATGTTAATTCTTTTTAAACTACTCTTAGTTTTATTTGAATTTATTAATTATCATCTTTATATTCAGTTGCACTTAGATATTAAAACCATTACTTTATCGTGAAATGTAAATAACTGGTAGATGATTCCAGTGTACTAATTTTTGTGTTAAATCGTTTTGTTTATTTTATAATCGCTTTATCAGGTTACAATAGAAAGTTAGAAGGTAAATTCAATTATTTCACATTCAAATTATATGAAATTGTAATGTAAATATTGTAGTAAATGCATATATTAAATAGTAAACAATATAGTGGATTATTAAACTCAAAATAGTATTTTATTGATAGATTGTTAGGACACTTCATTTATGAAAACAATATTTAAAGCCATCGAGGTTTCTAACGATCCGAAACCACGCACACCGTTTCCCGGAACTTGATAAATATTTTTATTTACAGACAAATAATAGACTTATTCAGCTTTGCATGTGATTAAATATCTAAAATTTATTATGTATGTCTAACTTATGGGTTTTTTTCGTATAGAGAAAATAATTGTTTAGAGAATCATCGATGATCATCATCATATGATTGATTTTATGAATGATCAAAGGTCGTTCATTAAAAGTATGGAGAAAATCAGTCAATTAAAGCAGAAAGAAAATCATTTGATAAAAGTAGGGAGAATTGAATTTATAAACAAACACTTGCATTTATTTTTTCAGTTGATATGGGTAAATTTACCGGCAAAAAATGCCGTCTTCTGTCGATGCTATGGATGACCACCTTCTTTTTCTTCGTCGAAATCGTCGTAGGATACATAACAAATTCCATGGCCTTAGTAGCAGACAGTTTTCACATGCTCAGCGATGTAGCAGCCTTAGTTGTAGCATTTTTGTCCGTTAAAGTGAGTATCATCTTTACTCTATTACTATTATTAGGACCCTCCAGGTCCCACTTAACTTCGAAAACCTATTCCACGAGTCTTATGTTGTAGATGTCGCCCAAGAAATGGTCGAAAAACACGTTCGGCTGGGCCAGGGCCGAAGTTTTGGGCGCCCTCGTCAACGCCGTGTTTCTGGTCGCTCTTTGCTTCTCGATCACCGTCGAAGCGTGCAAGAGGTTCATCGAAATGGAGACCATACACGATCCCCAGCTGCTGGTCGCCGTCGGCGGCATCGGCCTCCTGGTGAACTTGGTCGGATTACTCCTGTTCCACGGTAATTTTCAGACAGATATCTAGCAATAAAAGTAGGGAGAAAATTATTCGAAAAAGGTAGGGAGAAAATGATTCCAAAAAAAGTAGAGAGAAAATTGTTCAATAAAAGTAGGGTGAAAAATCGTTCAAAAAATTAAGGATTATTCGAGTATTTCGATTGAAATCTTTTTGTTCTGGTGCAAATTCTTAGAACATGGCAGTTCTCACGGCCATTCGCACGGCCGTTTGTCCCACAGCAGGAACAGATTGACGCAATTGGCGATCACCGATGATAACGAAAACGACGAAACGTTTCCCAGTCCTCCCCCGGCCCAGAAGGAAGCCAAGAAAGTGGAGCCCAGCCATTCTGCGGGTCAGATGAACATGCGGGGCGTCTTTTTGCACGTGCTCTCCGACGCCTTGGGGTCCGTCATCGTCATCGTTTCCGCTCTGGTAAGTCACATTTATTGTAGGAAACCCCATTCAAACAATAACATCGACTTTTCCTTCTTACTAACCAGGTATTTTGGCTGACCGATTGGAAATACAAGTACTACATCGATCCGGCCCTGAGCATCCTCCTGGTCCTGTTGATCCTCAACTCGGTGTGGCCCCTTTTGCGCGACTCGGCGTTGATTCTGCTGCAGACGGTGCCCACCCACATCCAGGTCGACGCCATACAGAACAAGCTGCTGGCGAAAGTGGACGGCGTCCTCGCCGTGCACGAGTTCCACGTGTGGCAATTGGCCGGCGACAGGATCATCGCTTCGGCTCACATACGGTAAAAAACGAGAATATTTTCGCGTCTATACAATATGTCCCAAAATTCGTGACGTTTACAGGTGTAGAAACCTATCGGAGTACATGAAAATAGCGGAAAAGGTGAAGGAGTTTTTCCACAACGAAGGAATCCATTCTACGACAATCCAACCCGAATTCATCGATTACTCGGACATACCGACCACCTCCAAGGAGCAGGCCGATCTATCGGAAGATTGCGTATTAGATTGCCCCAAAGGCAGTAACATAGACAATTGCGTGAGGAACACCTGCTGCGGACCTTCCAAACAAGTTAGTACATTATTCATACACGAAAATAATCGGCCTCTTGTTGTGCGGTTACACGTCCAAACGACGTCCCGTTTCTATCTAGATCGGAAAGGAATTACAGTAAAACCGCGCCCGTTTTCTCTAACCCCGTTGTTCGATTTCTTGTAGTACATGAAGTATTTGCGGCAGCAGGAAGAGCGCGCGAAGGCGGCGAAGGAGGCCAAGGCGAAGATGAAGGAGTCGAAGCGGCTGGCCAAAGAGCTGAAGGCCAAGGCGAAGATGAGCAGGCGAAAGGGGGCGAGTTTGTCGGGGAAAGAGTTGAACGAGGCCAGCGAATTGATGGAAAAGGGCCAGGCGATAGCGGGCGATGGAAACGTCGCGGAGCTGAACGCGACGATAGCGAAAATTGAGGTGTCGGAAGAGAAAGGATGACGATGGGGCGGTTTATTATATATATTTTTTTCGGTTTTTTGCGGTTCCTGCGGGATAGGAACGTAACAATTTCCCCCTTCGTGAAATTTCCCCCAAAAAAATTTAATGTGACTGACTAAAATCGGATCAAATTTAGGTAACAGAACGGGCAAATTTCCCCAAATTTTAAGTCCTAAAATATTATCATGACATTTTTGTTGGTAATGATTTAACAATTTTGTTTATTATTTTTTGTAGGGTAGGGAGTCGCCGTCTCCCGGCAACACCCCGTACGTATGCAGACAAAGGAATTCCGCCAATAATTTGAACGGTAATAACGAGGAAATGAACGAAATGGAAAAGGGCGTTCTTCTAGAAAAATCTACTACTTTACAAACGGACTGTGATTGCACCCTGAGAGGCTCCCAATGCACATTTAGGGGTTAATTTCATTACATTAGGCTATATAATATGCAATATATGTATTTTTAAAATGGAGATTCTAAAAATGTACGCCATTGATTTGCTAAGCGGACGTTTACGTGTAGATATTTTTTTTAGATTTGACAGTTTTTTTTGTGACGTTTCGTTTGGTGGAAAAAGTGTTGCCAACTTAAATAAATCACTACAAAAGTAACTAAATTTTATGACTATCGTTTTGATCACTCAATGTGGGTGACTATAAAATAAGTTATTATAATAATACAAAACGAAGGAAACGAAGGGAAAAACTTAGAAACGGATACAATTAATTTAATAGACAGTGCAAAGTATATTATTATACTTGGAGATTTGCAAAATGCAATTAAATAACTGCAATAAACTTAAATGTACTTTAAGAAAAATAAATTCGCATCAAACTGATTGTGGTACTATTGTTAATATATTTACACCGTAAATGATTGTTGTTGATATTATTGTAAATTCGAAATATTGTGCAAACATAAATAGTATTTGTTATAACCGATCGATTTTTATTCCAATTTAGTGACGAAATAATCGAAATGGACGAGGCCACTCCAATGACATTGCATAACTTCATGGTGTCATCTAATGATTTCTATTGACCAAGTTCAAATATAGAAAAACATACATTTACATTCAATGCTATTTAATGATTCTACATAATCAATCAATACATTCTTACAAAATTTACAAGTAGGGTAAAAAATGATAATCTCGAGTCGTTCGCTTTTAAAAATACTTTATTAACATAATTGATTATTTTCGTTATATACTAAATAAGGAAACAAAAAACAATATTTCAAAATTAGATCACAACAAATGATCACATCAATGTAATTATAAAGAAAAAACTCTTAACATCTAGGTAAAATAGAAAAAAAAACGATGTAACATCCAACTAAGTTTCGATAAAACGAAAGAAGCGCTCAATTCATTTTGCCCACGAAGCGTTTTAATTTTTTGGAAATAAATCGTTAATTAACTGGAATTGATTACAATATTAAGTCTTCTTTCTTAGGTTAAAAATTAATAGAATTGAGATGGTTTAAAGACATAATATGTAGAAACGATTAAACAAAAACGCAGCATTCAGAGAGCTCCTTTCGCTTGCAAAACATTTTTTTCTCTATCGGCACGAAATTTTACACTTTTTTTTTTAATTCGAACGAGTAAATCATTAATTTGCGCTAGTTTATTCTCTCGTATTGTTCACGATATATTCCCGTTTTCGTAAAAAAATCGCAATCGAAAACACCTAAACGTTTCAGATAGGAAGAACTTAAACGGATAACTAATTTATACACGTAATATAATCTACTTATACAAATAAAAAAAATAATTACGAATGCACGTACAACTACAACGAAGACGTTATTTAGGAGTGTGAAGTTTTTACATTATTATTCAACTATGAAATCGAGTTTGGTATTCATTAGTGTTATGTAGGTGAAGGCATAATGTTGCTAGTTTAGAATATTTCATATTACCCTTCGTATATTTGTGCAGGTATAGTCGTTTAAATTGGAAAAACCATTTGCCTTGCCCTACAGATTATTAAAAAAAACATTCAAATTGTGAACCTTTTGCGAATCTCCCTACGTAAATGTACGTGCAATTTCACTAAAATGCCTAAAATGAAAAAAAAAAACCGCTCTCATACATCATGTTCTATATGCCTAAAACAACCACACTCGTTGGAAAAACAAACACAATTTATGATATTCGGTGGTGAATTACAAAAAAATCATACGGGCAAAGGAGTTCTGCTTCCTTTCCCTTCTCAAAGCATCAGTTTATACAAAGTACAAAATCATAGGAGACTCGCCTTACTGTAAATAACGCGAGTGAGTGAAGCTGGAAACCCAACTTTAGTTCTGATCAGAGCTCTGGATCAGAACTCCAATCGGTGCTAAAATTAAGTTTCCAACTTCACACACTCCAATAAGCCATCGTTTATAACATTCAAGGTTACAATTTCAGTCAAATAAAACAAAAAAAAACATCTCCATCAAACAGGAAACGAATAATCAGACTGCTAAACTTTGTCAGAATAAAAAAAATAAAAAATAAATCAATAACCTATATGTACACACAAGTCACATCTCATGCGGTGACAGTATCAGAGTCACTTTGAGGTAGAGAATACGGTTTCTGTTTGCGCTGCCTCCGGCGCTCCCTTCTCTCGCCCATCACCAGGCGCAGGTGCTCCAGCTTGCCGCGCGTCCTCAGGTTCTGGTCCTCGTTGCACGATCCCGACACCATCATCGGCTCGTCCTGCGGCCCTTCGGCCGCGCGCCCCGCCTGCTCCTCCGCCCCTTTGCACGCCACCCGCCGCAGCTCCGGCACCGAGCACAGCAGATCGTTGAGGATGTGCACGATGGTGGCGACGTCGCGACGCGGCCGCCCCTTCGGGTCCTGCAGGGCCGGGTTCAGGGCGCCGCTGAACGTGCCCGAATACACGCTTTCTCTGCGACCTGAAACGATATTTAGTTGGTACCCTTGCTCTCTCTTTCGGCCCGTTTACTTTGGGTCATTTAGGCAACGTTTGAGAAAAATCTATGTAGTTTGAGGAAAACTCACCTCTGTCCTTTCCGGAGAAAACGTCGGCGGACAGTCTTCGAAGGGTATGCTGCAGATTACGAGAGGCTTGCAGCAAACTGGGGGGGCTGGTCGAGTGCTGTTGTGGCGGCGGCGGCGCCCCGCAAGGGGCCCCCCCGTTCGTCGTCGAATTGACGGGTTTCACGCCGGAAACTGAGCTAAGTTGCAATTGGATGAGCATCATGTGATCACCTAAACAAACACGATATATTTCGTAAGTATTAATCCTCGTTCAACAAAGTGCTAGTATTGAATACATCTTTCGTATTTGTAAATATGTATTCTATTTGTTAATAAATGATATAAGATATTACCTAAACGCATGCTTAAATTGAGCGGTGCCTTCCCGCAGAGGAATTCATTTACTTGTGTATCGTTTAAAGACTCCAGGGCCTGCATTATTCCGATTTCTGGACGTTGTGTCTAAAAATTAACAAAATACATATCATTAAATATTATTCACAATTTTGATACATGTAGAGTAAAAACTGGCCTTTTGCCTAAAGAAGCTACAGTATCCATTTCGTAGTCATATAATGAACAATAAACCGATTAAGTAAATATACATTGAATTTATTTATACTTTTATTATTTATTTATTTAATTCGTAGAGTATCCAAAGTACATATATTTATACTATGTACTTTCATAGTCTAATTGGAAAATAATATTGCGTATTATTCACTTTCGTAGAAAATAATACAAATTACTATTGTAATTAAACGACATTTTAAATTTGGCTTATTAGTTACAAAGTCAAACTTCCATATCTCCCATGATGATTAATTTTAGAAACAGGTAGAAAACTTTCAATATTTCTAAACGAGAAGCAAACAGAACGATTTCGACAAAACAAGGTTGATATGAGTACAAAAAGTACTCATTTCTTTCTGGCATAAGATTAAAATTCAAAAAATTAATGTTTTTCCAATAAAATCAGGTAACATAAAAAGCATTGTTTAAAAAACCAACTAAAAATGAATACATTTATACAGTACAACAATAGAATCGAAAATAAAGGTAGGGAGATTGAAGTGCGATTAAGTAATAAAATGTACAAATTATTGTATGTATATGTACTTACAATGAGCCCCGTTTCGACGTTCGGTAATAAAGTTATTCTAGATCCATCCGATATGCCGTGCTGCAGTAAATTGCCGTCTTGCAATTGCCTAAAAATAATCAAATTTAAACAATATAGAAGTAACTGTACTTTGATTCCAAAACCCACTTATCTCTAAAGAGTAAACATATTCGATCTCTGGGCACTTTTAGTCTTTTCGATATCAGTTTTTTCAGATTTTCAACGGATATATCGGAGTCTACGCTGAGGAAGAAATCGCCCCCCGTCGTGGGGCTCACGTGAACGTTTATTTGTGTATTCGTGCCACACCCCTGGGAAATGGGGTTAGTAGACGATTGTGAAGAGTTTTCCATAATACTAGAGTCTTCGTTTCGGGGGCACTGCGTCGATTTCACGCCACTATAACGCCGAACCGAGCACTTTTCCTAATAAATACGCTACATGCACCATTGCTGAATGCGAAAAAAAAAACTAGAAAAAAACAATACTGTGTTACGGTACTGTAGAGATCGACGATTCAGCCTGCCCTGCCGTATGTGACAAGTCCACTAGGCATGCGCCAAAGTCCAATCATTGCTTTCAACACAAAGAACAGTAAAATGTACGGGGGGTCGTCGCGCGTTCAGGAGCAATTATTTTTAAAAAAATATTAAAAAGCGAATACAATCAACGCGAATACACCGACGAAATACGCTTTAACGCGTTATTTACGTTTATTAATGTAATTTAAAGACATTTAGATTTTCTTGGTCGAATTTATCTGTCACTGTCAACTTCACTTCACATGTCACACAAGTCACAAAGAATGTAGGGTAGGCTTGTTTTTTTGTCTACAGTCGGACAGCGCTTGTGCCAAATGTACTTTCGTTAATTACTTGAAATCCGACAACCCCGCTTATTAAACTAGTTTCTTGACATTTGACACTGACAGTTCATGTAATCGAGCCAATCGAGGATTGAGGTTAAATTTTATAAGGTTATCTGAAAAAAAAATAGCACACTAATTCTAAAATGCGTACAAAATTAATCTAGAAATCACACAAATTATATAAAGTGTAGAGTGAAATAACATTAAAATGAGTGTTATATATCACGAGAAGCAAATTCGAGAACTGTGCGCCCTACACGCCTTGAACAATCTGTTTCAATCGAAAGGAGCCTTTACGAAAGAGGAATTCGATTCGATTTGTAAGTCTCTGTCGCCCGATAACTGGATAAATCCCCACAGGTCCGCCTTAGGTCTTGGAAACTACGATATCAACGTCATCATGAAGGCGCTGCAGAATAGGGGTTACGAAGCGATTTGGTTCGATAAACGGAAAGATCCCGGCTGCCTGGATTTGGCCCGCATTGATGGCTTCATTTTAAACATACCGAGCGATTATAAAATAAGCTTTATCACCATACCTTTGAAACGAAGGCATTGGATTACGCTTAAGAAAATCAACGGTAAGTTTTACAATTTGGACTCGAAACTGGATAATCCGCAGCAGATAGGAGAGGATTCCGAGTTTTTGTGTTACTTGAGGGAAGAAATGGACTCGTTAGATAAGGAATTGTTCTTAGTGGTGAGTGAGGAGGTCGCGAAGAATCAATCTTGGCTGAAAGACAGAAATTCGTGTTATTCGCAAACAAATTGTCGAGACGTAGTCGAAGTACAGTTGAAAGATCTAGAACGAGGAAATTAGGATTTCATAAATCGGCACAACACAAAATCAGACAGCTTTAAATCGTCTTATTTTCTCCGCAATAACCAAATATTTACATATCTTCATTATTCGCGTTTGTTTCATTATTATTCGCTAAAAATAATTTTATGTAATCAATTGACTGTGATATTTTCCTACTGTTAATGCAAAATTTGTTAAAACACCTTGAACACTTAACGTGAAGTTTACATGTAATTATCTATTGTATATTAAAAATTTCCAAATTTATATATTTTATTTAGAATAACGAATATTAGGCGCATATTGGATTGAATAATACTTTTCTTTTTTTAATGAATCTTATTACAAAATATACGTTTGTTAACTTTTTTAAATGTAAATATTTTATTTAACTGAGCAAGTTTACTTATTTTTATCTGTAAAAAAAGAGAAGACGTCATTTAAACGTCTTCGAGGGATTATTTAGTTGTAACTGACAAATTTCTAGTTGAATAATTGAACTAGAATAGGTAACAGTTGTTCATTATTTATTGTAATAAATCTCCAACAAAAATAAACAAAGCAAATTGAACTAACGTTTATAATTCTTTTCAACAACTTTTTGCCAAATCACTTTTACTTACATACAGAATGATAACGCTACAATTTCACTTTTCTTGCGTTAATTTTATTTTTATCTTTCTTCTTCCCTGATATTTCAAGTTTCTTGTTAATATGAGCTTGAGCTTGGTCTTGTAGCTGCGTAAAGAAGGCTTTCGAGGATTTAAGACTCTTCCCGCTCGTTTCTTCCATCTACAAAATTACAATTCATCAAAAAAGAGTTACAAAAAAAAGTCCCAATTAATTACCTTTTGGGTGTTTCGATTTTTAAGAACATCACCCATTTTAGTATTCTTACTAATAGCTTCTTTGTGGTGTTTCTGTTTTAATTTCTTCTTCCTTCTCGATCGATTCTTATCGGTTTTCGTCTTTTCTGAATCACCTAAAACAGCAAAATTTATTAAAAAACTTCCACACTATTTCTTCTACTTAATAACCTACCTAAAATGTCTCCTTTCGGTTTGTTTTTAATTTCCTCGGGGGCCAATAGGGAGACTTCACTGGCCGTAATGGGAGCCACTTCTTCCATACTTATAGCAGGCATATTATTAACGACTCTGAGCTCGGGCAGAGCAGGCTTAGGCGTGAAGTGGAAGTTAGACAAGGCGTCTAATTTATTAAATAATTGGTTCATCATGGTTTTTATTTCTTTGTGCAAAGCGGGCTCTTCTTCTTCTTTGTCAGCTTGCGATGGATCCAAAGCAGCTTGTTGGTCCAGGAATTCCTTTTCGTAGATTTGTGCTAGGGAATGTTTGCTCTTTTCTTGGTCTAAGGTCAATTTTTTCTTGTATTCCAATGGAGTTTCTATCGGTTTTTCTTTTCTTATAACGCTGTCGAAAGCTTTATCTTTTATTCTTTGCCTGATGATGTCTTCTAATTGAAAACTGGTGTTTTCGGTTATAACAGGAGCTGAAAAGATTTATTTTTAATTGTGATATATTTCTAGAGAAATATTTATTTACCTGGTCTTGAAGTAACATCGAATTCGAGAACTTCTTCTAATAGAGAATTTTGTGGTCGATTGTCGCCTAGAATTTCCCCCTTAAGTGTCCAGGGTTTCTCGGAAATTGCATTTTCTTCGAGTTCTCCTATTCGCTTTTGAAGTCTTTCTTGTCTCAATTCCAATGATGATTTCTGTGGTTCTTCATCGTTTTCATTTTCGCTTAATTCATCGAAGAATTTATTCCTCTTCGGGAAATCTTTGTTCTGCGGTTGATTTGATCTGAAGAAATCTTTAAACTTCGCCATTCTGCTTTTATCCACTTCCTCATCTTCAATATCTTCATCATCATCATCTTCCTCGAACAAATTTATACTTTCTTTGTCAGAATCGGATTCTTCCTCCCCATTTTTAACTTCTGGTTGGTTCAATTTTTTGTCTTCATTATTAAGAAAGCTTTCCATTTCTTCTAGATTGAAAAACTTGTCTTTAGAAGGATTTCCTTCTTCCGCAGTAACATCTTCCTCCTCCATATCTTCATCATTATTACTTTCTTTATCATCATCATCATCTTCGTTTATTTCATCTATATTTTGTTCCTCGATGTGATTAGAAATATCTGATGTACTGTTAGCATCACTTTCAATACCTTCTTCTTCTTCTTCTTCTTCTTTGGTAGCTAAGTTTGAAAAAATTAATTTATTCTTGTTCACTACCAATCTCGTAACTGTATTCAACGATTTAGAAAGCACATCGTTATTTTGAAGATCAATTTGTTGCCATATTTGTTCTGTATCAAATTTTTGTATAAGTAATTTACTTAATCCTTTCGAATGACCTGCATTTTCCTGTGTTTTTGTAAAATCGTATATTTCTTTTAAATTGCATTTTATCGAATCTACGAAAGTCTCGTCTAATCTAAAAAAAACCGAGTTTATGGTATTTATAACGAAACCAATATTAGTACTTACTCTAAAAATACTTCAGGCTTTTCCGTAACTTGCTTAAAGTTTAATAATGATTTTTCAAGACAATCAACATTGGTACCCATTTTTATATTTTTACCATGCTTAACTCGCGAGGTTATGTTTTGTTAAATGTCAAATTTTCAAGTATACCTAACTTCAGTGTGCAGGGTCACCATGTTTGCTAAAATTTTTGACAAAGCTGCCACCTTTTAATGAGTTTATGAACTTAAAAAAAAATTAAAAAAAAACACCCAATTTTTTAAAATTTTGTTGCATTTAGGAAAAATTACGTTGAATTTAATCCAAGATTGAAAAAAATGTAAACCGTAAAAAGAGATTTATTGGGAACGAATTAATTTCAATTTCTAATTACCACTATCGTGTACAATCGATTACTTTTTTTAATCGAATAAAATAAATAATACGTTAAATTAAATGACACAAAAATATTTCGAAGCTGAATTTGCATTTACGGTATTCCATTTCTATTGAAAACATAAAGAAATTGAGCGAAAAATAAGTAAAGGTCGATCATTTTATAAATAAAATCGATTCGAGTATTCGAATAGTTTGACATGAGCAATTCGAGCGGTAATTGAATCACTAGCGACGCCATTTGTCAAGCACTGGCAATAACTTAACCGTTACAGAGACAGCGCAAGAAAAGGTAAAGCAGCGATCGCCTACAATCGAACGAAATAGTTACCTAGCTTATCAATTATCGCTTCAACAAAAATGAAAACGTACAGCAGAAAGAAAACCGACTGTCTAGAACCCGACAGCGAGGAAGTAATCATAGATTTGAATGAAATCTGCAGATTGTGCATGAGCAAGGAGGATGAATTGGTGCCCATTTACCAAGAGGAGGATGCAGTGCCCATTACGCTCAAAATTATGGCTTGCGTCGCTCTCGAGGTACTTTCAACAGTATTCATAATAATTACGCTTAGTATTATAAATTATCAGAAATAACGAATTTTTGATACAATTTGGCCGTTTAATTTACACTTGAGATTTTCCGCAGTAGTTTTACACGTATCAACACACAAGTGTTCGTTATTTTAAAATAAGAAAAAGAAATAATTATTAGTTTTTGAAGTTAATTTTTTTTTAAATTAATAGGTTATAATTGAAAAAATGACATTTACAATAATAAATTTGGATACATGTGCGCTGTTGTCAGATTGTCAATTTAATTAGAGCTCATACAGGGTGTCTCAAGTCTCAAACCAAATCTTTTCTATCTCTATTGATTTTGATTCCACATTTTCCGTAAATCGAACAGGTTTTCGAAGGCGATGGCCTGCCGGATAAAATTTGCCGCCCGTGCAAATACCAACTGGAAAAGTCCTATCACTTCCGGAAGAAATGCGAAGGCACCGACTTGAAGCTTCGCTTGCACCTAAGAGACCTACCTGAAGACGAATGCGACGAGGAGATCAACACCAGCAACGACTCGACCAACGAGGATAGCCAGTCAGCTGAAGTCAAAGAAACCGAATGCGAACCGAGCACCGAACAAGACTTAGTCGGTAAGTTCGATCGTAAATGAATATGACCCAAGTATTATCTAAACCAAGCTTTCCTAAATGATATATTTACTAATGCGTGTTCTTTTATAGGTGTAACGAAGGTAGCTTACATCCAACAAGAGCAGGAAATCGAACAGGATCCCGAAAACATAACGTTGCCGAAAGAAAACGACGAAGAAGACAAAGTAGCTTGTACGTTAAGCGGCGATCTCCTAAAAACCGATGAAGAAATAGAGGAGGAGATAATTTACGATATCGAAGAGGATCAATCGAGTAGTCTAGATGATACAAACATGGATGTTATAGCCGATGCTGTCAAGGCCACGTTGACGAATCAAACTGGCCTCAACCTGCAAGGGCAAGTCCAGATGAAATTGAATCAATCCGAGGGGAAATCTACGCAGGTGGAAGTGACGACAGAGGACGGTTCGGTTATAGTTATGGAACTGCTAACGGAAGAAGATGCCGAAGCAGTAAGGCCCGATGTAGCTCCTATAGTTAACGCCGACGGTGAATTGAACATATTCCAATGTCCCAATTGTCCTAAATCGTTCAACAGGAGGATACAGCTCAAGAGACATTCGTCTGTTCACATGCAACAAAGAGGTAAACGTTAAAATGGTTAATGTCGAGTATCTTATGAACCGTTTAAACTGATACAAGTATTCGAACAGGTTTCAGTTGCGGTATATGCGAAAAATGGTTTCCCACTCGTTCCGCTTTGACTCGACACGAGCGTATCCATACGGGAGAACGACCATTCCAATGCGAAGTATGCCAAAAGAGTTTCACGCAAAAAGAAATCTTGTTCAGGTATGAAAATACGGCACAAAATTAGCACAAATCATTGGTTTATTTCTTTTTATTAGGCATTTAATGACCCACTCGGGCGCCAAGCCGTTCATGTGCCCGCACTGCGAGATGGGTTTCTCGCAGAAAGAATCCTTCCGCGTGCATTTGAGGACCCACACGACGACCACGGCTACTCCTACGGACATTCAATTGCATTATTGCTCGCTGTGTCCCAAGGTATTCTGTCACGCTTCGGGTCTCAGCAGGCATTTGGTCACACACACCGGTAAAACTTTTAAATGCAGAGTTTGCGATAAATCGTTCACCGATAAGAGCTGCTTAAGGAGGCATTATTATCAAACTAACCATCAATAAATTTGTATTTATTTAACCGTTCCTGTAAATGGTTTTTAATGGAAGAGCAAGTATATGGCTTGTATTAATTGTATACTGTATTGTTGGAGAAATTGATTTTGAAATTTATATTAATATGTATTAATGAAAACTGATTGTAATTAGTTGTTGTAATATTTAAACGTGAATGTAATAGTTTTTTAAAACTTTTGGGAGTTGTTCAAATATTATATAGAAGGTATCGAAAATTTCATATTTTATTAAAATTATTAATTCTAGATATAAAACGAACAAGATTAATTCAAACTCGAACTTATCGAGACATTTATCATTGAAAATATTCAAATTCAATCAGTTCTCCAAACCGTTTCCACCTCATCGGTCCTGTACCTTTGCGTTATAAACGAATCCTGCCACTTAGTTCTTACGCCTGCCGCGAACATTTCCGCTCCTGCGTGCGCAATCATGATGCCGTTGTCGATGCAAAACCGTTCGTCTGTCGCAAATAGCCGGGCGTTTCTCTCGTTGCACATGATGCCCATCATTTCCTGCAGTCTCAGGTTACAACCCACGCCGCCTACGATTAGCACTTCGTTCGAATTGCAGTGAGCCAGGGCCCTTTCGGTGGTTTCTATCAGCATAGCGAAAATCGTTTCCTGCAATAATAATGTACATCGATGTGTTCGTTTTGCAATCGAATGTATGTAATTACTTGTAATGAGAAACAGAGATCTTCGGGGGTGTAGCCTTCTTTCAAAAGTTGCTCGGTTTTTTCTTCCATAAAGGATAAGATTCCGGAGAAGCTTACGTCCATTCCTTTAACGCAGTAAGGCAATTGGACTAGTTTCGAGCCTTTCTTGGCTAGTTGTTCTATGTTGTAGCCGGGGCTTGGGTCGTTGGATATCTTGATAACCCTGGCGAATCTGTCTAAGCAATTGCCCACTGCTATGTCTATCGTCTCACCGAATATCCTATATTTCTTTCGAGCGTATGCTATTACTTGCGTGTTACCTCCGCTAACATACAATACAGTGGGATTATTTGCGCCTGTTATCAACCTACCCATTTCAATATCTACAATTTCTTAAGGAATATAATACACTTGCTTTAGTCAGAAGGATTATTAATATGTAAGGATACGTCCTATGCAGTGGTTGACTCCCAGTATAGGCTTGTTCCACAATCGAGCAACAGTCCTCGCAACCACTGCTACAGTGGCTAGAGGAGCTCCCATACCGGGTCCTTTTGTATAGCAGATAACGTCTATATCTTCGGGCTTTACCTGGGATTCTTCTAAGGCCTCTTTTAGAACGATCAGTACGTTTTCTCTGTGATGCTGCGCCGTTTCTTTGGGTAGAAAACCTTCACCCGGCGGTGTAATGTACGTTCGCCGGCAATTCGATAACACTTTGCCATTTTTGATTACGCCTATACCTAGTTTATTAGCGCTTCCCTCGAATCCCAAAGCGATAACCATTATTTATTAATATTGGATTGTAATAAATAAAAGTTTATAGGTATTTGAGTTGATTCATAATATAACCTAAAAATGTGACAGGTAACTTCTTCCTTTTTTTTTTGAGCTTTAATCTTGTAGGCATTCAGCTACCCAATGTTGTGTTATTATGGCATGTTTTGTGATTGTATAATAATTAAAAGGCATGGTATGAAAAAAATAATGTTTTCTTTGTGTATATGTTGAATATGTTCTAAAAAAAAATTAAAAAAAAGTAGTGACAGCTCGAATTTTTTTGACAAGTTTGACAGAACTCGAACGTCAAAATTGACAGCTCATTCAAGATCAAAATAGTTATTATGACAAAATATTATCAATCATCAAAATTTTTCTGTTTAATAATGAAGGGGAATTTTCGTTTCGTACGGGTTTGTTGTTAACTAATATAAATGGCCGATATAAATTGGTAACGTACCCGCAACTTAACCTATTGACTTGTAATTGGGTAATAATGCCTTCTTTCAATTAAGGTACCAAACGAATGGAAAATACTCGGACGGATCTTCCGCTAAGAACGAAAAGACAATTTCCTTATACTCATTGGCCGACGTTCAACTGCGATTTCTATGCCCCGACGATTTGGAAGAAGTCAGGGCTTTGTGCCAAGAATGGTTTCCCATCGAGTATCCCTTTTATTGGTACGAACAAATCACCTCCAGTAACGGGTAAGTTATCCACATTATTACCGTTAATCTAACGAATAAACGCACGTTTTGGGTTTTATCTAACCAAAGAAAGTTCTATTCATTGGCTGCCGTGTATAAGCAACAAATCATCGGCTTGATTGTGGCCAAAATTAAGCCGTACGTACATTTAAACGAAGAAGACAGGGGAATTCTGGCTAAATCGCTCTCCGATTGCGATGTAGCTTATATTCTGTCGTTGGGAGTTCTCAAAGAATACCGTCGAAATGGCATAGCCTCGTTACTGCTGGATTCCCTTTTGAATCACCTCGTTACGCCCGAACGGAGGAAAGTCAAGGCGGTTTTTTTACATGTACTAACAACGAATTCGGCTGCCATTATGTTCTACGAACAAAAAAAGTAAACTCACGTATTGTCTATCTACCTACTAAGCATTATAAAATGTGTTGTCTATTTTAGATTTAGATTACACTTCTTTTTACCGTATTACTATTCTATAAAAGGCAAGTGCAAAGATGGATTTATGTATGTTTTGTATATAAACGGAGGACATCCACCGTGGACAATATAATATCCTTTTTTTTACATACAATCGGTGATATTTCTGTTATTTTTGATCGATTGGTTTTCCTTAATAAAGCTTACCGATTACATAAAATTTGTATGTAGCAAAATGGTGAATGGTGTGGGAATATTTCCTTGGATGGTCTACCAGTTGAACAGGGCCCTGCACTGGGTTTGGAAGGAACAGAAACGCGATGAACACAATAATCACTAAAAATAAACGAAACTATAAACTAGTCTTTGAATTTAAGAAAGTACTCGATAAACAAATTACTTGTTGAACGGTTTTTTTTTTGTATGAGATATTTATATAAAGTTAGATTTATATTTTCGTTATTTAATTTTAGGTATCGTCATTTTTTTAGTTCCAATATAATATGGCGAAATAAATCAGTATTAACTGTATAGAGTCGATTTATTGGAATTTTTGTCTATTTCGACATAGATTTGTAGTTTTAAAGGTGCGAGTTGTTCCATGTTTCTTTTACATCTGCAGCCGATATTTTACATTTTTAATGAGTAATTGATCAATTCAAACGTAATCTTTATACAGACATATTGGCTCAGATGCTTTACTTTTTGTACCTGTTTTATACCTTATTTATTTAACCAAAGTACTAAAAACTATTACTTTATAAGCTGTTAATTGTTCATTAAGGAACGGCCTGCACCCCATTTTTTACGTATTAATTGTATATAAAATTTAATTAGTTTTTTTCGTATGAACAAGTTTATGCTCACCGATAATTTATACACCAAAGTCGCTATTTAAGTACGTGTAGATTTAATTAGAAGAATACACACACATTAGCTGTAGGAAGATTCTGACGAAATCATTGCATGATTCATGCTGTAATTGGATTTTTTTCTAGATCGACATCGAAAATGAAGCGAAAATAAAAAAGTTATTTCACCGATTTATACCTCATTGTAAAAGCTGAATATTGTTGGCTTGAAATGTTTTAAGTGACCTTTTTCTAAGCCGTTTTATAACTGGATAATCCACATTTCTGGATAGGTCAATCTGGAACGAGTGAATTGTTCCTGTGTTTAGTACAAATTTAATAGAGATTTTTCGATTTTTGCCTCTCTAATAGAAAAAAAAAACACGGAAAATCGCAATCTGGATTGATTATAATTGGTACTCTTTACAATTATTGTAAATAAAATTTTTATATACGATCTGCGATTTTAATTTATAACCTGTAGAAATTTAAATGTTCGATAAATCGATTAAAATCAAATACGTTAAATTTAAATATTTTTTATATAAACTTTATGTACAAGATATTTAAATGTTTACATATTGCGCCCATCTTTAATCAATTATAACTATTTTTACAAAGATTAAAAACGAGTTTCCACCATGTGAAAATAACCAAATGATTTCAATTATTTCGTATTAAACGTTTTATTGTTCGTAAAAAATGGAATGTTTTACAACATAGAAAATATTTTTATTATTTTTTTTTTGGTTATTTTCCCATTTCGAGTCTGATTTATATTTATATTATTTACATGGATGGCTCGTATGCTGACATATTTTTTATATAAAGCACTAATTTCAACTAACGTTATCTAGAAAAATATAGTTTGTACTTAGTTTATTTTACATTTTTTCGAGACACAAGTTCTGAGAAAATAAATTAAAAAACGACTATTTAAATATTCAAAAATCCATTGCTTCTCTTTTTTTAAAAAACATCAATTTCCTATGTACACTTTTATCTAGAAAATGCTTCAAAGAATATGCCAACATTAAAATCGTAAAAAAGCGCATACTTCTCTAAAGTAAATAAAAAAAAATTAACGACCAGCTTTGCAAAACAATAATGTAACACGAAAGATAATTTAATGCCACATTACTGAATTTTGAATAACAAACATTTATTTATTGAATTATGCACAGATCAATCAATTTACGAGTCTCAATCAACAATAAAATTTCAAAAAATCGAATATAAAAATACTTCATAAAACTCAAAATAGTTTTGTGGTGCATTTAACTAAAATAAACAGGTAAAGATGATAAAAAAATCGATTGATAGGCGCATCTCAATCAACAATAGCCAGTCTTAAACGTAATAGAAACAAAAATAAACTGAACAAGTACGTGTGAGTTTTGATACTTAAATAAAGGTACGCTTGTATAAAAAATAGTATCACTGCAAGGGCTTTTTCACGCACAGAAAAAAAATATATAATTACAAATACGAAATACAATTTGCCGATCAACAATTTTTGTCCAAAGTGTTCAAAACGATTCCTCCACATAGGATAAAATCAAATCGCACAGAAATTACAGAACAATTCCTTTTATCGAAGAGACGATTCCGTACAAAAAACATCAACTTGGAAGACTTAAGTTTTACGTGCAAATTGACTCAATATTTCGAACACTCACCGAGATCTGTTACATTAAAATGGGCGCGGTTAGAAACTCAACTTCAGCTTTGGTCAGAGTCGCCGGTTCGTTTTCAATAGTTATTTTTTTTTAATATAAAGAGTTAACGTACTCAACAATTAAAAAATGTGGCGCTAACTTCTTGAATGTAGTTGTTTTTGTACTAGATTTGCTGATAAATAATTTTTCATTGAACAATTATATTTGATTAGATCTGATCAGTTCATTAAATTAAAAATGTCGAAATTAACAGTATATTCAAGATCAAAACAATTATGACAAAAATTATAACACCCAATTTTATAATTGTCAAGTTAAAACTCTTGCACCATTTAAAACAAACCCCCATTACCAAAAATCATCTCGCAGACTTCGCACACTCGATCTATTACAAATAAATAACAAAACAAAAGCCCCGTGTTCACAACGCATCTTCATAAGGAACCGCAACAACAAACACGTTTCTTCTTCTTCGCACGTCCACAAAAAACAACAAAAATAAAATACCAAAAAAAAAACCACGAATAATTTGTTTTTTTTTTACGTTTTGATTTTCGATTTTCAACCGGTCGAAGACGGCGTCGCCGACGTCTTCGCGACGTCCGCCGTCCCATCGAAACGTTCGACGCGATACCTGTTATAGGGCGCGTACGGCGTCCTAGACAGATCGTTGTCGGCCAGGACGCGCGTCCGATTCGCCACGACGCCCTCGCAACGGCCCATCAACCAATCGGTGCACTGCTTCGTTTGATGCTCGGTGACGTGCTCGACCGTCCAGCGCTTCAGCCACTGCCTGAAACGGCCCGCTTTCCTCTTCGTTACCATAGGATGAGACTGAAACAGACGATCGGTTTGTTTTAATATAAGCAGACGAAACTCGATAAATTAGTGGAATTACATTACAAGTTGAATGTTATTAGTGAATTCTGTATCAACGTAGATAATTATTTAGAGATTACCTCAATATAGAGCTCATATTTCATATGAATATTGTACAAATCTCGTTACAAACGAATAGTGGTGATAGAACGAGAAATAATTAAAAAAAAAAAACTCACCTTTCTCGCTCTGTGGAAGGCACTTATATTGTACAAATAACTGTCTTTAGTAACGGTAAACATAATTTTCGAGTCTTGCACGTTAAACTTGCACTCCTCGTCGTCGTTCACCTCGTAGCCGACGTGCTCGGTATTGTCCCGTACCGGCGCCGTTCTATCGTTCAAATTCCTCTCGATCGCCTCCAACAAATCGAAATTCTCGCCGTCGGCCTTCTTCTTTTCGACCGTCGGCGGCTCGCCGGCCTGGTGATTCCTGGCCGGCCGTTTGTTTTTCGCGTTGTTGGCCACCCGCCGTTGGTACAACCGCAGGTTCCTGTCCAGATAGACGGGAGATCGAGGCTTGGCCGTTTCGGCCGTCACGTCGACGTAGCGCTCCTTGTAATCGCTCCACTTCTTCGCCTCGTCGAGCTTCTTGTCGTCCTCCGAATCGGTATCGAGCAGTTCGATGGTCATGCGACAGTCCTCTTTGTACACGAATACCTTGAAGCAGCTGTCTTCTTGTACGGCTCGCTCGGCCGCCCGTTGGTACGCCATCTCCTGGTGCACCTGTACACATACATACAAAGCGTTTAGTCTAAGAATAAAATATTAAATAATAAACGTATGCATACCCTTTTGTAAGCGGTGTTGCAGGGTCCCCCGGTGGCCCCCTTCTTCTCCTCCTTCAGAAACAAATCCGTACAAGCTATGGCGGTGCGTTCGGTGACGCAATGTTGCAACTGTCGCACGGCGTAAGAGACCACCTTGTCCAATGTGAACGCGATGTAAGCGTGAATGCCGAACATCTCGCGCAACGTGTCCTCGAACGTGTTGCCGTCCATGTTGCCGTCCAACAGGTTCTTCACCATGTCCAAAAAGGCCGGATAGTAGTATTCGATGTCGATCTGCGGCTTCGGTTTCAGTCTCAACGCCACGGCGGTGCTCTCCTTGCGGTTCGACTTGCTCTTGGCCTCTTCGGCCGCCATCGATACCGAACGTTCGTAGATCTTGGCCAGGCGTTCGCACAAGATGGCGTGCAACCGGAGGAATATGTACCAGTTGTTGTTGGCCATAAACAGCGTGTAAGCCTCGTCCTTGAATAGATATTTCTATTTAAAAGTGAGCATATTTTTTATCGCGCTTTAAATGGGGTCAAGAGTAATACTTACAGGATCGTTGGTTTGTGCGTGCAGAGGTAATTTCGCGTCATCGTCTTTCGTTTCGATTTCGGGTTTGATGGCGGGACTAATGGGTGATTTGCCGCGGCCGTTTCCCTCCTTTTTCGGCTCCTTTTCGGATTTGGGCGAACAATTCGGACTTTCTTCGTCGTCTTTATCGTCTAAAATTAAAACGCACAAAATAAAAAACACAAATTAAGCCGTAAAACAATTATTTACCGCCATCATCTTCTCGTTCGTCATCGCTGAGCTGTTGTCGTGGATGAAAGAACAAGTCCGGCACGAATTGTCGCAACAAATGCTTGATCCTTCGCTTTTCGCTCTTCTGTATACCAGTTTGTCTTTTCACGTGGTGAATAAGTAGATTGGCGGCGTCGTCTAGTATAGTACGATCTTTATAGTGAAGCACCAGGTGAGGACCCACCATGGGTTCGACGCCGTCCTCGCTTTGCTCGTGCCTCTATTTAAAATACATACATTAATACTCATTGTATATTATCAACAATTACTCATCTTTGTCGAAAACACCTCGTATAGATTAGAATCGTAATTTTCACAAACTTACTTCGTCGAAAATGGTTTCGATTTCGTTAAAGAGACTCTTCGATCGCAACGCCTTGACGTCGGTCTGCTTGAAATTGATGCCCTGATGGTCCAAGCTCTTCAAATAGTACTTTTCGTTTTGCTCCCGCCATATTTTGTTGAAGCCCTTTTGGGCCTCCCGCCACTCCTCCTCCTTGGCCTTCAGTCTCTTCAATACCACCGGCACCGCCACCACCGGGTTCTTCTTCAAACCGTCGATGATATCTTGCGCCTTATCACCGTATATCCTATAAAGATGCACATGTAGATAAGAATGCGTAAAATTATATTTCTATTGTAGTACCTTTTTATGGCTCTTTGATGCAACGTGGGAGAGTTGCCGCCCAAACAATCGTCCAATTTGTATTTGGCCATATCGTCGGGATTCATTCGGCTCAATTTCTTGTTCACGCCTTCCAGCACCCTTATAGTCGAAGCGTTGACTTCGATAACCACGTCGAGTTCGAAACGCTCGTCCTCGCATCGGTACATGTACTCTTCGTATTGGGTCTTTCTCGAACTGCAAAAATCATCAACTTTATTATCATACACTCTTGTTAAGCGAGAGTAATTTTCCTAACCTGACAAAGGTGCTGTCTTCGGACCACGTAGGAAACGACACCCATTGATCGTTCAACACTTCCCGGCACAGGGGCGTCCGGCCGGAGCACTTCAGACCCTCCTGCGCCTTGGGAATGATGCAATAGCTGGCGCCCAATCGCTTGGCGGTGGCCAGGTCGATTTCGAGGGCGTGATCGCCCTGCGGGCGTTCGCTGCGGGCCGCGTTGTACGGCGCCGTCTCGGCGTCGTTTTGGCCGAGAAACTCTCGGAACCAGCGCAACAGCTCCGGAAATTTGCCCAGGAACGGCGTGGCGATTTGGATGAGCTCCGATTTCGATACGATCTCTTGGTTAAACAGGATCAGACAGCGCAAAAAGCTGTTGTAGACCTCTTGGGAACGAACCGCTTTTCTCACCTACACACACACACACATTATTTTTGTTACAATAAAAAATATATATCAACAAGTACTCTCGATTAGTGCGAAAAAAATGGTTCAATTATAAATCTGCATTGTTTACGTTAATTATCAACGCGATAAACATCTGTGTACCGACACAAATGCAATCATGTTCATGCTGCTAATACGCTTTTAAATCATTTAGCAGTATTTACGCAATAAAAGAGTTCAAGATACCCGTAGGAAAATCAGACAAAAAGCCAATATACCTTATCGAAAAACGCGTAATCGTTCAAAGTCCCATATTTGCCCGCCTCGCTGAGGCTAACGTCGCGGCAGGTCGAAGAGATTTTGTGCTTTTTGGGCGGCGGAGCGTCCCTGTGGTGCTGGAAACCCGCATAAGGCGGAGACCGCTTGACCGGATTGCCCGAAATGTGGCCAGTCTTGTGCACGACGCCCCCGTGCCTTTCCAGCATGTGGTCTCGATGGTACGGCTTCGAAGGGGCCTTCTTCACGGAGGAATTCGCGTGTTCGGATACCGGCGCCTTAAAAACAAACGTAGCACGTATAATTCTATAATAAATACACGATCAACGAACACTTACTTGATTGATATGACTGGTGGCATCGGGTAGGAATTGCCCGAATTCCGCTAGGAGATCGCTCTGGTTTTCAAATAGCTTCGCCACTTGACTGTACACTTCCTGTTCGGTGAGGTGCTTCGTACCGGTACCGATGCTCGAAGACTCCTTCAGCGTGCGCTGCTCCTTTTGGTACGTGTGCAAAATCTCCAAAAACTTTTTGTATTTCTCCGGCTGTCCTTGAAAACGATTCTGGAAAACCATGTAGAAATTTCACTCAAATTGCGATATTTTTGACGTACTCGTCTAACGTCAAGATTTTCAAAGCGTTTCCATAACTTATTTTATTGTATTATTAAATAAAAAAAATGAACCAATACCATTTCGGTTGATTAAAAATAGATTAATTCAGACAAAAAAACAAAGAACAAAACGTATTTTTTTCTTCTAAAACGCTCACCTTAATTTTATTGACGTAATTAATAGCATGATTGAATTCAACGGGTTGATTTTGGGGCGTATCCGTGTGCCCCTGTAGGGCGTGAGTAACGGCCGCTTGAGCTGCCGATAGAGACAACGAACCGTACGTAAGAGCGGGGGCGGCGGCGGCGGCGGCACCGGCAGCGTTACTTCCGTACGAAGACGTATGATGAACGATAGACGGTTGCTGTTGTTGCTGCGGCGGCGGCGGCGGCTGCTGTTGTTGTTGTTGCGGGGGCGGTTGGGGCACCGGCGGCGCCACCGGAGGAGCCACGACGGGCGCCACGTGCGCCAACGGCGGCGCTTGGGCGGGCGGCGGCGCTTGCTGTTGGCCCGACACGTTAATGGTGCCCGAACCCTTGAATATCATGGCCGATCGGTGTTCCTGCGGGCCCGAATTCACCGTGCCCGTCGGGCTCGGCATGCTGACGGACACTTGGAACGCGTAACCCTGATCGTTACGTTGCACTTCGATTTTATAGCCGGGCGGTAGGAACGTATTGAAACCCACAATCAACTCCGGAAAACCTTTGAACAGATTCGACACCCTTTGGATGACGCCGGGCGTATCGATGCTCTGGCTCTTGAACTCCTTCATTATGTCGAGGAAATCGTTGTAGACTTGCGGCTTCGAACCGAACTTGTACTTCACCAGGTCCAAATACGATAGGGCGTCTTCGACTTTCAAACGTTGAAAATTGGCGCCGGGCGATTGTTGTTGTTGTTGCTGCTGCACGGTCTCCTGTAGGACCTGATTCGAAGGGGAACCGCCCGACGGAGTCCTTAGCTGCGAATGGCCGGATACCGGCAGAGCCATGGGCGGGGGTTTGAGGGAATGGGGAGCGGCGACGGCGGGCAGGGAATGGCCATAGCTGACCGGCGGCGGCGGATACAGTCCGGATTGCATGCCTTCGCTAACGACTTTAACGGAACTACTGTTGCTGGTGGAAAATGGCAACGAGGCCGTCACGACGTTGGCCAACGATTGTCGATAGAGCCCACTGCCTCCCAATGGGGCTTCGCTAACTTCTTTTACAGTCTCATCCACGCGCAAACGTTTCATTTCAAATTACATTTGGGCGGCTATAACAAGAAAGAAACAACATACGTTAAAATTATATCTACTAATAGGATTCGTGGTAGAAGGATTAAAGGTACAATTAAGTGCGATAAGTGTTCTTTAATAAACGATAAAATGTGCATTACCATTTTCGCTACGCATCCACAAACGACATGAATATATTTCAATGATAACCCACTAAACATTAAAAACGGTTCAATAGATATTTTTCTTTTTTAAACTTTAACACAAATTTGACACAAAGATTCAAACGTCGCGGCAAATTCAAAATGTCGAAACTGTCATGTAAAAATGATGATACAGTCGATCGATTGTACTAAATACCAATCGAATCAAATCGATTAATTAATAATTATTTAAGTTGGTAGAGAAGTGTCAAATTTGACAAGACCACCAAAAAGTAAACAAACACGGTATTAAATACAAAAATAAACACAAGTTTCATTTATAAATTTCACAAACGTAATTGAACTGGCGTAGTTCAGCTGATTCGAATCACACAACACACACACACATACACACGCCCACTTATTTATTTTCCAATCATAAACAATACCGTTTTCCAAGGCATTTCGTGCCGATAAGACTCCACGTTCCATGTTCCACGGCGACAAACCGCAAAACAACAAACATTTCGTTTCGTTATTGAAATTATGCCGAAAAAGAAAGGTCCAAACAATTTGGTAAATTATTTAAAATCATCGCGCACGCGCAACGCGGTTCACCCGGGTTGCGCAATTCGCGCGATGTACCGCAATCTGCGGGCGATTTTCGGGACCGTACGTGTGCGAGATGTTGCACCTGAAAATAAGAAAGAAAGTCCGAAGAAGACGAGACTACGGTAACCGCACGACATTATTATTATATACCGTGCGTTCAATTAGCAACAGTCGAGCTTAAACTTTCCCGTTTTGACCTTGGCTAACACAATTCCGAATCGAAAAATTATGCCTACTCGCAACGTTGCCGAATCGAATCCGATAGAACATTTCGGATCGACGATCAATATATCATTTGGCATATTGACATATGTCAAATGTCAAAGCGAATTGTCACATTTAATAACAGAGTTGTTCGCGTCGTCGCGAGCTACAATTAAATAGTTAATAATTGTCGCATTAAGTTCGAATAAAATGGTTAGGTTATAAATAAACCGTACTCTACTGGTGACAACGCGTATAATAAAACCCGTAACCCGTAAACGTTAGCGAGAGTGAGAGCGAGACGGAGAATGAGCGAGAACGGACACCCGCCGATTGGTCGGCATGGCAATCGATAGGCGAGTGGAAGGGTAAGGAGTAGGGTAAAGGGAACAGGACGCGCATCGAAGGCGCCGTTGCCGCCAAACCAATTCGCCCCGTAAAGGCGAGATTCGCTCGCCCGGACCTTCGTCGAGTAAACAAATACACGAATTACGTTATGCGAGAACGCGAGAACCGTTTCGTAAGGTTTTCCTTGTGGCACATTTTCGTTGCGAACGAGAAAAATTCGAGTTTTCGGCGTTTAGGAGAAGTCGAAGAGGAACGAAAATAAAATAAAAAAAAAAGTAAATTCACGCACAGCTAACTGCGATCCGATCTTTTGTAACACGCTTTACGTCGTTGCCAAGTCGATGTGTTCCCGATGGTGCCGACAAACAAAACATCTCGCCAAATTCGGAATATTAACAATAAAACGCGATTATTTCGCGAGTTATTTAACAACACGATTAACAGGTAATTTGCCTCACGCTTTGGGGCTAATTTTAGACCACCAACAAAAACGGTCTATTGCTATAATTAAAATATTTACAAGGAAAAAAACCCGAAAAAACGAGATATTCGTCTAGATTCAGTCGAATGCGAACACCGCAGGAACCATATTTACGCGTTGGGAAACTAAAAATATGTCACTCACCTCGAAAAGGCCACTGTAGAGCTATATTTCACTATGTGAGCGTTTTCCGAAGGCGCGGCACGGCCGCCCGATAACAACGCGAAATTTCCACAAAAAACCAACGATTTTACACTGAAATTCATAAAAAGGAAATTATGACACATTATGTTCGACCTTCTTATACGGTAACCGATTGGCGACTGGCCGTTCGCTCGCATTGCTCGCCTGCCTGCCTGCCTCTTTCAGAATCCACAAAGCTTGTTTGGAACAGTCCATTCCTCTGCGGGGACGGTAGCATTTCGTTTGAATTTTTCAAAATCTCCACTGTGAAACGAACGAAGCGTCAAAAACGACAGGAATTTGATGAATTTATCATTTTCGAGCTTATTTCGATAGGAAACGTCATCTTTTTTGATAAAAATCGCTAGAAAGCTCATCATAAAACGTTACTCCCCCCGGATTTGAAATCGACCCGTCCTGTGTGTGGAATCGTAGAATAGTTCGTACTACTTGCGCTTGTCCATGGCGGGGGCACTGCTGCGTTGTGTTTCGAAAAAATGGCGCCAGTTTGGAATTTTAAATTAATTTTTTACGAAAACATTTATATTCCTTTTACTGACTGAACAAAGCAAGCATTTGTTATTTATTAATTATTATTGATAAATTTTATGTTATGCACTTTTGTAAACTTATTGGTACTATCTATAAAGTCGAAAATCGCGTAAGTGAAAAGGATGCCAATAAATTTGATTTCTTTCTCCTTTTTTAACTCATGTGAATCTGTCAACGGTCTTATCAATTGTGTCGTCCCATGCGATTTGTATTTTAGTGCTTTCTTGAAATAAAACGTTTACGTTTGTTGTTTCCTATTTACTTTGCTTTATCTTATATTAAGAAAACATAAAATTTTATTTTCAAAACAAACAAATCCATTTATGTCAGTAGAGGTGTGATCTTTGTGTTCCGTGGTTCCTTTTTGTTTATACATGTTCCGTGGTTCTGAGTACGTTATAGGCAACATCTTATACAATCAGCGCGTTGATTAAATCGATTTTATTTAGTTATTAAAGAAAACATAATGTTAATCACGAAAATTTGGAAGTTTCGGTGCTTGTCAGACCTTCGGCCCGCAACCTCTGCAACATCGGCCTGTAGATTTCCTGCGCGAACGGCAGGAGACACCCGCGTTCTTGGATTTCACCTAAAATTAAAATACAGCCGAGTTTAGTCAACGTTTGACAAACTTTAATAATCTCACCGTCTAAAATCATTTTAACGGCTATAGCCGTCGGGTATCCCACAGTTTTGGCCATGGCCGAATGACCATCAGAATCCCCATAAACCACTAAATTAATTCCCCGATTCTCCATTTTATTATCCGGCCACACTATACCTATATCGTGCCGTAAAATCACCAAATCGCGCTCGTTTTTCTCTAAAAAAAACCAAAAACATAAGCCCATTTCACGAGAAACCCATCGCAAACTCACCAAGGGCCAATTTAGCCGACAAATGATGGGTCAAAGTGTCCAAAGGTGTGCCGCATTTCACGATTTTCGCCTCGTCCAAAAGCCCCAATTCCTCCAAAATATCCACGGCCGTCTCGCTTCCCGTTCGCTCGCTGATCTTATTCCTCAAATTATCGTAGAACATATTGTGATCGTCCAGCCCTAGCAAATCGCATATCAACTTCCTCCACGTCACCTCCGGCCCCTAAAACAAACCAGATACCATGAAGAAACAGCTCGATAACACAACTATAACGGGATCCACAATAAAACTCATTCCTGACCTGTTGGTGCAGAGTGGGGTGGTTCTCGGTGTCCAAAAGCCCCAGGAACTGCAATTGCCTGGCGGCTTCGGCGAAACCGCTGTATCTGAGAGTGCCCCGCAGGACGGTGGTGGCCTCTTCTTCGATGCCGTACATCTTAGCGTATTTAATGCTGTCCCGGTTCGGAAACCCTTCCAGGTTGAAACCAGGCAGGAAGTTCAACGGTCTGGCCGCTCGCATCAATTCGCCGCCTTTGCAGATTTCCACGATCTGCCCTTTCCTCAAATACCTATCAGTAAATGGAAATTAATTTATATAGAAACGGGCCGCGAAATCCCCAACCCACCTGGCAGATCCCACCGTGTTCAACAGGGCCCCTCTGGGCGACCAAGAAAACTTATACCGCAACGGATTGTCGCTGTGCTCGGGCGCCGGCAGGCCGCCGCAGAACGATTCGAACGATCTGATCCTGCCGCCGGAGCTCTTCACCTCCTCCAGGCACTCCAAGGCGAGCAGATGGTCGATGCCCGGATCCAAGCCCACCTCGTTCATTATGGTGACGCCGGCCGATCGGGCGGCCTCGTGGAGATCGCGAATTTCATCGGACATGTAACTGGCCGTTACCATGTGGACGCCTTCCTCGACGCACGTCCTGGCTACGCGCGGATGGAGAGACGCCGGCAGGATGGATACTACTACGTCGGATTTCTTTACTAGTTCCTGTATAGTTAATTGTCTGTTAATTCTAGTATATTCTAGCGTTATTATAAGGATAAACATTGGGATATTGTGAGTTCAACTTTATCCAGGAAACTGTTTTTATAGTATATACCTGTAAAGCAGCTGGGTTTTCTGCAGCGTTCAAATACACACTATCCACACCTGGATATTGATTAGAAATAGCGTCTCCTAGTTCCCTTTGTTCGCACGCTATCCTGAGTCCTATGGACTTGTCTCTGTATAAATATTCAACTAGAGGAGAAGCGACTCTTCCAGCGCCTAAAATGAGCACGTTTTTCTCCATCTCCTCTTTATTTACACGGCTTTTCCTGCACAATTACAACAAATTAACTACACAAAGTTATACGGAATAAACGCAACATACCCCGCGGTTTTCCTCAACTCCTGAATGTACTCGTAATTCGGCGTTAAACTTCCATTACTAGCTATTATCGCCTGCAACCGCATCAATCGTGATGTATGGATAAGATTAGATAAAAACGAACAACACTTACTCCGTGAACAACAGGTGAAAACTGGTGCTTCTCCAAGGGATCCTTGGCGTTGCTCTGCAATATATCGAAGGCGAAGGGGTACAGCAAATCCCCGAAGAAATCGGTGCTCTCTCTGGGTATCTGCGTGGGCATGTTGTCGATGCTGCACACCAAAACCCCCGGCCCGTTGAAGCTGTTCGTGTCCTTGTTTCTGTCGGCATCGTAGAGGCAAAACGGAGTGTCGATGGTCGTGCATTCGTTCATAAACTCAATGGAACCACCTATAGTTAAACGTACAATAAACGGTTCGATTGAACGGGATCAAACCTCACCTGGATCGGCGGATATGTCGCAAATGCCCAGCATCCTGTGGGGCAACGAAGGGGCCCCGTACGAGGTCGGCAGCCAAGGGGCGTGGGCCGGTTTCAGCAGGTGCTTGGCGTCGGGTATGGTGAGCAATTTGGGGCTGTTCACCGCCCAGTAGATTCCGTTGACGATTACCGACGCGTAGGGGGCGATTTTCTTGCTGAAAGTGGACACATAGCGCTCCGGGTGCTCCTCGTACTCCGCCGCGTCGAAGCCTCCGCCCTCTTTGCGCTCCAGATAGTGCTTTCTACGTACCTACATAAGGAATGCGAAAGGTAGAAGTATATGTAGTTCATTTTATCACCTAGGAGCTTAAGGAGGCCTTGTACTATTTACGAATTCAGCCAAATGTTATAGAAGAATACAAAATCTTTTTACCTCGCATCCGTAGACCTTGTTCAGGCTGCCGTGTTCGGCCGCTTTCTTCAGGAACTCGGGGGTGACGTACTCGTGCGGGAGCTCCTGGAAGACCTCCTGGGATCCTTGGGACACGTTACCGGAGCCGGTGAAAACGAAGGTTAGAGGACCTATCGACTTGGGCATCAGGCCCAAGGCTATTTCGTAGCCGGCGTCTCTTACCGCTTGCCTGGCCATGCTGGAATTCCTGCAAACGCAAGCGGAGATATTTAGAAGTTTCAGTTTTGAATCCTGGCGCTTTAATAAGGAGCTTGCCTGTAATTGTGAGCTGGTCCGATGTGCATGAAGGGCGTGTGATGGCCCAAGGCCAGCAGCCTTAAACCTAGCCCGTGTAGAATGTTCACGGAGCCTGCGATGCCGGCCATTTTTCCAAAGGCTACTACGCGATTGCCTTTTTCGTCCATCAATTTCTCGTAGTCGATGAGCCTGATGCGCTTTTCCAAGATGGCGTCCAACAGGGGCAAATTGGATTCCTGCGCTTTGATCGTGTGGGAGAACATGCAGTAGGTTTTTTCAGGTATCAGCTGGTTCACGGGCACCTGGAAAAGATGTAGGTATTTAGATTTTATTTAACACCAACAAAACGAGATAAACACTTTACTTGTTTGACTCCGAATATCACCGAAGCCTCCGAAATATCCTCCTGCACGGTGGCCCCCGCGTTTATATAGGCGGGCATGGGGTAAGCCCTACGATTGCTGGGCTGTACTATCACTTTTACCCCCTTTTTCACCAGTTTTCTGACGTGGCTCGGGGCGAAGGGGGCCCTTCTCTCCCATATGCTTTGGTCCTCGCGCCTTATGGCGATTATCTTGTCTTTAGACGTTCCCTGAAATTATTATAAAGGATTTTGAATGGTTCTGGAAGGTTTGAAAGGTCTTTGGATTCGATAAAGCGATATTGATAAGGTTATAAAATATATAGTGGCTGTGGTTGATTGTGTGCAATAGCATTTTCGTAATTGTCGTTGAGAAATTATTGTTTAAATAACAGATAATTTGTTTAAACATGACAACATAAGTAATTTTTAACCATATGTAGAAAAATCTAAAGATATATTAGATGTGACATAAAAAATAAAAAGTATGTATAAGAAGATAATAAAAAATATTGTGGAATAAAATAATAGGGAAAATAGAGTAAATGCGAAGCTGATAATTATAAAATAACTTACATATCTCCTTATCGGAGTTTTCCGCGCTAAGTCAATGAATTTCCTCGCTTTCCACATATTTATATCGTATCTAATTATAATTTATGCTAACATATTTTTAATAGTACAAGCGATTATGGATATAAAATACACACACAAAGAATACTTAATAAGCACTAAAAGAGATTATTCGATAAACTGGCAAGTAACGCATATATTGTTGATTTAAAATTAAATTTCATTATCAATGCTCTTACTTAATAATTCTATTGAGAAAAGAATCAAAGCAAAACATTTCGAAATAACCTCCAACCTTTGTCGATACGCGTAAAATTGGATCGATAGAAAATTCCAAAAAGTATAGATGGTATTTTAATATGTATACCTATTATTTATGCATGGTTTAATGGGGCTAATTAAACTAACTAATTTAATCATTTTACCCTACAATTTTTAATCTAATATTTTGAGATATTTTAAATTTTTTTCTAGATGGTACCCAAATTATTATATTTTCAAATTTCGCGCAACTGTCAAGAAACATTTTATTATTAAACAATAAAAAAAAGAAGAAATGTCAAATAACTGTCAAATTCTATCAAATGTCAATTCGTTCTCTGTGAAACAAATGAAAGATTATAGGTAAAAAAACAAAAATAAACTACAAATTAAAATTTATGGAAAATTAAAAATCGAGTTTACTTCGATAATTAAATATTATTAATACGGTTCGGGAAAATGGCGGCCGAAACGCAACATAAACACGCCTACTTAGATTTGCACTTCGACGGAGTTAAAGGTAATGCAAAATTGCGCTTTTCATTGCACTTTTATTGCTTTCTATAATTGTCATTCATTAATTACATCAATTAATCGTTAGATTAACTTTAATTATCTGTTTAATCGCCCAGCTGGAAGAGTAATTATCGAGCTGTTCGATGATGTTGCTCCGAAGACTGTGGAAAATTTCCGAGCACTTTGCACCGGAGAAAAAGGCATCGGAAAAAGTGGAAAACCTCTGCATTATAAAGGGATAAAATTTCATAAAGGTAATTCATTTGGATTTTAATTTAATCTGGAGGTAATTGAGGAGTTTTCGTAGGGTTTGGGAATTTATAGGATATAGCGGTGAAGTGGGGTTAAGGAGGGTTTGTTATTTATTTATTTAATAATTTATTTGCTTTATTTGTTGTAGTGGTTCCGATGTGCATGGTACAATGTGGTGATATTGTCAATAATAACGGGACAGGTGGGGAAAGTATTTACGGTGATTCTTTCGAAGACGAAAATTACATAATTAAGGTGAGTTTTTTTTCAATATAATTCAATTTAAAAATTACCAGCAATATTCAACATTAAAGTTTAAAATAATGAAACTGAAGGTGACTGTATTGCTGAATGGCAAAAGTTCATAGGCCAGCAAATAAAAATTTAGACGTATCGCTGAATAGTAAAAGGTCTAGTTAGAAAAAAACAATTAAAATTTGGCTATAATCTGTAATGGTAAATGGTAAAGACCACTGCAAAAACCTCTTAAAAGGTCTGAAAAAACTCTAAAAATCACTACAAATCCTTATAAAGCCCCCTAATCATTTCTAGGCCACTTGAGGGGTTTCTTTTAAAAAACCCAAAACTCCTTTAATTAAAATAATTTCGTTTATTTTTCCAGCACGACAAAGAAGGCATAGTAGGCATGGTAAACATGGGCAAGAACCTTAACCAATCCCAATTCTACATAACCACGCAGCCTTGTTTCCACTTGGACGATACCAACGTGGCGTTCGGAAGGGTAGTCAAAGGCCTCAATTTATTAGTAGAAATGGCCGATCAGCCCAGATACAATGTCGTACCCTTAGGGGTAAGTGAATTATTAAATTAAAACCCTCAGTTTAATTTACACGGGGACGTTTATTTGTTACAGAACCTTACCATAGGCGACTGCGGGGAACTGAAACCGGACGAGCCTTGGAATTACCACGAAAACGACGGCACCGAAGACCAATTTCCCCCCTGGCCCGACGACTGGGAGCAACAAGAACAGCCCGATGATCCCGTCGAAATGGAAAACGTCCTAATTTCCATCAAAAACTCCGGAAATCACTTCTATAATTCCGGGGATTTCCCCGTGGCCGAACGGAAATACCTAAAATGTCTGAGATATATAGATTGGTTCAATAAGAAGATCAACGCGATGAAGAGCGAGAAAGAAAAAACGGCTAATGGTGGTAGTGGTGAAGACGAGAAGGAGAAAGATGGTGAATGCCATGATAACCAGAAGGAGATAGACGGTAAAACCAGTGATAATGAAGAGGAGAGAGATGATAAAAACAGTGATAAAAGCGAGGAGAAAGACGAAAGAATAAGGGAAGGACATGATGAAGAGAGTAAGAAAGAGGATAGATTGGAAGAGAGTGTTATGGGAAGAGACGGGAGATCGGTAGGGGCGGCTTTTAAGAATACGGTGTTGATGAATTTGGCGACTGCGCAGTTGAAGATGCGGAAGTACAAGGAGGCTGTGAAGTTGTGCTCGCAGGTGAGTTGGGGAATTTGATTTTGGAATGTTTGCCACTTTTGGAAAAACTCCCTATAATGATGACTTTCTCATTCTTCCAGATTATAAAAGAAGAAAGGGGCAAATGCGGCAAAGTCTATTACAGAAGGGCCCAAGCTATGTTGCAACTGAAGGAATACGATAAAGCTTTGAACGATTTAAATGAAGCTTTGACGTTTTTTCCGAACGATAAACAAATTATTTTCACGTTGAATAAAGCGAAAAAATCCAAATTGAGCTATTTGAAGAAAGAAAGGGCGTTTTTCTCGAAATTGTTTAACTAATTTTTACGTGTTTTAAATGTGATGATATACCTATTGAATAAATATATATTTGTGTATTTATAATCTTTTATATGAATAAATATATTACATATGTAAATGAACAATATTCCTATATTCATGTAAATCTTTCTTTAACCTTTATAACTGTCTAATGAAAGTTGTCTTTATCGCACCCACAACCTATATTGCAAACTAAAATGAATCGACCTGTAGATAAAATTAAAACATAAACTTAATATTAGCGCATACATTATGGACGTACGCCAATGGAATGGAAGAATTATGATTTATTATTGGCGTAATTCGATTCTTCGAATATCGATTGGAATCGATTAAAACCGTTTAAATTTTAATTCGACCGATTCGTCGACAGTCGACATCATATAAATTTCTGTTCTATTAAACTTGATGTACAGTAAGAGCTGCCTGTTAATGTTATATTTACTCCTGTTTAATCTAAAGGTAAGCCTGTTATTTTTCATAATTTAAATTAATACTTAATAGTAGGTACTTTAAATTAATATTAGATTAATTAGCGAAATAATGTTATGATAAGATTAGATAATAAGATCTTTATAAACGGCACTTGCCAATTTTACATACAAGATTACAATAGAAGAGTCTAATACAAGAGTAAGTACATTGAAAAATGATTAAATTGAATAACGTTTTTTTCACAAAGAAAATTACATTTCAGATATAATGAAGAAATTAATCTTAGCAATCGCGTGTTTAATAAACCTCACGACAGGCGATTATTGGACAGATCGGGAGAAATTAATACAGCTAGACAGAGCGAGTAACATCGGCTCCACTTTGAACCTGACAGAGAAAGAAACCATAGCCGACGCATTTATCTTGAATTTAAAAAAACAGGAATTACAAGTAGGCTTCAACGATCCCAAAAAATTCCCCTCGGCCCTGCATTTTTTCAAATCCCGCCCCATCATAGAAACCTCCCCCATATTCAACATCATCACCCGATTGCCCAAGGGCTCCTCTTTGCACTCCCACGATTTGGCCCTCACCTCCCAAGAATACCTCTACAATCAAACATTCAGAGAAAACTTGTACGCCTGCCTCACCGACGACACCCTACTCTTGCATTTCTTCAACCCCAACAACATCAGCACCTCCTGCGAATGGACTCTACTCAAAGACCTGCGCGAGAACCGGCTCGATTTCGAAGAATTCCTCAAATCCAAGATGAGCATCGTCAGGGACGACCCGGTGAAGGCTTACCCCACCATCAACGAGGTCTGGAAGGGTTTCCAGCAGACCTTCCGCACTGTCGTAGGGCTCATTACGTACAAGCCCGTCTTCGAGGGATTCTTCTACCAGGCGCTGCGAGAGCTCCGCGACGACAACGTCAAGTACGCCGAGATCAGGGGCTACCTGCCCCACGTGTACGACCTGGACGGTCGCCTCTACGACGAAGAGGAAGTGGTGGGTATCTACGAAAACGTCACCAGGAGATTCAAGGAGGATTTTACGGATTTCGTCGGCGCTAAGTTCATCTACGCCCCCAACAGGCGCGTTACTAACAACACAATGGAGGCCGAAGTGCAGATTTACAAGAAGATAAGGAGCGCCTATGCGGATTTCGTCGTGGGGTTCGACCTGGTGGGGCAGGAGGATAAAGGCTGGCCGCTCGGGGACTACATTCCCCAGCTGCTGGAGATCCGCTCGGCCGGCGGCCATTTCTACTTCCACGCCGGCGAGACCAACTGGTTCGGCTTCGCCTCCGACGAGGACCTCTTCGACGCCGTGCTGTTGAACGCCACGCGCCTCGGGCACGCCTACGCCCTGCTCAAGCACCCCGCCTTGGCGGAGGCGGTGAAGAGCCGCGGCATCGCCGTCGAGGTATGCCCCATCTCCAACCAGGTGCTGAAGCTGGTCGACGATCTGCGCAACCATCCGGCGGCGGTGATGATCGCCGACGGGTACCCGGTGGTGGTGGCGCCCGACGATCCGGGCTTCTGGGGCGCCAGGGGGCTGTCGTACGATTGGTACGTGGCCTTCATGGGCATGACCAGCAAGGGGACGGGGTTGCGGTTTCTGAAGCAGTTGGCTTTGAATTCGATCACGTACAGCAGCTTGAATGCCACCGAGATGGCGGGAGCTTTGAAGCAGTGGAAGGTTGATTGGGACGATTTCGTGGACGGATTGGTGAGAAACGAATATTTCGGGTATAATGAAGTTTTGAAAGTTGTGTAATTTCGTATTTTTGATACATATACTCTTACATTTTATCAGGCGGTCAAAACGGATTAATCTAGTTGGCTTTTTATGTCAAAATGTTATTCGAAGTTAAGTTAGCCTCGGATTAGCGTGTCATATTTGACAGATATGATAGATAATTACGTTATATTTTATAATGTATGTAGTATAAAAGTATTTATTAGATATAGAGTTACTAAATTATGGGTGTTTTTATAGTGATTTATCGTTTCCCAACTTAGAGAATTTTTTATCCAGGTAGCCTGAAATTTGATGTCGTTTGACATGCTTACATCTGTCATTTGTCATCAGCTATGTCGATTTTGAAGCAACCAAGTAATTGCTCATTCTTTGAATGTTAATTATAATTTATAGCAATAATAAATTAAAATAGGTATTTATTCTTTCTCGATAATGACTTTCTCATAATTAATGTAGCCGGCCATTAGAGCGCAACAGTAATTGCCGCCTCCGATTCCGCGGAATATCAGAGTTTCGGAGAGGTCGCGCCATCTGCTGTAGAAATACGTATAAATAGAGTCCATGCCCATGTAGTGAGCGGTAGCTTGAAGCTTGGCGGTCGTTAACAGAGCCATTATGCCGTTCAAATTGAGGCTCTTCAGCAAATCCAAGCTGCACCACATCATCTGGTGCCCGATTTTGTTCCTCCTGTAACTGTGCCTGACGCCTATCCAGTACAATCTCAGGTACATGTCGACCTGCAGTTTCTCGAACACGTCGGTCTCCTTGTAAACGTTGTTGTAGAACTTCATGATGGTGAGGAAGATCTTGCCTCTGCGCACCTGCAGCTGGCTGAACGTCTTCGAAAAGTCGAATTTTCTCACGACCTTCATCACCAGGATGCCGACGATTTCGTTCTCTTCGTTGACGGCTATCATGGAGGTCCTGTCGCGCATGATGAAAATTACTTTCTCCTCGAAGGCCTCCAGCGATTCGGGATCGTCGAGGAGCCGCGTGCTCTTCAACACCACGTCCTCGGGGACGACCACGTCGCAGATGAACTGGAACGCCTCCTTGTACCTTTGCTCTTGGAGGTCGATGATTTTGACGCCCGGCATCGGCTCGCCCCAGACGATCGGGGTGTGCTCTTTCTCTTTAAGGACCTCCAAGTAGTCCTGTTCTTCGCCTGCATCGTCCAAGGCGCGGATCCTTTCCACTTCGCGGGTATACCTCCTGCATCTGGACACCATTTTCCCGATGTTTTGATCAATTTTACCTAAAAAATTTGTTACTAAATCCGGACAAATTGAAGGGTATAATTGACGTGTACTCTTCTTGTTGAAAGATTTCTTCTTTTTATGATTATTACGGGCGTTAGCTTATTGGTAGATAATTTAATAAAATTTCGAGTCTTTTGGAAATTAATTCGTACGCCATTGGTGAGATATTAAGGCAAGTTTTTGCACGGTTTGGGATTCTTTCTAGAAGCATTTCGAAGGAGATAGGTCGTGAAAATGCGACTTTTCCTGTTGTTGTGGGCGATTTTCGAAATAAACGGAAATTTCGCGTGGGAAAACGAGCTGGACGTACTGAGTGAGAATTTGATTGAGAATTTACGAGTCGATCCGTTTTTAAATGGTAAGTTGCAAAAAATTCAGTACAAATATTTTAAAAAAAAACTTCGTCAAAATAACCACTGATAACATTCTAAATTGTATTATTACTGAGTTATTAAAAATCCTTAAATTTTAATAAATATGCCCTGTGTGAAAAATTTGAAATTATAAATAAAAGACTGCCCACTTTCTCAGCCTAAATGTTTGTATTTAAATTCTTGTTTTACTGGTTTCTAAAACATGTAATGACCTATTGATTTCATGAAAAAACGTTTATCGTGTAAAATGTTATTGGAGAATATTTATTTTATATTATATAGGCGAGTCAACGTCGGGAAAATTATCACAAACTTCCAAGCAATTCATCGATAAGCACGTCGAGCAATACAAGCAACTGGTGCTAACTTCACAGAGAAAGAAGTTCTCCAGATCGAAGAGGAGCTTACGGGAAATAGAGGCTGAATGGTCGGATTATGTAACAGGTAAAAAGAAATAAAAAATAAGTAGTATATTACTAACAAAAAGAGTATAATTTTGATATAATAAAATATATTTAGGATAATAAACACAATCGGTACAATTTGCATCGTTGCCAGATTGGCACTTGGTCATCCGCAGTGAACCGCAATCACCAAGAGCAAGTAATTAGTTAGCCTTAGTTTCAACGCCGAAAAGGTCTTTAAAAATGTACCCCAACCCCCGCACATCCAGGAACCTGTAAAACTCCCCCATATCCATGTGATTGAATTTAACGCCGCTGTTTTGAAAATACACCTCTTCGAAATTCTCGAATTTGGAAAACTTCCCGCCCTCCTCTTCGTTATCTTCCTCTTCCACTTTGACGAATATCTTCTTCCACGTCATCGATTTTATCGTTTGCCACCAATCCAGCACGTCGCTGGAAGCGCCCTCTATGCAGATCACGCCCGGCTTACCTAGAGAAAAATAACCCAGATAATAGTGATAAATAAGCTAGATAATAGAGATAGATAAGCTATATAACAGAGACAGGTAATCTAGGTAATAGAAAAATCATTAATCTAAATATTCAATAACCTGGCAGGCAAAAACCGGTCAATTTCAACTGTTGCGCCAATTCGACGATTTCTTTCCTCTTGGTTTTGCTGTAGATGTGATGCGAGTAGATCCAATATCTGATCAAATTCTCGTTCCTCGTCAGCGCATCCTGCGATTTCTCCTCTTTAACGGTTTGCACGTACTCCGAAGCGTTGTCCTGCAGCCAGGAAACCGCCGAAAATACGCAGGGCTCGCCCCTTTCTTGGCTGGAGATGAACTCGTTGAGGTCCTTATTGAGCTGGACGTGCTGCTGTCTGAATAAAATTCGTAGTATATTTATTAAACGTGAAAATCTGGCAACACCGCAAGCGTACGCTAATTGACAGCTGTAAATGTCATATTTTGCGAACACTTGCGAATCTCACGTGATAAAAAGCATTTCTACCTGTTTAATTTGTGATTCCTGACGAATATTTCGGGCTCGGTTTGAGGATATTCGTGCGACAAAGTTACGCAGGTCTCGAATTTCAAATCGTCTATAACGAGATTTATCACGAAATCCAAATATGGCGGAGGCATGGCGCTCTTTTCGTCGACGAAATCGTTAATGTCGCGCAAAATGGTGGAGTCTTCCACTTTGATTTCGCCCGGCTTGTAAAACACGGACTGCAGGCTTTCCACTTCGGCCAGTTGGTCTCTGAGGTTGCTTTGCAGCTGATTCATCATCGTCTGTAATGCAGGAGATTAATTTATTATTTTCTATTTCCAGAGATTGCTGCGTACGGGAACATTACAGGTTTTCGAGCGAAGGACGTGAGGTTTTTCCGGCAAAACTCGCAATGGTATTCGGCCACTCTGGTACCAGAACAGGAGGTGCTCAGGATTTCCAGATATCAAGTAGGCCAAAAATTATGTCAATTATGTCAAAAATGTCAAATTTTTTTTAAGGATTTGCGATTGCATACAGTATTGGAAGTGAGCATTACGAACGGAACCCGTTTGGCGACTTTTCCTCTGGAAAATTCCACTTTATTAGTGGTCGCCGAAAATTCCACTAGCTCAAATTTTACAACAATTTACAAGTTTAATGCAGCAGAAACGTTAGAAATCATCCAGAGAGTCGAGGGCACGGGTTACTACGATGTTAACATTTGGTAAACGATTGCAATAAAGTTAGATAGATGCAGGGAAAAAACTAATTTTGAATTTAGGGAGGATAACGGCAACGTATTCATGTCTCTTATCGGATCTTCGACGAATTCGACCATCCTTTCGCCCATTTCTCGCATTTACAAATGGCGCAGCGGCCATTTTGATGTCCTGCAGAACGTCAGCGCAACGGGCGTCAGCAGGACAACGGCATTTCGAATTCGTGACGCTGGATTCTTGGCAATCGCCAGAAACCGTCCGGAAGAAGGTAATCTGGAATACGAGCTTTTAATAATTTCTTTTCCTCAAAATTGTTTTCCACTTTCAGGTGATGAGAGAGTGTACGCCGATATATGGAAATTCGACGTGGAAAGCGAGACATACGAGCTTTTCCAGAGGATACTGACCTACGGCTGCGAGGACATCAAATATTTCCAGACGGGAAGTAAAGGAGAGGGTTTCCTTGTGGTCGCCAATTTTCTCCGGAAAGGTACAGGGGAAATTGGAAATATTTTGGAAGTATTTTTACGAGTGATTTTCAGATTCTAGAGGAGAAATCTACTACAATGCGCCGTCTATAATTTACAAAGTTTTGGACAATTATTTCGTTCCTTTCCAAACTCTTAGCCTGACTGGAGTCTATCAATTCGATGTAATTCATGTAAGTATCGTTGTTTTTATCAAGTGACCCTTATGATATCATGTATTGGTAAATTTCTGGCTATTTCCAATGAATCCGGATAGTGATGGTAAATTATTTTTTAGGATGAAAATGGCGATGCTTTGCTAATTGCTTTAACTCTGGAAGGATTGAAATCGTTCATTTATGACGGCTGGAGGTTCGTTGAAAGTCGGATAAAATTCGATGGAACGTTCGATAAAAATGGCATTAAAGCTTTGAAAGCTTACAGAATTAATAACAGAAATTTAATAGGTAAATGTGAACATTTATAAGGAAATTATTACCCAAAAAAATTAAATTTGTGATTCACAAATGGTCTAAAAAGAGCCTAATATATAATTTCTAAAATTTTATTTACTATTTTTAGCTGTAATGAGAGAAAATTTCACCGCAAATGAGGGTTTTCTTTACGAAGTAAACTTCACCAGCAAGAGAAAATACGAAAAACTCTATGATGAATTGTTAAATTGGTGTCAAGCTACAACTGTGGAAATTAACGAAAAATACTCTAATACCTTTAAAAGAGTCCGAAGGAATGAGGTATATGTAAAACAGATAACAAAAAAAATAATTTCTTTTCTGCATTTTATTAAGAAAAACACTCAATTTTCGTTATATTTCGTTTGCAGGAATCCGAATACACCGGAAAATTCGCCGATTACGCGTCGAAATTGTCGAACATCGAGAAAACCCTGCGAAATTCCCCGCAATTTCCCGGCGATCACGTCTTCGGAGACCAGCTAGAAGCGAAATCGATTCTTCTGAACGATTCCGGCAAATTCGCGTCGCTATCGACCGATAAAATCAACGGCCGGACGATCGATTCGATTCTGGAAAACTCCCTCAACGTCAACGGCGGCTTCGGCGTCGATTCTACATCGATTAAAATCGATTTCCTTCGAACGGACGAGCTGCAATTGCGGGCGATTAACAATCGCTCGATTCGCTCGTTGATTCGTAAGGGGGAAATTAACGATTTAAATGCGGTGAAAATCCTCGATAGCGCCGTGTTCGAAGGGGACGTGACCGTGGAAAATCAGAATATCCCTACTGATCATGTCCCACTTAACATTCCTAATCAGAAGCTTAGAATGTCCGAAGTTGAAGCAGATGAAATCACCGACGGTAAGAATAGCGCGAAAAAATAGACTGGAATATAGAGAGAAGATAAGGCGAATGAAGTAAATAAATAGGCTTGTATTTTAGTAGGCGATGAAAAGAAACAACTGAAAAACGTGAGTGTACTGAAAACAAAGAATTTGATAGTAGGCGGTTATCTTAATGACGTCGATGTGGCCACTTTGGAAAAATACGCTTTGAGGAAATCTGGAAGACAGGATATTACAGCAGAGAGTTATTATTTCGATAGAGTGGAAACAGAATTCCTGGATACTGATAGGTTATCAGGTAAATTTAACGTGCAATAGTTCGTATATAAACAAGCTCAATTTGATTCCTTCTCCAGATTCTCAAATCCCCAACGATTTGGTGCTAACAAAAACCGGGAATTTCACCGTACCAAAATCTCTACTCTTCACCGAACCGCTTGCAATCAACAATTTACTGGTCTCGAAACAACTGGACAATATAAAAATCTCCAGAGAAGGGACATTGGATCTTCTTCTGAAGAACACAACCACCGCGCAACACGTCACATCTACCAAAACCTTTGTAAACCTTCACGTAATCAACCCCATCGACTTGAGAGGAAAACCAATAGGCAAGGATTTCGAAAGGATGGATCCTCTTAAGCGCATCGAGAAAGATATCACCGTCGACAAGAACGTGGAAATAACCGGTGATACTGTCGTGGAAACTTTATTGAAATCGACCGATATCACCGCGTCCGGTACAATCGAGCATTCTTTCAATAGATTAATCCAGAACGGCCTAAAGTTAAATAATAAAAACATAAACCTGCCCGTCGTGTTCCTCGACCATCTAAATGTAGATGAACTTACAGCTAATGTTATTAATGGAGTGAACCCGGAAAATTTGGTGAGTGTATTGGTTGTAATAACACCTGTTTCACTATAATCACTTTATTCATTTTTATCACTATTTTGATGATTCCTGTTCAGGTTGTAACCGGAGCCAAGCACACCCAGGTCATCAGGGGATGGAAAACCTTCAATGGAGATTTGGAAATAACTGGAGATACGGACGTGACGCGAATAAACAACATCAATACAGTGGAATTCGAGAAAAACGTTCTGAAAACCGAAGGCGAACAAGTCATTACAGGCACACATGAAATAGATAATGTTATAGCGTTGGGAAGGTGAGTATTAGAGAATTTACTGTTGTCAGTTGTCAGAAGAATTTAATGGTAGTTCTTGAATGAGATCTGATCAAATTGATCAAAAATCAATTGTCAAAAGGTTGGGATTAGGTCAGGATCAATTGATCCGGTGTACAATTGACTAAAGCTCTGCCTCTTAAGCTCCAATTCGCTGCAATGTTCAATTTTACTGCACGAACTCCACGAGCTCCAATTCATCTACTGTTTCTCGAATATAGATGTTATTGCTTTTTCCAGATTGAAAATTAACAACGTGAAATTCGGAGAACAACCCTGGAAAAGCGTTCTAACCACCACGGGTAACCAAACCATCCATCCGGTTCTTGTGGCCTCCGATTTAAAAGCTAACCGGTCATCGGTGAAACGTTTGGCGATCGACGGGGAAATCAACGGAGTGGATTTCGCGAGGATGATGCGCGATACGATTTCGAAAGATGAGTTTGCGAAAGTTTCCGGCGTGAAAAATTTCACGGATTTGGTGGTGGAGAATTTGACGATTGCGGGCGACTTCGGGCTGGCCCGACGGTTGGAGGAGATGGAGAATTTGAATTTAACGTTGGAGAATTTGGATCGAACGGAAGGTGTTGTAGCGAGGAATGTTTATTTCGGGAGTAGATTGAACGGTGTGGATTTGAGCGAATTCGAAATCGACGAGGAAAATGCGATGGACGATAAAATAGTAGTGGAAGGCGATCACGAATTCGAGGAAATAACGGTATTAGGCGATGTTTATATCGAAAGCAACGAAATAAACGACATCGATTTGGATGATATCCAAGAAAATAGCGTCAAAACTGATGAACAGCAAATTTTCGTTAACGCACAATTCGGTAAATTAATTATATTATTTCCAATCAATAACAATTAAATCATATAATTTTTAGGCGAAATTTTCGTGCCTACTTCCATTACTCTCGACGGTCAAATCGAGAACGTGGACCTGGATGAAATTTTCCAAAACAACAAAACCGACCCCCAAAATATTCTGGATAAATTACGATTCAAGAAAGGTCTTACCGTAACCGAAACTCTCACAGTAAAAGACCACCTGAACGGAATGAGCATATCTGAATTGTGCGCACTAACCAATTCAACGCCTCAAAAGAACATCATCATCGAAGGTAGGCGATTTAATTGCACTTTTCTCCCTCGAAACTACCTCTCCAGATCAATAATGTTCAATTTTACCTCCTTTATATTCCACTATTGCTCCATTTAGAGATTAGTACATTTTTAGTACACTTTTAGTATTTTGCTGTGGTTATTTCAGGTGATGTTCATTTCGTTAGAGGACCTCACGTGGAGCAATTTAATAATCTAAACGTTAAGGAATTCAACGATAACCTTTGGTTTACCGATAGACCGATCGCACTACGATCCAATTTCGAATTCGATAGCAACGCCACAGTAAGGGATAAAGTGCATTTACGCGTAAGGAAAATACACCGAGCAATTACCCCTTTTCCTCATTTCTGTATATAATTTAGGGGCTGCTAAATGACTGTAAGGTACAGTACTTATCCGAGAATTACCTGAGCAAAACGAAAGATCAAAGCGTCGAGGCCGAACTGAATTTCCTCGATGGAGCAGTTTTTCTTAGAGACGTGGCAACCACGAATTTGGAAGCGCGCTTCGTAAACGAAATTAACGTGAAGGAGTTTCCGAAAACCATCCTTATGCACAGACAGCAATTATTCGAAGATATCGTCTACTTCGATGAAGTCACCGCAGAAGGTAATTATGAAAGGGATATTTCTAGGATATTTCTTCTATGAAGGGACAGTTCTAAATTGGTCTGGACCGTTTTAAATTGTTCTAGAGAGTTGTAAATTTGTTCCGGACAGTTTTATTTTTTTTATGCTTTGTTTCAGCAGACCTGAAAGGAGATTACCAGGTGAACAAATTGAATCTGGACGCGGATGTGATGAGATACGACAAAAAGAATTTGATAACGGGCTCCAAGTCGCTTCGCGAGCTCGACGTCGACTTGCTGAGCTCCAAGCGTCCCGACGCCTCGGTGCAAGAGGTCGCTATTGACCGGTGGCTCGACAGGGCCGTACTCAATGAGGGCGCTTACAAAATTACCGGTACCAAAACCTTCAGGAACGTGTTCGTCAGAAATGGTACCAAGTAAGTTATGATTTTAAGGTGCTATTTCCATGTTAGATTATTCAGATAGGTACAATACGTTTACTTTATTTAATAACTCTAAATAGCTTTTTTTATTTTATGCTTGAATAATGTATATAACTAAAATTAATTTTTAGTCTAATGGGGAGTTTAAAAAATATAGCAAAGGTAAATAACGAGAGTGTACTGATTAAAAACGTCCCGCAAGATATCACCGGTAGGAAAACTTTCGTAGAAAATGCGTTAAATATAAAATCTATGAAAATCAAAGGGTTATTCAATGGAGACGATTTGATGAAAGTCCTAAACAATCAAGTAAGTACCACTACTTTTACTCTTCAACAAAATAAGTCTATCATAAGTTAAAATGACTTATTTTTATACAGGCTAACAAGCGAGAGGATACTTATTTGAATTCCCCGCTAGAATTTACCAATGTCATCGATTCGAACAACGTGCATTTCAACGCCAAATACAACGGTATAGATGTGGTGAAACTTTTGAAAAATATCAGCGCTATCGGGACGTTGGAGCATATCGAAGAAAAGTACGAAGATCTATTGGAAATGATTGGCGATGTGGAAACATCACTGTCGAGTAAGTTAAGTAAAGTCTTAAAAAATACAATTTAGGGTACAATATAAGTTGATTATTTCGCGAGATTTAACGTGTATTTTTTACAGAACGAGCTTTTTATTTGGATTATTTCAAGCCTGTGATAGACACGAATCCCGTCACCCAAATATTCGCGATCAATGGCCAAATAGTAAGTTTCGAGAACGATAGCAATTCGAATGTAATGGCTTTGCTAAATTGGCACGAACGTTTGGAATTATTTAAACCATGTAAGTCAATAATTAGTAATAAAATAAGATTTATTTTTGTAACTTCATACAAAAATATACGCGTGTTTCAGATTATGAGAAAGAATTGGGCCCGTATCCGACTTATGCTAAGAAGTTGGAGGACATAGATGGAGCGGAGGTTATTTACATAGAACACCCTAAAACGTCAGATGATAATGGTGGTAAGAATTTACGTGATATTAATCTTATCATCAATGTTTACGTATTAAATTTATTTCTGTTTTGATTATTTTTTTTACTCTTTTCTCTTTTAGATTACACTCACGTGGGTCAATTTATGTCGTTAGATAATACTACGAAACGATTTTTCGCAGAATTTCAAACGAAAGGGACCAGATACGCGACATCTTTCTTAGTGAAAGATTCAAATTGCTTGCTATTCGTAGATTATGGATTTACCATCGAAGTACTTTGCTCTGGACCGAATAAGAAATTTTCGCTTCGACAAACTATCAAAAACGAGCATCCCATAATGGTAGATAATTAAATTTTTAAATTTTTATTAATTCTGATTTTTCTTTAATTTGCAGGCTTCTGTGATAACAGTTGATGAAGTTCCACATCTGATTACAATACAAAAAGACGACCACCCAAAAACATTAATATGGAAACTCGATAGAAACAATCAATTTCAAATTTTCGATAGTTATTCAGAAGGCGATCCGATCGATTTAACAACGGTGACAACCGAAAAAGGAAGCTTTGTAGCTGTCGCATACAAATACTTACCGAACACGAAAGATTTCGGTAAAATTATAATAAGAAGGTAATTAAAATTCTCTTAATCGATTTTTGGGGATAATTCAAAGCGTTCGAATTTTAGATACGAAAAGTCCAGCGGAAAATTCGTCAAGTTCCAATCGTTGAAATTGAAAGAGCCCGCAGGAATTTTGTTTTCCGAGCTACCATCAAAAGAAATCGCCCTGTATGCAACCACTCGCACCGCCTCCGAGCACTTCCTGCTGTTTCTCTATCAGGGAGTTTCCGGTTTTGTGAGAAAAATCGGCAGTTCGACTGTCAGGAATATTGAACATATCGAAGATATTACTTTAGATAACCAGCATTTTCTGTTTGCTCACCACAAAAACGGAAAAACAGTATTACAGGCGGTTTTTAAGGGGAACAAAATTTGGTAGAATATGAAAATTGTATTTACTATATTGTGTATTGTTATGTGTTTTGTTGTTAATTAATATGTTATGTGTTTTCCTATTTTTTATATAAATTATATATTATGTTTGAATTAATAAGTATTTTTTTATTATATAAGAAAAAAATCATTATTCTGCATATTTAATTTTTCTGTATTGTTGGGAAGAAAATAAACAAAGTAATAGTTGAAATTCCACCCAGAAATACTCCAAAACGTGTTTGTAAATTGCAAAATAGCGTTGTAAAATACTTTCACAACGCAAGGACAAACAAACAAAAAACTTTCTAGGTCATGGAAGATTAAATGATGTAATTTAGATAACTTATTAAAAATATGCAATTTAATGTTTTTAATAAATTCTCAAATGATTAAGAGGCACTTTCCAAACAAAAAGTGCGAATGAGATGAAATGAATTGGTAAAAACTTACCCAATTAATTATAATATTTATCATCAACAAGCACAATTATAACTATTAAGAAACGAATTTAATTTAATAATTCGTAAATTCCTAACAAAACAGATATCTTTATTGGACACACAACGAAATCAACATTTAAGAGTAAATACATATGCAAATGATTCAATCTCGAGTAATATCTAAGCAGCAAAGAAAATAAGGTCAATATCATACAATAATTCATTTTCCTATAATAATAAAAATTGATCTGATATTGATTGACTGATTCAATGATTGGTCATGTATTTATTACAGTTCATGGTTTTGAACGAGTGAAAAATCATATTTATTCTTTAACGGATTCTTTTCGCTCTAGGTTTAAACATTTTCTTGAGGTATCTTCTCAAAATCTTCAAATATATTAAAACAGTATTCTCAGGATTGCATTGAAAGTCCTAAGTACTCATGCAATTAACAAGGTATCAACTATCTTTATCGTCTAACTGTCAACTTACAGCTTTCATAACTGTCACGATAGTTGATTTTATTAAAATTCAACGAAAACTTCGATTTATAAATTGCGTGAAAATCATGCCTATGCACCATCACATCCAGCATTCGACGACTTGCGCAATGTCCGCCAGTCACCAGACCCAAGGCATCCAGCAATTGCTGCTCGCTGAAAAAAGGGCTGCCGAAAAGGTGGCCGAAGCCCGAAAGCGCAAGGCCAAAAGGATCAAACAAGCGAGAGAAGAGGCAGCCGCAGGTAAATCTACCACTCCTCTTTTATTGTAGTGCTAGAACAGTCCGTAATAAACGATTTGAAATCACTTTTGTCTAGAAATAGAAGCGTACCGATGGCATCGGGAAGAACAGTTCGCCGAATACGAAGAAAGGTACTTGGGTCGAAGCGAGGACGTAGCGATGAAAATCCAAAGGGATACCGAAATCCATTTGAAACAAATCGACAATAACGTGGCCGAATACAAAGACAGCGTCGTCAAGGAATTGTTAGATTTAGTGTTTAATATTGTGCCCGAAGTTCATCGTAACTATTTCATCATGAAGTTTTTCAATAGAATATAACGACATTAAATGGTTAATGATTATGTAGTTTGTTTATTAATACAAAGGAAATGTATAAATACGTACCTACAAAGTGGTATTGTTGCCTGGTAAGGTTAATTCACTTACACTGTAAAATAATACGCAATAATTGATTCAAGTATTGAATGAAAGCACTAACACCGTCATTTCTACACGATTTCCTTAATATTACAAATATTACCCTATGTTCTATTTATTAATTATTGTTCGAATATGTAAATAATGAATGTTTACGTTGTATTTTAAATTTTGAATGTTTTGAATGAGGATTGAGGTTAGAAAAATTACTTGTTGATTTTTTTATTTGACAGTTAGCGCCATCTCTTAGCGCCAATGCATAAATTATGTATTTTGCACAAGATATTTATCTTTGATCAGATATTTTGCCTCACTACTAATGATTATTACGATATAAGCTCCGATCAATTAGAATTATTGACTTTAGCTGTACGATAAACAAAACGAGAATTGGCCAAATAAAATAGGCTACCGAGGCCTTTATCTTTACACACAAAAAGCAGAATTCACCTTATTGACCTTGAGGTACTGTCACTTGTCAACGATTTTAATTCGACAGGTAAATTACCGTTTATTTTTGTTGAATTTCAATTTTTCTTTAAAACTATTCGCGGTTTACGAAGCATTAACAACAAGCATTTAGATTGTTTGAGTAACTGTGACCGGCCATTTGGCTAAAACATCACCGATAAAAGACAATCCCATCGATGTCTTACGACCAGAGTCATCCCGGCCCGAGCCGGCAAAATATGGCTACCTACCATCCATTCGACAACAAATACGACTATTCACCATCTCCAAACCTCACAGCAGCCGACAGGCTCCGCTCGATGGGCCCCAGACATGGCAGAGGATCGTTCAATGTGAACATGAACCCTATGAGCTCGATAAATCCCACGAATTTCGACAACTCGAACTTCCACCAAAGACTGCCTTCCCACCAATACCACAATTACTATTCAAAAAACAATTACTCGAATCGAGAGAACATTCATTCAGAGAATAGAGCGAAGAAACGCGACAAAAGGAACGCTAATGCTAGAAGAAACGAGAAGGATACACCACCAGCGACTGTGAGGGTAAATAAATCCGCCGAAACAAATACATTCAATTGCCCGAATTGTACACTACAATTCGACTACTACTGTAAGTGCATATCTCTATATTTTATCCCGAAATCATCTTTGTAATACTAATTATTTCCAGCGGTCCGAGGCATATTCTTGACGGGAAGGGTACCGTTGATACTCGAATGCGAACACACCGTTTGCCAGGAATGCATTCACAAATTAATCAGAGAGAACAAACCGATCGTTTGCGGCTCGTGCAAGGCTCAGTCTACACCCCTATCATTCGGCCCATCGAAAAATACGGCCCAAGATTTGCAAGCCAAGTTTACGCCGAATTACTACTTGCTAGGCCTCCTGCTGTGCAGGAAAAATTGCGGGAACGACCCCAATGCGATTGGTTTGGTGCCAGCTCGGAAAACCGCAAACGATTTGAGCTTATTTCAACCGAGAACTGGCGGTGAGTTAATTGTGGCAATTCTTATAATTATCGAGTAATTAACTCATTATTTCTTAGAAGCGTGTTGTTTTCTGTCCTGCGACAAGGAAGCAACACTTCGTTGCATGGATTGCAGCGATGTATACTGCCAAAACTGCTGTACTATCGTCCACAAAAGCGCCAAATCGTTGTGGTCCCACAAACAGGTGCCTTTGATCGACGATAAGAAGGTTTCGTTTTTGTTGGAGAAATGCAAGGAACACGATATGGCCATGGAATACGCCTGTAAGACCTGCGACGTGGAGGTTTGCTGTTATTGTTGTGTGGATGATCACGCGAATCACACCAGAGAGCATTTGAGCAAGTTGGTAAATATCCGTTCATAATTTTTGTTTAGTAGAGTTTAAGATGATAATAAATTTCTTGTTTGTTTTAGAACGAGGAGCAAATGAAGAAATTGTCGATCAATAAAGTCCATGCAAAGAGATTACTTAAGCATCTACAGAAATCTCAACGTGTAAGTTTAATTTATACATTCAGTTTTTTTTCTTGCATTGTTTTTTTTTTAGAAATTAAGCGAAATATACGCCTCCTGTACGTCGAGTGTTGAGAAAAAAATCACTGATTTCTTCATAAATCATCATGCCAAATTGCAATCGATCGAGGCTGATTTAAAGCGACAATTGAGCAATTACTCAACGGCCGGTTTAATTACACCAGATCTGAATGATATTAATGGTAAAGTTGCAGCTTCTATTGAAAAATTGATGGGGATATTGGTCACTTGCGAAACTAATGACATGAAAAAACTGAACTTGAAAAGGCTCTCTGATTTGTTGGAAAATGTAGAAGATACTCCAAGCTATTTGCTTTTTGAAGATGCTAAGGATGTTCAACTCGTCGAGTAAGCAGAAATTTAACCACACTGTATTTATAATTAACTTTGCAAATTTAGATTCCAAACTGATGAAATCGTCGATAAATTCCAAGAGTTGTTTAAATTAAAAAAGATACAATCCGGTTGTATTCGATTAGTTCCTGAAAAGGACTTGCCGCCTGGATTTCAGAATTCCTTGGAACAAGAATGCGAAACCGATGAGGAGAGCAACACTAGTCGAAACACGAGCCTAACATGTAAATCTCTAACTCTCATTTAGTTTAAAACGATCGATTAAAGTTCTAATTTGTAGCCCAACAAGAAGAGGAAATTATAGATCAACTCAAGCTGGCTCACCAGACGAAAAAGAAGAAGAAACGCTCAGCTACCGGTATGAAAATTTATTTGTTATTAATATCCGATTGATTAATTTAATTACCATATTTAGCCCATTGCGTCCCGTTGGAAAACGAATTAGTAGAAGTGACACACATCGAAAGCCTCTACTGTTTCTATGTTCAATTGAAGAAGACCCAGCAGCAATTTCGAAATATGTGCAAGGAAATCGAAGACTTTGTCAAATTGGGTGCTTCTACAGTGGAGACACCAGTATTACGTATGGATTTGTTTTTGAATATGATCGATTAATTTTGAATTTATTGTTTTCTGTTTAGACGATATTTATTTGGTGCTGTATCAAATGAAGAACGATAAATTATGGGCCAGGGGCAGAGTGAACGATGTAGTGAAAAAAGATGGCGTTCAACTTTACGAAGTATTTTTCATCGATTTCGGTAGCAAACAGATCGTTGATGTATCTAGGTAAGCAACTTTGCTTTATAGACCTGTATTTTAGACAACTTAAAGGCCTTCATAACGAAGTTTGTAATTATTTTAGATTGAGGGAAATAACGCCGATATTTTCATCGAAAAAATCGTTTGCAATTGAATGCGAATTGTACAATCCGACTAACGCGTCTTGGAGCAAGGACGCGCATATTTGCATGGCGAAAATGTTGAATGGGTAAATTATTAGTTAAAAAAATAATGCAAAATTGCACTTACTAATAATCGTTTTTTTCTTATTAATAGCCAGCAGGTTTCCATGTTGGTTAAAACATTGCATAGCGGCGTGCACGTGGTTGATCTGTTGGTATTTACATCAGGCAGAGGATCGGCTTCGATTATCGATATTCTAATTCACACTGGTAACAACGTATTGAAAAGCGACAACGAAAGTACCAGTTCCATTACGAAGGTAAACGAAAGAATCTCGTAAATTTTCTTTGCTGTATTAAATTTTTTTTTTATTTTTTCTAGCAAAGTTACAGTGCCGGTCATAAAATATTCGTCAATAGCAAAGAGTTTGCGACGCGACAAGAGGAATTCGTAATTTTGGCGAACGTTTTGGATCCTCATCGGATATACGTGCATTTGGTAAATAGGTTTTTTTTTAATTAATTAATATTTAAGCGATTAATTCGATTGGTTTGTAGGCCAGTAATTCGGTAACGTTAAAAAGGCTGTGTGATTCGATCAAAGCGATGTACAAACATTCCGACAAAGACAATTGTCTCCCCGTTGAAGGTAAACAATTTGTAATATATAAATCATTCATGGCGACATGGCTTTTGAGGCAAAGTTCTAGCTGGTGCTATAGGCAGTCAACGTGTTAAAAATCCTTCGTTGTAGGAACGTATGTAATCGTCGAATACAAAGATAACGTTAGAGGGAATTGGCACAGAGGTCTTGTTAAACACGTCGATTTTACCAATGAAACTTGTTGTGTTTTATTGGTAGATTGGAGCTTGAACGTCAACGTCAGTTGGTCGAGCATCAAACGGATACAAGAAGAATTTGTCAAATTCGAAAGCCAAGTAAGGTTTTTTTTTTAATATTCCTAAGCACAACGGTATAATTGACTCTTTTTTTAGGCAATTTTGGTGAAGCTTGCCGATATCGAACCGTTAGAAAACGACATTTGGTGCGAATCGGCGATCAATTACTTCCAGAAATACTACGAAGATCGAAAAACATTGAAAATGATCGTTTCTAACACTGAACCGTTGGAAGTCGCCCTGTTTGATGTAATCGGAGACGCCGATATTTGCCTAAACGCTCTCTTAGTCGAAGAAAAATTCGTTCGTTCCACCGGAAAAATGTAACTAAAATTGATTACACTTTATTAACAATCGGAAAATAGTAGGTTTGTATCCAAATCCAATAAATCCCTAATTTTTAGGTCTCAAGTGGTCGAATGGTCTCGCAGTAACGTAACAACGAATGATCCAAGCGAAGACGACGGTTTGATAGAGAGCATGTTGAAGAACATCGAAGAAACCATAGAGGAGGATTTCGATGACAGCGTTTCATCGAGCGACATTTCGAAAGGAAGCATCAGAGAGAAAATCGAAATCGTAAAATTCGTATCGCCCGATTTGATTTACGTGAAATCGCTGCGCAACGAAGAGAAAGAACGGAAACTGTTCGAAGAACTCCGAGCTCACTACAGCGAACTGCGAACGACTCGGGAAAAATGGTGTAAAGACGATGAGTGCGTTGTATTGTACAACAGGAGCTACTACAGGGCTAAGATAATCGAAGAAATCGACGGAAATAGATACAAAGTGGATGTTTTCGATAAAGTTGTCGAAGCGATTGTGGCGTTGGAAAATATTTACGAATGTATCCAATATTTTACAAAATACGGCCGGTTCGTGTTCAGTGCGCATTTGGTTAACATCGCTCCGGCAGGTGGGGATAAATGGAGTTTATCTTCCATCGAACTACTTGAAAGGTACTTGTGTAAATTGATCTTTCATTTTCTTCATATTAATGTTAGTTAAGTAGGTTTATTCCAGCATCGTATCACGTTTAATAATAATAAAAAATTCTTGTAGATTATTCGAAAAGCGTAGAGAAATATGTGCCGTCCGGTATTTGACGGATGGTACCGGCCAATCCACGCCGATGGAGATGTGGTACGTGCACAGGCGAATCGTCGGAGCCCTCGAGCCCCCCGTCACCAAATACGTCTCGTTGTCCTCTTTGCTGGTAAACTTCGGCTTCGCCTATAAAAAATCCAATTCGTCGTTGGCGGAATCGGAATCCAACTGCTCCGAGGACGTGTCGATTAAAAATTCGACGGAAATTCGCGGAAATTCATCGTTGAATTGGAGCGACATTGTCGAGGAGGAGGAGAAGAAGGAGGCGCAGAAGAAAGGAAATTATTCCGTGGAAACTGTGAAGGATCTGGATTGGTTGCCGCCCTTTCCAGTTACCGAAGGGGAGCATGACGTTTGGGTAACGTGCGCCGAAGGCGATGGGTTTATTTACGTAAGGTTCGTAATTTATTTGCATGCTATTGTCATAATAAATGCGCAATTAATTGTTAAATGTATATCTTTGTAGGGAGAGCGAGATGCAGCAGGCTTACGAGGAAATGAAAAAGCACATGAAAGAATACTTCGAAGATCTACCCAACAAAAACGAAGACTACATGTGGACAGAGGGGAACGTATGCACCATGTATTATGAGGATTATTTTTACAGAGCGAAAGTTTACGAGATTAGAGCTCCCGATGATATTACCGTAGTGATGATCGATTTCGGTAGCGATCATAAAGTCACAAGAAAGGAAGTAAGTTTTTTTCACCGGGTGTCTCAAGTTTTACGAACAGGACATCGCCTCTTAAATTTGTGATTTCTTTACAGCTCTATCGCGAAATACTTTACCCGAAAATACCGGCATTCGCTTCGAAAGTGAAACTGGACAGGGTTTATCCGAAATCCGGCGTTTGGATGGACTCCGATAATCAGGCGGTGTTGGAAACCCTTACGGAATACGGAAAAATCGTCGTTACCGGCACATCTAACGATGGATTTCCTTTAGCCGAAGTCTATACCAGTACCGGTATTAATGTTAACGAGTTCATCGTCAAGAAATGTCCGAATTTGACGAGGAAATTGAACGTTCAACATGAATGCGTCGACGACGAAGAGGACGCCATTATAATCGACGAACCGGAGGAAAATGTAATATTATTTTCTTTTTTTTTAGTTCAATTACAACTAGTTCTTACTACATACATTCAATGTTATACATATTTTCAGATTCCTCCTACTATAGACACCACCAATTACGAATACAAATTAGTAAATCTACCAGACACCGAGGATCTCTTCGAAGTCACCATATTGTACACGTTCGGCTACCAAAAAATCGCCATAAAAGAATCCTCCAAAATGACCGATAGTTTTTTCGCGATGACCGATCGAATGCAAGAGCTCGCTCCTCTGCAACCGGTCATAGACGTTCCTAAAATCGGTACGCCTTGCACGTGTCGATTCTTCGAAGACGGCAAATGGTACAGGGCGCAAATATACGAGACCGACGCTGACGCGTGCGCCTTCGTCTTCGTCATGTTCGTGGATTTCGGTAATATCGAATCGGTGTCGGTGAACGAGGTGAGAATGATGCGACCCGAATGGTTCGAGGAGCCCGTGTGTTGTCATGTGGCCGAGTTGGATATCGAGATGGACGGGAAACGGGCCGCGTACAACGTGCAACACGTGACACAGCACGTTAAGAATTACTGCGGCGAGACGAAAAAGGCGAAGATCGTTAGAAGGGAGCCGCTTTGCGTCGATTTGTACGAATCGGATGGCGTTACTTTGTGTTACGGGTGGTTGATGAAGAAAGGTTTGATCAAGCCGAAGAATGAATCGTTGGGGAGTTCATGTTGATAATTGATCAACATATTTTTAAGAAGTTTTCTTTTTCGTTAATTTTGTATTTGGAATAATTCCTTTTGTACGTTTAAAGTTTTCCATTATTAATATGTGTTAGAGAGTAAAATAGTTTATGTTGGTTTGAATTTTACTTCTCAACCGCCAATAAATAAATAAATTTCATTTCTAGATAAAATGGATATCCGAGTTACGTTTATAACTTGGCTATATGTAAGCTGGCCGGCTGCAACTTAACGCAAGAGACCATGTAACAGAGAAGAACTTGGCTGTATGTCTCAGAGCAAGAGACCATATGAATACGAAGAAGAGTTATAGGTTATGTTCAGCTGTCACCAGTACTAACTTGTGTTTTGTAGGGAATCCAGAATTCATATAAAATGGTTATAAAAGTTATTTGTACATCAATTAACTCGAATTTAACCAAATTTTTCCCTATAATAACCCAATGCAGTCAAATTCATACTTCTCCAATAAATGCTGCTTGGACAAATAAGGAAAACTCCGATTTCAAATGGCAAAAATATAACGAAAAAATTTATCCTCCTCAGCTGCCCGATGAAGAACCAAGACCTGCGGTACAGTTTACCCTAAATACATATGTAATTACATAATCATTTTACAATTTTTCTTAATTTCCAGTTTGTATGTCATCAACGAACTAACATTAAATACAGTCCCTGGAAAATGTGGTACATAGCCTCTTTAATCAGAGGAATGTCAGTAGACGAAGCCATAAAGCAGTTGAAGTTCGTACTTAAAAAAGGGGCCAAGGACGTAAGGGAAGTGTTAGAGGAGGCCAAAGTGTTGGCCGTTAAAGAGCACAATGTAGAATTTCCGAGTAATATGTGGGTTGGTAAGTTAACTTTACATCGGTTTTGGCTAACGATAAGATTAATTTACACATTTTCTTTTCATTTTAGCTGAATCATTTTCTGGCAAAGGGAAGGTGATAAAAGGTATCAGGAGACACGCCAGATGCAGGCCCGGTACCGTAGAATACAAGTATTGTCATTATTTCGTCAGACTGGAAGAAGGAAAATCTCCCAAACACTATTATCAACCGCCCAAAGAACCTAAACAACAACTGGAAGATTGGCTTGCGCAAATGAGAAGAAGAAAAATTACAAATTCTCTATAGACATATATTTATACCAACGTTACTATTAGTCAATAAATATAAATTACAATCAAACAAGCCCACTAATTACTAAATAAATACGTCAATAATTCCGGTTTACTCATTTGCCTATTATATTTTTGCACAATTTCTTGAATTTTTATTCTCCTCCTAAGATGCGGCGATTGATAACTAAACATTTTTCAACGTCATTTTTATGAGTAAATAATAAAATAAATACACCTCACCTGTCGCTATCTAATCTCCTCCGCCTCGCCATATTTATCGCCGTATGCCTCACCAAAGGCCCCAAAGCTCGTCTGCTCACCACCATGCCGTCTATCAAAGGCGAAGCCAGCCCGACCCTTCCGGTGGGGCCTCGTAAATGCACTCGCAGCAACCCCGCGGACATTATGTGCAAAAATATAATTAGCACTTCTTCGTGCTTCTGAACCGTCGATTTCTCTAAACCGGTATTTGTGCAATGAAGCAAATCGTCTAAAAGCGTAAAATTACCGATTAAAACGAAATCCACTTGTGTTGGAAGTAAACTTGCCTACTGGTAGGTTCAAATGGTCTTCGAAACTCTCTAACCAAACCACCATTATTTTAGTATTCGTGTGCGGGTGTAAATTAGATTTATGTATGCTCCTCTTGGGTGGGATGGGTTGCTTGTCCAAATCTAAACTTAAAGCTCGTTTGTCTGACCAGCTCTTTTCGCTCCACGCTAAAATACCTTAATTAATATAAATTTACTTCAAAGAAACATTACTTTACATTCGTTTCTACACGACAAACTGTTGGCGTTGAAATTCGATTGCTCGGAGGAACTGTCTCCGGGTTTGTATTCGGATGGTATAACGAAGGCTATTTCCGTACAAGCGTCCGCCCAGTAGATCACATGCGATGATCCATCGTAGGAGGTTTGTTTCTCCATTGGTTGGGTTTCTTCGTTGTTGTTGGGAGGTATTTTCCAGCTGGTAGACGCGTTACCGGTCCAACCTAAGATAAATATCGCGGTTTATTCACAGTAGAAGTCGACCATTTGGTGTGTACTGGGTACCTGGATGGGTGTCGACTCTAACAGGCCAACCTAAGCTGTGCACGAATTCCGAGAAATACGGCGACAAGCAATTTTCGTTCGAAACGTTGCTTATTATATCTTGAACGTGCGTCTGTTGGGACTTGACGTAGAAAATGTGAACGGTATTACAAGTCCTGGGGCTCATGCTGTCTAAGATGTTGAGGTCTTTGCAAAAGTCGCCGGCGGTGTTATCCAAAACGGCTAATCGCGTGGTTTCGTCCGGATTCTAAAAGATTTTCGTTAAGAATGTTGAGAAATACCCAATTTACCTTTTCCTACCAAAGGTTCGTCCAAAGGCAACAGTCCGAAATGGGACAAAAACAGGCGGGCCGTTTGGAAATCGTGACAAACGGGAGGCGGTGAGAATTCGTTCAAATTTTGCAGCGACTTCGTTTGATTTATATTATTCTCGATCAAAACCTGTTTACTCACTAATTGCGAGATAGCGTTAATTTCTCTCACTATCGTTTCGTCGCCTCTTAAAACGGAATCCAACGATGGAATAGATTGATCGCTGAAAACAATCGTACTGATAAGAATATACATAATTCATAAAAACAATTACATACACTTTGCATTGCATGACTCTTTCAACGCTGTCAGGGAAATACTTTTGCTTGACCGTAGACCTCACCGGAGAATCCTGCATGACGACGGGTCGCCAAGCGTTAGGCGGGTGGTACTTGGTACCCGATTTATGCCTAGGCAGATGGCGCAATTGCATCGTCCAAGCGTGCCGACCGAACGGACCTCGAATCAACAGAGTCACTGTCGGTTGTGGATCCTAATCAACAATCTCATTTTAATTACAAATATACATCAAATGTTACCGATAAACTCCACCTGATCGTTCCCCAGCGGCTCCTCCAGCAAAGCGATCATCACCGAACCTTCGGTGACGAAGTACCGGAACTTCTCCACGGCGACGGTCTGATCGTTGCAGTTCGTCGGCCACGAATTGCAGTGCTTCAGTAGAGCCAGCTCGTCGAGCAGCGACGAAATCGATTCCGGTCCGCATTCGCTGGGGAAATAGCCGACTTGTTCCAATATGCAGGCGAGGAGATTCTCGGCGGCGTCGCGCACGCGCATCGAAGCCGGTTTCAGGTCTTTTTCCTCCTTCATCTTCACCGGCTCGCCGGGTTTACCGATCGATTTCGCGCCGGAGATTCCCAATTCGGCCACCTCCAGTACCTAAACGCAACTGAATTTAGACATTCCTAGTTAATTCGCGTGCGAATTTACCGTCGTTAAGCAATCTTTGTCGCGCAACAAGTAAGGATGCTCCAACAGCCAGACGCAGCAACATTGGAAAGCCGCTACAATGGTGGAATGCAAGTCTTTCGAATGGGCCGGAGGCGGTTTCGAACATTGCGATACAATATAATCACATAACCATTTGACGGCTCTTTTACATTCCATTGCATCTAAAAAATAAGCTATTTATTGGATTGAATTTGTGGTTAATTGCACAATTTACCAGATCCCCTAATGTGAATTCTCGCCAAACCGGATAAAAGTTCCAACGCTGCTAGAGAAACGTTCAAATCCGCTTTCCACGAGGATATTAACCGGTGACACACCAAGTAAGTGGCTCTAACGAATAGCGCATGCGCTGAATCTACAACGAACGTTTACATTTATCATACATAAAGAGAATTGTGATTAGACGGACGAGCGTTAGGAATGTAATGCAAAAACAATGTGAAAACACCTACCTAAAGGTAAGAACAACGGATCATATTCGTTGGAACTGAACTGATCGGGTGTCGTCGAACGATCACTGCTAGCCATGCTCGCCATACTTGCGGTGTCAGAAGCTACACAAGCCGTAAATACAAGCAAAATACAATACAAAAATTAATTCAAAACAAACTAAATAAGTGCCGGCATATCCAAATAAATAAAACGTACCGATTCGAATACTTATAGAGGGAGAGAAAAGGGGACACACACAAATCGAATTTGTGCTTGTTCGTAAAAAAATCAGTTTAAATCGAATGTACCTGAACTGAGGAGGTTCGAACCTTCCGTGGAGGTTTGCGTTACTTGCTCGACTTTTTCGAATATCGCCGAATCTTGTACGCACAAGAACAAACCGCCCAGCAGCATGTGAGTGTTGTGCGGATCAGATTCTATTTGCAATGCGTTCATCAATAAGTTCATTAACTTCGGTTTGAGCTGGAGGAATGTCATCGGTTTCTCGTTAGAACCTATTAGTAAGAAGAAAATTAATAACGCCAGTGCGATAATTTTACTTTACCGGTCTTTTTTTACCTGTATTGATGAGCTCCTTAATGGCGACATTTTGAAAATGCAACGGCAACACCAACATGGACAGGAGCAATTGAATGCAGCACTTTCTCAGTTCGGTTTTGTTTATGCAGGGGTTTTTCAATTTCAAATCTTTGTCGGGAAGTACGATCTCCAAAGCGGATACGAACGACGGGATTAATATTCGAGCGCCATCTAAATCCAGATGGAAGAGATTCGTCGAATTCGTCAAAATGGCTACCATGCATTCGCCGCACTCTCGATTCGCCGGCACTTTCAAACCTTGCAAAATCGCCAGATAAAACCTGAGAAAAAAATTACTTAATCAAGATTGCGAAACGTCAACTGTCAAACAGATAATTTTCAAATACGAAGGATGTTTCCAAAGTTGTGGGAATTACTACATTAAACTACTAAAAATATTACTGAACAACGTTGCACTAGATAGTTAAGAAAACTTATTTTAAACATAATTCCCTGAACATTGGAAAGATCCCTCGTATTTGGAAATTGTCAGTTTGACAGATGACAGAAGACTCATTTTTTTTACACGAAAAAAATTTAAATTAAACAAAACTCGAGTGGTACTCTACAGGTTGATTCATTTTAACCATGTTGCAATCGGAAATGGAGTAAGGTGTATAATAAACATGCGAACCTTCCGAGATATACGGGTAGAATTTCTTCGGCGGTTTTCTTAGCGCACATAATGCGACACAAAGTGCCCAGGGCTTCGGCTTTGCCGCTTTCGTACTTATCGATGGTCAGATGCAATGGTACTTCGGTACTGTCGGTCATCGAGCCGGGCTGCGAAAAATTCAACGACGTTTTCGAATCCATCACAATCGAATTGGGCCGTTTAGAATCGCTGGTGTGCTCTAAAATAAAGAACGAGTTAAGGCCAGTGGTGGATTGATTAATTCGGACTAATACTCTGCGGTAATTCGGCTCCGATGAAAGCTGCTTCGAACAGCCATTCGCCGAATAGATGCAAAATCGTGTTGCATTTGGTCCTTCCCGGCGCCAGCGGTGTTCGGGGTTCAGAACCAAATGATACTAAAGCTGAAATAATGTTCGTTATTGATGGTATTAAGAGTAATGATATACGTACAAGAAGTGCTCGAAGCTGAAGACTGCCCCAAACTAGAAACAGGCGGTTGTACAACCGAACTACGACTTGTAGTTAATCCTATTAAAGAAGTCTTCGGAATACCTAAATACATAATCAATTGAATGTAATAATCAACGATAAAACGGTTATGTTTAGCACATAAAACGAGACTAAGCATGCTTATATTTACGACAAGAAGCTACGTTAAAAGTGAATTTACATTATTTACGTGTAAACTAATTTAATCGAAACAACAACAAAATGTACTGAATGCTCTCGCTTATGTACAGAAAGCAATCGTCGAACGAAAGAAGAAAGAGAAACAAACAACCACAAAACTCTACCCTTATTGACTGAAGATGGTGTAACACTAAAGCTTTTAGCTAGCCGACGTTGAGTAGGTGGTGTAGGTGAATGTGTGATCGGCGGTGCTTCCTTGTTCTTATCGCTACCGGCAACGCCGGTCACTACGTTGTCCCACCAGATGGGCTGTGCAATACCTGCACCAAACAGAAGTGATTCGAATAAAGAAAAAGAAAATAAATAAAGGTCCGTTCGCTGCATTAGCCGAGGACGCATGAAACGATAAGTTAATATGTACGCAAAATGTTAATTCGTCTCGGACATTTTTACAACATTTACAACGTACATACTGAAATGAACGAGTTAGTTCGGATTTGTTAATGGCGTTAGTACGAACCCAAGAAGGCGTCGACCTGGCCGGCTATGCCTTTGATGGCCTTTAGGAATATCAAAGGCAAACTTTCCAGGCAAGGATGCTGGCAAGGGTCAATTACGCTGTCTGTGCTTATAGCGAATTGAAGGAATTTCTCGGTTTGGCTAATCACCTAAAAGAAACCAATATACTTCTCCATAGACAATCCTGTAACACCTACTTTGGGTTTCGTGAGACACACCGGATTACCAATGGTATTCAAAAATCTGTACCAACTTTGTGCGATGCAATCATTCGACATCCCTGCAGGTATTAAATCCTCTTCACCTAGAACACAAAAATGGTATTCTAGAATATGTTACGTAATATTTACCGATTTTTAATTCTGGAAATGCAGGACCGTACATAAATAAAAGAACCTTTGAAGTTAACGCAAGATTCACTCTATTCCATTGCTCGATCAAAGCCACCCGGTGCCTCCAATTCATGCAGGATTCTCTTAACGTTTTCCACAAAGGAGGTGATGGAAAGCACTGTGCGCAAGCTATCAGCCATACCTAAACAAATGGTATTATAGATATAATACAAATCATTATCGCAAGCTTAATAATTACTTCGAAAAGCACGCTAAGTACTCTTTCGCACAGCTGATCAGCAACGTCATCTTTCACAGTTGGTGGACTCAATAAGGTATCATTTATACCTAATAAAAATAATAAGAGGGCCTCCCATGTATCTCTTTCGAGAATTTTGGATTCGTGTGCAATTTGTTGTAGAGTTCTAAGCACTCTGTGACAAAATACGGCTTGTCTGTGGATTGTATCGAAACCTAGAAAACATTGTGTTAATTGTGTTGAATAAGTTTATTTGGTTTACGTAAAAACAATAAATAGGAATTTACCAGCTAAAATTATGAGTGTGTTTCATTAAATTTATGTATTTAGCAGATAACTCCCCGAGTAGCCGAGAAAAAATGTTAGTAAAGTGTATTAGACTGTTGATTAGTGTAAATATTACAAATTATTCTAAACCTACCTAAATCCTGATAAAGAAATGGCCAGTCTTGAAAAAGTGAAAATCAAGTTAGTACAGAATGCAATAGTGGAATAAAATAAAAACAAATATCATTCAATGTACAAAATATTATTTTAACTAAAGAATTTTAGTAGAAATAAATAAAAGAGTGCATAAAGACATTTTTTGGTGCATCTAGAATGTATTAAGCGAATTTACCTTCTCCTTTGCGAGGAACAAACAGGTAATGCAAATGACCAATAATTTTTCTGCAATAAACATTAGGATCATCTAAAATCGGTTGTGGAACGCAAACTTTCGGAATGGGTAATAAAGCTGTAAGCCACTCGCAATACACGTTAACACAATCTTTTATAGCTTCGTGTTCAGACAATGGAAGAGACAATCCAAAACACAATACTTCCATGCACCATTGAACCTAAAATTGGAAAAATCAAATATATTGCACTCTTCGTAAATAATTAAACTTACATCTTTATCGGAGAGTAAATGGCTGGGCTCGGCTGGCTGCGTTATGCCTAGATTACCAGCTAACTGATGAACCAAAACCGATGTAATTTCCTTGCTAATGGGAAATCCAAACTTTTCTAATACACTTTTGCAACCGTCCTCGTCTTCCCTTTGGGCAAACAAATTCAGGGACGTCCATTCCGAGTACATACCTTTCCTTTTATCTTCCTAAAAATTAAACAGTACAAACCTACAGAAGTTCATGTAAATTGGAATTACTCACTTTCAAATTCATGCGATTAAACAATCCCAAATTCATATGCGAGCTTTTAAAATGCAACGAATGTGTATTTAAAATTGCATTTTTAATACTATTACTAATTAACGAATTATTACTTATTACAAATATAAGAGAATTTGTTACAAATTGTAAATAAAAACTTGTTGACGTTCGGGTGTAATTTGACAGTTATTGTCAAAAGTCAAAATAATTTCATGTTGCTGTAGAACTACATAGTAAAGGTCTGAGATTAGTTAAAAAATACATAAAAAAGAAGAATATTATAACCCCAACATAACAAAATTGTCAATTTTATAATTATTTCTTCATTAATCAAAATAATAACATACAAGAATCGCGAGTGTAGTTTTATTAAGTTAGGTTTATGAATTAAACGAATTACAATAATATGACTATAGATAACCTGGAAAGCGACAACATAATATTAGCTACAGGGGGCTACGATCACACAATAAAATTATGGCAAACTCACACAGGAATTTGTACGAGAACCTTACAACACGCCGAATCGGTACGTAACTAAATCTCCTTCATTCGGCCGTTAATTTCCACTATTCATACAGCAAGTAAACGCGTTAGAAATAACTCCTGACCGCCAACACCTAGCCGCAGCCAGTTACCAGCACATCTACATGTACGACTTGGCCTCGAATAACCACAACGCGATCGTAAACTACGAAGGCACCTCCAAGAACGTAACGTGCGTGGGCTTCCAGGAGGACGGCAAATGGATGTATTCAGGCGGAGAAGACAGCAGGGCCAGGATATGGGACCTGAGGTCGAGGAACAATCAATGCCCCAAGATATTCGAAGTCCAGTCGCCCATCAACTGCGTCGCCTTGCACCCCAATCAAGTGGAATTGTTTGTGGGCGATCAGAACGGGATTATTTACAGATGGGATCTTCGTACGGATAATAACGAGCAATTAGTACGAGTCGTTTGGGATTAGATCGAGAGATTAGGTTAATGTGCGGTTTGTTGTAGATTCCTGAAAACGATGCTGTGATTTTAGACGTGGAAATATCTCCTGATAGCAAACTGATGGCGTCTGTGAATAATAAAGGCCGTTGTTACATATGGAGTTTGGTTACAGGAATGGTGGATACCCCGACGAAAATGGTGCCCAAGCAAAAATTCGAAGCGCATACTAGACATACGTTGAAATGTAAATTTAGCGCGGATTCCAGGTAAAGTAGTATTAAATCGGCATTGGGTCGTTTATACTAGTTGTATAATTCGTGTTTGTTTCAGTTTATTAGCGACGACTTCTGCAGATACTACTACGAGAATATGGAGAGTCGATGAGAATTTTGGACTCTTGCGGGAAATCAAGCAACCTGAAAGTCAACGATGGGTGTGGGACGCAGCTTTTAGCGCGGACGGGCAATATTTGTTTACAGGCGAGTCATTATCCATTACACGTTTCTAAAATTTAAACGTGGCGCGCTCCTGCAAGTACAATTTTCAATAAATTTATTTTTTTAGCTTCCTCCAGCGGTTTCGCTAGGTTGTGGAATCTAGAAAGCGGCGCGATGGAGAGAGAATATGCAGGTCATCAAAAAGCGATCACTGCCCTAGCATTTAGAGATACTTCATAATCGCATAAATTAGCTTATAAAATAAAAAAAAATTGAAAAACGACGTTCTATTAGTTTAATTTGATCGATATAACAAATCATTACGAAAGAGATTTTATTGTATTAAATTAATTTAACACATCCACGAAAATTTTTAAATTATTGCTAATAATCCACCACAAAATTTTCTCGTTAAAAATTTAAATTAACAGAATCCGTCTTTCGTCGATATGTACATGATCAAATCGACCACTCTGTTCGAATAACCATATTCGTTGTCGTACCAAGATATTAATTTGACGAATTTATCGTTCAGAGCGATCCCCGCCAAGGCGTCAAACGTAGACGAATGAGTATCTCCGCAAAAATCCGTCGACACCACCTCCTCCTCGGTGTAGTTCAAAATACCTTTAAAGGCCCCTTTGCTGGCTTCCTTAATCGCCGCCTTGATCTTATCGTATGGCGCGGATTTCGCCAATCTGGCTGTTAAATCGACTACAGACACGTTCGGGACGGGTACTCGAAATGCCATACCGGTTAATTTGCCTAAAACGAGCCAAATTTAAATAAGTGCGTGTATAAACGTAGCCATTTTGAAAAATCTGAAAATTAAAATAGGGAAGTGAAAAAGGGAAAGGAAGTGATCGAGATTCGAGGAAAATAACAAGATGACCAAAGAACAACACGAATGTATATTGTATATTAATAAATTCTAAAAATAAAAATCATTTCCACTGAAAAATTAATGTGTTCTTCAAAACACCAATCATTAAATGAATACTAATTTCAATAATTTACGACATTCTTTTTACTTTGTAACGGTACGATGAAACTCGTTATTCCTAAACGACGTTGAAAACCTTAAGCATCTTTGGTCGAGATGTACAAGATGAGATCGACCACTCTGTTGGAGTAACCAAACTCGTTGTCGTACCAAGAGATGAGCTTGACGAATTTGTCGTTCAACTGTATACCAGCTTTGGCATCGAACACGGACGAGTGTTCGTCGGAAATGAAATCTGAAGACACCACCTCGTCCTCGGTGTAGCCCAAAATGCCCTTCATCGCCCCCTCCGAAGCCTCCTTAATCTTAGCCTTAATGTCATCGTAAGTGGCCGATTTGCCCAAACGCACAGTCAAATCGACAACGGAAACGTTCGCAACAGGCACACGGAAGGCCATACCAGTCAATTTGCCTAAAATATATCCACCGCGACCATTTAAAACATCGTTTCGTTTATGATTAGTGGAGAGTAGAGGATGAGAACTTACCGTTTAGGCTGGGAATGACTTTGCCTACAGCCTTGGCGGCGCCGGTGGCGGCGGGAATGATGTTCTGGCCGGCCCCGCGGCCGTCCCTCCACAGCTTACCGGACGGACCGTCCACGGTCTTTTGGGTGGCGGTGGTGGCGTGCACGGTGGTCATCAAAGCCTCGACGATTTCAAAGTTGTCGTGTATGACTTTGGCCAAGGGCGCCAGGCAGTTGGTGGTGCACGACGCGTTCGAGATGACCTTGCGTTACAAGGTGAACAAAGTCAATTCGTATTATGTAATGTCGGATGTTAAACACTTACGGGATCTGATGGATTGTAAGAGTCCAAGTTGACGCCGCACACGTACATCGGAGCGTCCGCGGACGGGGCCGAAATGATGACTTTCTTAGCACCGCCGGCCAAATGTTGCTTGGCCTTGTCGATGGTGGTGAACACACCGGTGGATTCAACTACGTAGCTCGCGCCATCCTCACCCCATGGGATTTTCTACGAAAACCACAATAAATTACAAAAATATCACGCTTCAGCTTGTGATCAAACTTACGGTGGGGTCCCTTTCGTTGTGGACTTTGATTTTGTTGCCGTCGATCACCAAGAATTTTCCCTCGGCGCTGACGCAACCCTTGTAGCGACCGTGCGTGGAATCGTACTTGAACAAGTACACCATGTATTCGACGTCCAAAAACGGATCGTTTACGGACACCACGCTCACTCCCTTCTTGAGGGCGGCGCGAAGCACCAATCTTCCTATTCGGCCGAAGCCGTTTATTCCCATCTTCACCATTTTGGATGCTTGGCTGAAACCAAACCACCAACATTATTATCGATGTCCAATCGAAACTCTATACCATTGGGATTTATCAGAAAGTGATACTTGAGTATTGTGTTACGATTTAAACATACTGTTAGAAATTGTTGCAAAAGAAATCTAGTAAGCTGGTGTCAAATATTGACAATTATGTCAATTGGCGATTGTTGCAAAAATCTAGTAAACCGGTGTCAAATATTGACAATCAATTATATGAATTGGCGATTTTTGGTGTTTCTAATAAAGTATCCTATAATTAATCGATACATTGAGTCAAAAAACTAATTTCGTAAGATAAGGTAATATTAGCCAAGAATAAGTTCAAAAAATCTATTTAAGCAACGTTATCTAATATTCTGGAAAACAAATAGTTAATGTAAACTGAGAAGAACAGACAAATAATACGGTCAAATATTACTTTTAATCAATACAATAAATATGTTTATTGTATAAATTGAGGAAAATGACCATTGAGTGAATAGGGTGTGATACAAGGTCAATGAAGGTCGCAGCCGGCTAATTCCTTACGTCAGATAAACCATACGAAAAACGTAATTTTAGCCTTTATTTTGGGCTATTAGAGAAAAATTCAATAACAAAGATCACGTTGAAGCGATAATTATAATTATTACATAAACCGCGAGCTAAAAGCAAATTGAATTCGAATATATCGGAAAATGGAACAAGGCGAATTTCTATCTACGAACAATCGGATACGCATGAATTATTACGAGGATTACGCGTGTTTCAAATGAAATATGGAAATTTTGTAATAAATACTCACATTTGAACGTGCGATATACAAAAATTCCGGACGAAAATCACTCAAAAAATGTCCGCTTGAAGGATGAAACTTGACATAAAAATAGAATCAATATGTCACGTGACCCGAGTAAAATGCTCCGTTGCCAGAGTAACTGAAAAGTCAAACTAAGTAGAAATTATCAGCAGGCTACATAAATATTCACTAAAGAAACAGCAAATTAAACTGAAAAAAAATATTTAGGAAAATGATCTTACTGCGAGTTTATATTTCGTAAATCCAACAAAATTACTTATTTACTTTTCAGATTAATAAATCTTCTTTTTTATTTAAAAGATCTATACAGCATTGTTATACGGTTACCGATGAGATTATTGACATTGACAATATTGACATGTCGACGTGTCACTTACGTCAAATTAAATTTGCCAAAATATAATATTTTTCAAAATATTTTTGTGGAAGTGAAATGTTTTCTTAAATAAGCATTAGAAAAATGACCAATCTCCAAGAGGTACCCACCGATGAGCTACTGAATTTTCAGGATTTTCCTTCTGTCCATCATACAAGCGATTCTAATACGACTATTCCAATATCTCAAGCACAAATTAACGTAGATAATAACGTCGAAGGGAATCTATCTAGAAACGAAAATGTACAAAGAACTGCTGAAGGAATTCCAAATGAGAATGGTAATTAATTTAACAGGTATATTGATCCTTAAATAACTTGTAAATTGCAGGTAATCAATCGGAAAAGGCCTTCTGGACACTCGAGTATTACCAAAAATATTTCGACGTCGATACAGCAGACGTCATAGAAAGAATTATGGCATCGATAACACCAAAATGGGAAAACACTTTAAAGAGGCATTTGCGCGAAAAGCCCGATTTGTACGGCCCGTTTTGGATATCCATAACATTAATTTTTAGTATAGCCATTAGCGGTAACATTGCCAATTACTTACAACACGCCAATTCCGATTACCACTGGAAATACAATTTCCACGCCGTCTCAGTAGCGGCCACTGTAATTTTTCTATATGTTGTACTCGTTCCTTTCCTGTTATGGGGTTTGTTAAAATGGAGCATCAAGCCTGTACAGGATATCGAAGGGTTAGATGACGAGTTGAGTCCTGGTATCTTGGAAATAATTTGTGTGTACGGTTACTCGCTATTTATTTATATTCCTGTCTCGATGTTGTGGTTCGTGCAAATTAATTGGCTGCAATGGGGTTTGCTGTTATTCGGTACGTTTGTGTCCGGTTCGGTGTTATTACTCACGCTGACTCCGTCTTTGCGGCTTTCCAAGCACAAGTTTTTGATATCCGTTGGTATCGTCTTGTTCCACCTGTTAATGGCTATGGGTTTTATGATGCATTTCTTCCAGGGTTCAGATGATGCGGTTGTACCGCAACCTACTGTACAACCGGTTGTCAATACTACTAAAATCTAATATGTTTCGTAACTTAATTTGTAAATTGATAATACCTATAAGTTATTTTAAGTTACAAATTTATATTTATCTATTTAATTAAATTTAATTTAAATGTGTTGTTGTTGTTGTTGATTGAAAATTCCAAATTTAGAGTAGTAATAAAAATACCATTAAATTTTTATTCACAAAAGGAAACATATTTACAATACTTCATAAAATAATACATATTAGAATAACGCCAGATATTACATCAAATAAAATCATTAGTAATGGTATCTATATAAACATTTCAGATTTGTCTTAGAAGGTACAACAATAGAGTTATATACATTTATATATACAAAATCGCCCAGAGAGCAGCTTATTGGATATCCAATTTAGGCATATTTTCATAATAAAAGTAATAAAATTGTTGAATTTGGGCAACGCACATTGGCGTTAGATTTAACTGTTGAGACCAAAAGGAACGACCAAATCTTCTTTGTGCTCAACTTTTATCTCGTTAATTGCTGCTGCGGCTGATGTCACCGAGGTTGTTATCTATAAAGAAAATATTTAAATAGCTATACAATTAACAATGGAATCACAAATATTTATCATTAAAAACACAGCCTTATCAATGACTTAATTCCAATAATAATTGTTTTACAATAGTAGATGAAATAAAGGCGAAAGCAAATTGAATAAAATTTAAATTTACCATATTTAAATCTTCAGCGCTGATTGGTTCGGTGTTCAGAGCCTTATCGGGATTGGGAATATCTTGCAAAATGAAAGTGACTTTCTTCACGTATTTATGTTTATTAGAGGCCAACACTTGCTGTACTCTGAAATTATATATTTTCATTCTGTCTATGTATTCATGCTGTTGCAAATTGTGAGAATCTAACGCTGCAACGTCTATTACATTTCTAAAAAAAAAAACAGATTAGTAAATAATTTTGAATATCTTATAAAATGTATTTACGTAGCGGTTTCTTGAAGGATTCTATTCAATGCAGATTGTTCATCAGTCTTCTTTGGTAAATTGTTTAAATTCCTGCTCAAAATATCTTCGCTGAAATAAAATTACGATGCTTTTAGCAATACTATTGACAAACGAAATTGTTCGAAACAAATTTTACCTGTTCACTCTCTGTATGTTTGTGCTATTCGAGACGGGATCTATTAGTAAATGTGTCCTTTCATTGGGCTCTCCAGACTACAAAAACATTGGAATAATAATAAGTCATTGGACTGGCGATAAAAATACCGAAACTTACCTGAGAGGTGGTATCGTCTTTGCAGAAGAAGCTATAACAACAACCCATTTCGATCGAGTTTTTTAACTACCTGGAACGCATATACAATAAATTGAAATGCCTTTATAAAACCTTTATTTCATTCAAAACTCCGTTTATTTACTCACATACACGATACATTAAACGTCAAATCCACATAACACCTACTGTCACTGTCAGTTGTCAATTAATGTCACAAGCCGTTACCAACTTTTACTAAATTAAAGTCGGTGACTGAATAGCTGAAGTAACCGAGTTATTACGTCACAAAAAAGAAGAATTTTCAAAATTTATAAATATTTGAAGTATAAAATAAGGAATGTTTGAGTTTGAGAGTTTCAAGAAAAACGCAGGTACGGTAATAAAAATATTTTTTATTGAATTGGTATAAGAACTACTAATAGGTATTTATAATAAATATTACAATAATTGGCACAACGATATCAAAGTGGTAACATTCTTGAAAATGTAAAATATATATTTGCTATTAAATAAAATCTATATTTAATAGAAGAAGGAATAATAATTAGAAATAAAGCATTTTCGTAACAAGCGTTTACTCTACTTTCTTTCGCTTTTATTTCTCTAACGATAATTGTTATTTCTGGATTGACTTTTTTGGTTCCAGGACTGATTGTACCCTGTGTAGAAAAAGGGGCTAAAAACACACGAACGATTACTCTTAAAAATTTAACTAACGAATAAATCTTTGCTTATCAGCTATAGCTACTATAATAAAGAAAATAAAATAACTCTCGACAAATAATCATCCGAATAGGCGGTATATCAATTACAATGGACTTTCCACAAATAATGGGCAATTATAGTGATAATACTGTTAATTTTAATGTAGCATTTGTGTAATTACCGGCAATATAATGAATAATAATAATTCTAACCACTACCGTGCTATTATATTGAATAACAAAATAACACGCAAAAATATCGACTCGCTTTATCTCGAAATGATTCATTCAACAATTTCAGATAGACTACATGCGTGTCTCGCACTACAAAAAACGAAGAACGATTAACAACAAATTCGATTTGTTTTGAGAGCTAAAACTCCACGAATTCCATCAACAACAAACAGATTACCTCCGAAATTATACCATCTACCAACGCTAAACGGTATACATTTCATCGTCGTTATCACATCCGAGCCGATTCGAACCGCCATCGATCGATCCCTCCGCCGCCGAATGCACCGAAGACGTCGTGAACTCCGTGCTGGGCGATTTCAGGTTCTCGAAGTCCGGCGACGCCGCCTCCAGCTGCTTCTGGCACGGCTCGCCCGCTATCATCGACCGCCGCCTCAGGTTCGCCTGGTTCTCCACGATGCTGACCAGCACCTCCGTCGAGCTGCCGATCGCCATCGCCGGCACGCTCGCCAGGCTGATGCCCGCCTCCGTTAAATTCGATGAACTTTTGCCTGCAATCAAACCGCCCAAACTCGATGACGGGAATCTACAACCCCCCCCTTAATTATCTCGCACAAAGATGTAGTCCCAAGGAACGACCATCTACATAGAGCTATAAACTCGTACCTGAGAAATAATTGGATGGAAACTGTTGCGATTTGATGGCGTTCAAATGCTCCTCGCTCTTGGGCAGGTCCCTGGGCTCGGAGCGGTACTCCCTTTCGAAATTGGGCAGGTACTTGGGCTGCAGTTGCAGGGCGTCGACGCTGCCTGTGGTGGCCGGTCGGGGTTCCAACGAGTTGAAGGTTTCTTGGACTCCTGCGTAGTCCGGCGCTAGAATTATAATCGATGAATATGATGCAATGGAAGTTTAATTGATTTGGCCTACTGGTTGGTTGGATGCTGAACGGTCCGTTGTGATGCAGGACTGCTATGCTGGGTAACGAAGGGCCTTGTAAAGCTAAACTGACTACGTTTACTCCGTTTACGTTATCTGGAATTGCTACAATTGCTGTAAAGCACACTAAATATAAATGTATAGTTACCTAATTTCGAGTTGTCTACAACGTTTTTGAACAAAACAGGATTATGTTTGATGGCGTTCATCCTTCGGTTCGTTCCTTGTTCGATTTTCTTCCTCCTAGGCTGCTCTACAGGTAGAACACTTCTTCTTTGCTTCGGTAATTTGGCTCTAGCCTGGAATAATAATTCTCCTCGTGGGAATATATTGTACGATAATGAAGGAATTGTTTACCTGCGTGTGTGAATAAAACATGGAAAAATTGGAAACTATAACCGGTACAGGTAAAGCAATTGTTAGAACTCCTGCAAGGGCGCAGAGAGCGCCGACGAACATTCCTGCGTACGTTTTCGGTGCCATATCCCCGTAACCTACAGTAGTCATCGTTACGATCGCCCACCAGAGACCCTCCGGTATACTTTTGAAACTGTTATCCTTATTATCCTGGAAAACGAAACGTAATTTCACCGTCAATCAGAACGCTCCGCTTTTCATAATGCATTATTCCTTGTTGCTCTAACGGACGCCCCTTGTGAATTATTGAAAATGAAAGAGGAAGCGGAACGCTAAGTGTACTTTCATTTGCAATTTATCATCCGGTACATGAGCTAAGTTTTCCCCGTGAATATTTTATTAGCAAACGACGGGTTTTCATTTATCGATTCGGCCTTACGCCGTCGGATAAAATTTTTATACGCCCCGGACTGACCGGTGTGCAAGTGGACTCTAATAAACGTGTTTGTCCCCGAGAAAATTCGTTGTAAATTTCCCTTGTCGTGCCATTCATCTTGCGAAATTAGAAACGAGGCTCTTCGAAATCAATTTGTAGTAGAGGCGGTAATTGTCGAGCAATTTATTTCGCGCGAAATTAATTATTTCAGACCGGCTTTTCCGTTGGAAATAAAAATTACGCCGCTTTTAATAAAATCGGATCTTCCAGTCGCAAAATTAGCGAATTGAGTAATACCTGCAATTTCTCCGCGTAGTAAACCAAACTGGCGAAGACGACGATGCCCAGCACCAGGAAGAACACCAGCAGGCCCAATTCCTTGGCCGAAGCCTTGAAGGTGTGTATCAGGATCTTCAAACCTGGCGAGTGCCGCGTCAGTTTGAACAACCTAAATATTCGAATGATGCTGAAGAAATCGAGCAATTGGTTCTTCTTCTCCGACAGCAGGATCAGATCTATGTAGAAGCTCACTGTCGCCGCGAAATCTATGATGTTCACCGGGGATTTGATGAAGTCTACCAAATTCGGGGACACCTGGAAATTACATTAAACACCTCAAATTCGCGAACCTTTGTGTAACGAAATAGCGTTATAACGTAATTAAATTACCCTCCTGCTCCTTTGCGCTTTGATGGAAATAAAATGTCGGCGTGTTTTTTTGGGAATCCCGGAGTAAGGAAACGCGCCGGTATATCGACCGAAAACGGGGCTTTCGGCGATACACTATATTAAATTAAAAGGAAGAGGAAAAGGCGGAAGTTCGAATGTGAAATAGAATTATAAATCTTCTTAGGGGCAAATTCGAACTCGAAACAAGCCGAAACGAAAACAATAAAACGCCCGAAGGGTTATTTTTCCTCGTTTTATAGTTGTTGTGGACCGTTCGCGCGAATTAATATCGCGGTTTTATTATAAAATCGCCCCGTTACCCGTATATTTAATCAAAAAATTTTTAATAACTGAACGAGCGGTTTTATTTACATCCAGCCAGCCATTGAATGAGCCCGAAATCGTTCTATTTCCTGTTAATTTTAGAGAGAGCTTGCTTTGTAATTTTTACATTCAACATATTTCGAGACACCACGAAAGTGCTGCTTTTTGAGAAATTGAATACAACTTGGCAACGTTTCGTTAGTGCAGAATCATCATCAATTTATTTTTTTAAGAATTTTGTTGAAATTTTTGCATTGTGGGATATTCAATACAGCTTCACAACATTTCGTTAGTGTAGAACCATCATCAATGTACTTTTTAAGGATTTTAAAGAAATTCCTACTTTATGGGAATTTGAATACAACTTGAAAACGTTTTGTTAGTGTAAAACCATCACCAATTTTTTCTCTTAAACATTTTGTAAAAATTCCAGCATTGTGGGAAATTAAATACACTTTGGCAACGTTTCGTTGGTTCAGAACCATCATGAACTTATTTTTTTAAGGACTTTTCGATCCATCCTAACAGAATTTTCATACTCACAATCAACCTCACGGACAATTCGAAGGTGAACCAAGCGTTGCAAAGATGATCGACGTACTGGAAATAGACGTAGGGCTTGGTGCAGTTGGTCCTGTCGTCGACGTGGCACTTTTCCCGCATGCCGGGGTGCGTTTTCAGGCAAAAGGAAAACACCGACACGCATATGAACAACACGGACGCGCCGGCGACCATCTGCAAAAAAAAACCCGGGGGCGAATTAAAACGGGGGAAATCCGCAGGGCGAACGCGCGAGAGGATGTTTTATATCCCGATCGTACGTTCGCGTGTTATACCGAATTTTTTAGCACAAATGTAATTCGATTAACGCTCGAATTAAAATCGCATCGATGCTAAAAAATAGTTGTATGCATTACAGAAAATTAATATTATACAGCAACATGCTTTTAAACAGAACATTTACATTAACTTCGTTACACCGGTGATTGTGTTTGGTGTTTGATTCGCTAGTAAAATAGTGTAATAGAATTTCCGGGCGTGGAAAATTCCAGTCACTTTTCCCTGTAAACAATTCGCCGTTTAATTCCGTTCGGAACAATTCGAAATTAGAGGGGCAAACACGGATTTGAATCGGAGACGTGCCGGATGAAATTTTATCGGAAATTCAAATTAGTCGCGCCCAATCAGCGCGACAAAACCTTCCGATCGGGGTAGCGGAAATCGAACGCGATTCGGGAATTATTTTTTTTGTCGGATGGGCGCCATTGGGCTGGATGCGGCCCTGCTCGGTTTTTTTATAGGCGCTAATGCGATACATTGCAATAAACAGGGCACACCTAAATCTGGATTATCTTCGAATCTAACGTAAACAAGCGCAGTGGAAGTTTTTAGTTAATGGGTCGATCGGATTTATTTGTATAACGAATGTACGCAATATTAATCCAAATAAATAGGCATCTCCTCACATTTGCAATATTTTTTTTTCGACTAGTATATAATTAAATTGTCGACTAAGGCTGGAAGTGTTCATATAAACAGTTATCGGATTCGTATCAAAATATTTCTAACTACGAATAAAGCATTCAAAAAGGATTTATTAGTAATCTACTAACTAGCTATAAAGGATACACAGAAATTTGTATGAATCTACTATTTTGTATCTACAAACATCTATCTACTAAACAAACTACACAATTATAGGAATTATTAATAAATTAATACATTTTAAAAATTAGTTTTTCCACTATACATACATACTTACTTTGAGTTATCGAGAAGTGCAATTATGTTATCAGGGTACCTGTTTTACGTTAGTGTTAATTTTAGAAAGAGTTTAGTTTGAATAAAAATTAATTTTTTTAGTACATATTTTTTTATATGTTTCAACTAACTTGGTGGACTTCATTTTTGCTTCGTAACAGGTACTAGTTTCAATTTCATAATTGCGAAACGATTCGCAGTTAAGAAATGGAAATTCGAGACTATACATAATCCGAACGTAGGCGAAGTTTGTTTTATAAAAATTGCATAGAAACTGTTTTATAATAGGAACGTGTACCTACCTGCTCAAATAGTTATCCAACTAAAATTAAAAACTCGCTCAAACCGGCTTGTTTTATCCTCGCTATTACTAATTAAATTCGCTCCATAAAAAACTCCTTTCTGTTTGAACATCTAATGAATGAAAACGTTGAAATATTCATGAAGTACATATACATTTTTTCGACCGGAAAACCCGCTTTTATATGTATACAAAACAAACTTCCCCCGTTCGAAAACACCCACAAAGCAATACCCAAAAAAACGTCTACTTCGAAATCGATAAAAAAATAATCACACCAACGTTAGTTAAGTAAAGTTAATAATCACATTTCGGTACTGCACATTGAACGGCGGTACCTTGGCCTGCGACGAGGAGTACGGCTCGTCGAACAGCGCCCAGATCTTCGGCTTCAGCTTCTGCCATCGGCTGAGCGTCCCCGCGTGGAAGGCCTCTTCATAGCCGAACATCCGGGCCACCTCCTCGTCCGTCGGCCGCGCCGAGTCGATGTCCAGCTTATCCAGAATCGCCAAAGTCGCCTGAAACACCCCGTATATACCTATATACAGGGTGGTCCTCTAAGAACGGCTCTCGGCCATATCTCGCAAACTAATTGTCGTAGAGACTTGCGGTAAAAAATCTTATGACTAAATCGGCCAAAAGAAAATGCTGGAAATAATTTTTAAGTCTCTAAAATGGCCGCTAGGGGGAGTATCCGCCATCTTGATTTTTAAAAGTCACTTTTTTTTAAATTTTCCTAAATAAAGGTATCAAAAATGTGTTTTATTTTGATAGTTAAGATATTTTCGATTATTTTTTGTAATATATTTTTGACTCTATCTTTTAAAATAAAGTGGTGGGGGTGGTTTGAATATTTTGACTAATAAATGTTAATAACTTTTAAACGGCTAAACCGATTTTCAAAAAAATAAAATTGTTGAAAAGGGCTTTTTTTGGTCTATAATTTACACTATATAAGATATTATTTTAATTGCTTGCTTGGCCGCAAGATGGCGTTTTTCGACATTACTTCCAAAAAAACCGATTTTCTCAAAAAATTTAAATGCAACGATATAACTTTTTCTATGGAGAAAAATAGTCAAATAATTGCCAAACAAGCCTGTGAAAACCGCATCTCGATATCCCCTTCCTAACCTAAAATATATCTAAAAAAAGAAAAAAATCAAGAAAATGGGTAATTTTTAGTGCACTACCAATATAAAAACCTCTAATTAGCGTTGTTCCATCCACAAAAATAATTAATTTGTTAATAATCTTCAAGTATGATATTTAGAAACACCAAGCTAAGTAATATTCATTCATTAATTATTGGATTTCCCTTCTATATGCACTAGTTGAGAACAAAAGAAATAACCATGCCGTGGAAAATAAAACAAACCAAAAAATCTAACGAACTAGTCTAGAAAAATGAGCTGGGCATCCATCGGGTTGGAAATACATATTTCTTGGAGTTTCCAGAAGAACATCTTCCAATAACCCAGGAAATTCGTTACGAAGAAAATTTAGATATGTTTGTCCGTTGAGTCGCCCATTAATAAACCAGAGAACAACAACTGTCATCTTGTATACCACATCACACGTTGTTACCAACGTCCATAATTATTCTGGACCTGCTGCGTCCAGTTTTTTGGGTTTTTTATTTTCCACGGCATGGTTATTTCTTTTGTTCTCAACTAGTGCATATAGAAGGGAAATCCAATAATTAATGAATGAATATTACTTAGCTTGGTGTTTCTAAATATCATACTTGAAGATTATTAACAAATTGATTATTTTTGTGGATGGAACAACGCTAATTAGAGGTTTTTATATTGGTAGTGCACCAAAAATTACCCATTTTCTTGATTTTTTTCTTTTTTTAGATATATTTTAGGTTAGGAAGGGGATATCGATATGCGGTTTTCACAGGCTTGTTTGGCAATTATTTGACTATTTTTCTCCATAGAAAAAGTTATATCGTTGCATTTAAATTTTTTGAGAAAATCGGTTTTTTTGGAAGTAATGTCGAAAAACGCCATCTTGCGGCCAAGCAAGCAATTAAAATAATATCTTATATAGTGTAAATTATAGACCAAAAAAAGCCCTTTTCAACAATTTCATTTTTTTGAAAATCGGTTTAGCCGTTTAAAAGTTATTAACATTTATTAGTCAAAATATTCAAACCACCCCCACCACTTTATTTTAAAAGATAGAGTCAAAAATATATTACAAAAAATAATCGAAAATATCTTATCTATCAATATAAAAGACATTTTTGATACCTTTATTTAGGAAAATTTTGAAAAAAGTGATTTTTAAAAATCAAGATGGCGGATACTCCCCCTAGCGGCCATTTTAGGGACTTAAAAATTATTTCCAGCATTTTCTTTTGGCCGATTTAGTCATAAGATTTTTTACCGCAAGTCTCTGCGATAATTAGTTTGCGAGATATGGCCGAGAGCCGTTCTTAGAGGACCACCCTGTACAACCCATGTAGCATCTACAGGATGTTATGAACTTCTTTAAAAGTGATTCTTGGGTTAAATTTGAGTCGAAAAGATCATAAAAAAGGTATGTCCTGAGAAGCTTGGTTTTCAATGAAGAGGATTGTAAAAGTTTTACTCAGCATGGCTCAAAATGACCCAACCTGACCCTACTACATATGTGCTTAAAAGTTCCATTATAAAAACTCTATGCTCCCGACCTATTTCTTCCTATATATCATCGAATAAATTATACATAAAATAAAAAAAAATCTGCATAAATTAACTGTATATTTGTTCCACAAAATGTTTAGTCTACAAACATATGCGTGTAAAAAGCTGGAGAAATTCGCTGTGAATAGACCGAATAGTGGCGAGGAAAATTAATTAAAGGAAACAAGGAAATTCGGCATCATATTTAAGCGAGCTACAAAGTTGGGAAATGTTTTATCCGTATTTTGCTAAATTGGTAGATTGGGCTGCGAAATGGAGGCTTTCGTTTGATCAAAATTTTCAACGGAAGTTCTATAGTGCGATTTGAAATGGATCCGATTAATTAACTTGTCGTTTATTAATTAAAAAACTAATAGAATGTTTGTTTAAAATTGAATTTATTGCATAAAAAAAGTATGTTTACAAGAGCATATTCAATCTGTCGTTCAATTTAAATTGTTTTATTTATTTTCCGTTTCGATCTGGCGGCTCTGGCTTGGTATAAATTCGATTTCATGGAAAGCCGTCATAAACATGCTGTTTCGTAATATATTTCGAAATATTTAAAGTAAAAATTGCATTTATAAATCGATCAAAATTAGATAAAAGTAGCTACGTACTACACACAACTCAACAGTTTCTCTTATAACTTTTTCTAAAGACCGATTCTGGATGTATAAGGTATAAGTAAAAAGAACCTGTTGCTTTTATACCAAAATCCTTTTTTATACTAGTTTCTATACATTTTTTATCTCGTTTTATAACCGATGGAACCTTACGGTACATTAATAAACAATTTACAATACACATTTTCTCGTTTCGGCCGGGTTTATGGCGTTTTAATGCGCCCGCTGAAAAGCCCGACATTTATTTTATTAATCATTTTTCATACGGGCGTAATGTTTATACTCCAGTCTTTTTCTGGTACACAAAAAAACCGGTCCGCTTTTCATTTTCCATTCGGCCGTTCGAACGGAAAACGTTTGAAATGTATATGACGCCCGACGATAAATATTCATTTTGCATTTTTCATCCAACAGAAAATTACATCAGTAACTGTCCAAATATACGGGGGTCAGATATCTTTAATTTATTTCCGCTACAATGTTGTTTACAAACAACAAATATGTAGTGGACTGATATACATATCTATATTCAAATAAATCGGATTCGTATCGGATGAATCGCACAAAATACACCGGGAAATCCCGCAGGCGAATAAGGTATTGTTCGTGCATTGTTTCGCCAGACCGGCCAATTCGATGAATCCATTTTTCCGACGGTTCTGCAGCAGCAGTCATTTATCATACAATACCGCAGGGAGTTTCGAATAGAGCGTTATAATTCGTCTGCCTTCCTAATGCGATGCGAGCGTGATCTATGGTAAGAGTTGCCAACGAATTTCCCCTTTCCAAAAACTATTTTCCCACCCACAAATGGCATTCGACAATTGACAACTGACAAATGTCACATAACTCGAAATTGGCAAAATTCTGTTGGTAGAACTCTCTTTCTCTCTACATTGATTCGTATATTTAGGATGTTAGATCGAATGGAAGAGGAGATTTTGGTAGTTTATGGAGTTCTATAGGCGCCCCGTGGGGCCCTAAATTCGCCACTCACCTGCGTGTCTCTGTGGACGCTGTACGTGCTCCAGCAACAGGGCTCCACCTGGTTCGAATCCAATCCCCAGAACTCCAATTCCTCTTCGAAGAGGGGACCGCATACGTTCGTAGGATAATGGAGTTTGCCGGTCCTGAAAGAGGAGAAAAGGATTTTTTTTATTGATCGATTTCGCATTGTTCGATTGAAGTAGAGAGAAACATTTTGAGTTTTCAATTACACGGAAGTTAATCATTCGTTAACTATTAATCTATCGGGTACTCGACAATGGACGATTAAATTATAAATAATTAAATAACGCCGCACATGTGCCAATGTTATCGAAAGCGTGGTATAATTTATAACGCTTAAAATTCGATCAATAAATCTAATTAAACCGGGCAATCGCGAAATGGCCTGACTTTGTGAATTTATATCGACAAAAAAAATGTAAAGCAGGTCGAGATCGATCGTGCGGAGTCTCGAACGGGGCCCCGATTGTCCGTTCGGTTTCGAAATCGCGACCGTTTTGAAAATTTAATTCGATTTCGGTTGCGGTTTCGCGACCGGGCGTAATCGAATTTACCCAGGCTAAGTGAGCTTTAACCTCCAACGAATTTTACCTCTTAAGGCGCAGAAATTAGGCGCTTCTGATGCACTTGATTTCGATTTATTAGATACATTTCGCAGATTTTTATTTTGAACATATCGCCAGCAAAAGCTCCTGATATATCTTTCCTTTTCGTCGTTATCGCAGGTTAAAAATGACCGCTCGTTGTCCGCAAGTATTAGAAGATGAAAAGTTCGCTCGGTAACGGCCCGAGCGGTCTCCTTAAGCCCATGAATAATTTCCAAACACCTGGATAAATTCGGGGCGCTATCCACAATAAATATCAAGGATTTATGGAGGCCCGTTAATTACCATGAAATATCTGGAAATCCCTTAATACGACCCATCTTAAAATTACAAGACCTAATCATAATGTACCCAGTTTGTAGATCTGATGATGGTAGAAGGAAAACCGAAACTTCAATTATAAATTGGTTGAAAATTAACCGGTAACTATGCGGTGGATTTTCCTTTGTAGGAAATTTTGTTTTAGAACTTCAGGTGGATTCATAGCGCTTTGTCTTTGGGATAAATAGAAACGGGGCGAAAATTAATTTATTATGCCCGCAAAGAGCGAGAGAGCAACAAGAGGTTTTTGTCGGGGCGATAATTACTATCACTTTTTCCAGTCGCCGGTGGAAAACTTGGTGGAATTCTAGCCCAGTTTTATCGTCGCAGCGCGAGAAGTTTCGCTCGAATAAACATCGGTTACCTCTCGGAATTAATGCGAGTTTCTCGCCGTACACCCCTTTTTTCATCGCCCTTACCTTTCTTAAACGAGGATTTAATACACAATTTCCTTCTATATTTCATAAGTAGCGGTTGTTTTTTTTGGTTTCATTCACCTTTATTACCATGCTAATTTTTTGTGTGTAATTTACGTTTGTTTCGTACTAGTAGATTAAGAAAAATGGAGTTTTTTTATGATAAATTTAACTTTAATCTTCGTCGTAAATACCTCCCGAGATATACATATTATATCTTCAATCCTAATTTAACCGCATTGTTATCGCGAGTATACTTCATAATCCCCTATTGTTTAGTATGCTCCAACTAAAGCGTCAAAAGGTTTCTCCATCGACCCCCATTCGCCCCAAAGAAGCGTTTAAATATTCACGACTGGTGCTGCAATTGCGAACCAGTAACGTGAAAAATATCGCATACAGATCGTCCCGATTCGAGAAAATTAACGCGCTCGTTAGCGAAAGAGATACGACAGAACTTTGTCCCTGCCATCCCTTTAAACAATCCTTTGATCCGGGAGCTTAGCTGTCGCGTTATTCCGGCTGCTTTGCGCGACGTGTCTGCAGATTGTAAATTCTCCCGAGGATGTTCCTTGACCTCCAGCCGGCGCCTGTTTAGCGCTTTCAGGTTCGATCCACCGCGTAAATTCGGGTTTATTTCGGACTCCTCAAAGGTGGTTTTTGACGGTTTATTCATCAGTTACTTTCGCCCGCTTGGCTTCCGATCGAGCGGTCATAAACAGATGTTCCGCTATTAAGGTATATAGAGGCATCTTAATGAAGGAAAAGGGAATTCTAAATGGTGCTTTCAGACGAGGTTGAAGGCAAAAGCGGAGTCATAATAGTTTAAAATATCGATTGCGATATAGAACAGAGCGCCAACGTTCGGTAAATTAATTGCGCTGTCATTATCGCTTGATGAGCGATTCGGTTTTATTCGCCGTATGTTTATTGAACGTAAATGCAAATACATTAGCTGCGTCGAATTTTAATAAATGCGCGGTTTTGAATACGTCCCAGAAACGAAATTAGAATTACCTACTCATACACGCTTTTTGAAATTTATTAAAAAATAGGATTCGTAAATTTAGAACGCCCTGATGTTGATGGGAAATTACGTAAGGTAACTGTAGGCGTATTGTGTTCCATTTGAATAAAATTTCCCTCTTTAGATTCCGGTTCTGTTTACCAAACAAATTGAGTTACTAAAAGTTTAATTTCGATGTAATTAGATATGCCGAAGTTTCTTCCAGTCTGGTTTCCTTTGGGCCGTTTTCCGCGGCTTATCATTCCCTCTCCCGCCCTAATTACATGTATGAACAGTACAGTAATAATCGAGCGCCATTTCCAACGGGAATATCCGGCATTCTCCGCAGGACGTACACCTGCAATAGATCCTGATGCAGTCGATAACTCGATTTCCACATTCGAATGTTAAAATCCACGCGCTCGAATCGCCGTATTTATAGAGGAAACACATCCCGCGAGCGCACTTTTCTCTAAAAGTTAACCAGCTGCGGCATATCGATCTAGGAATCTGAATACGGAACGTTCTAATGACGACTTGCAGCGCAGAGGAGATAAGCAACAACCGTTTAACTGTGGAAAAATAGCGGCTTCCCGGTAACCTGGGTAATTTTCGTAATTGCGCCAGATTCGCGAAGATGTTTCTTATACACCAGAAAGAAGATTTTCTTGAAACATTTCGCGATAATCTTGTGGGAAACACCGAAGAATACAGTCACATATTTGACATTTATTACCGAAATTCGGAAAATTCTCTTGTAGAAGTTTGTTGAAAAAAAAATAACGATTACTTCACAACCGAGTGACTTAGCATTCAGCAAAGCAAATAAGCGTTGTTTGTCTTTGTGAGTGAATAGCTGTAACTAAATATTTTAAAGGAAAAGTTCCCGTCGAGGAACCGGTTGTGCGGCAACGGCGAAAATTGGCGAACGTCGTTTCCTCGGGGAAAACTCCAAAAATTCGCGGTCTTACGAGATTATCCTAACGAATTGAAAGCCTCACGTATCCGCACCGAGCGAAAATTACCTCGGACATTCCGCCTCTCTCTATCCCCGGCACAAACGAAACGACGGAAATAATAAAAAAAAATTCGGGGGATTATTTCGATCGGACGCTCTGCAACAATCCGATACAGTTTCGATTAACCCATTGCTATTCGTTATGTATTAACACAAATCATTCGTTCATTGGCTCGATGATTAATCTCTCTAATTCTACCTGTAATAGTTGAGTATCTGGGCGAACACGCCCGGATGCCTGTCGAAGAAGTACTCGTTGAGTATGGGATCGTAATTGGCGAGCGCCTCGGTCAATCTGGACAGTCTGGTCGCCGGGATCTTCTTCAACGTCGCCTTGTAGGTCTCGTATCGGATCCCGCCGACGTTCAAAATGATGCGGTTCTCGCCGTCCATCGTGCCATCGCTCACTCCCCGGGGGCCGCCTGGAATAAGACAAAACCCGCTTAAATATATCACACCAACTGCGAGGTGGTCTTCCCAGCTCGCTTTATTATGCACCTGCATTTCCTGCTCGAATATAAGTTTTGAATCGCACGCAGATAAATATTTCTCTCTACTTTTAGAATAGTTAAAAAGCTTCCCGTTCTTACTACATTCGTTGATGGGAGATTAATTTTATTGAGAAGGTATTGCAAGCATTAGTTTAAAAATAATTCTCCTTACTTTCATCAAGAGAATAAATTTCTTACGTTGCAGTAAAATTAGTATTTCAAGTACTCCCCATCTCATTACCTGAATAAAATAAGTAATTCTCCCTACCTTTATTGGGAGATGTATTTCATAAGTTACGCGAGTTGAATAGGTACTTCAAGTACTGTTTGGAAACAGGTAGAATATTCTGTACAAACTTTTCCCAATAAAATTCCCTCCACTTTTACAAAACCACTCGACGAAACTTCGCTTTGGAGTACATTATACTTATAACATTCTAATTAAAGCTTCCGGTCCAATCAGTATGCAAAATATACTTGTATTATGCTTGTAACTGGCTCGAGCGGCATTAGAATTAGTCGAGTGCGGAGTTTATATAATACCTGTCGACGGCAAACAAGTTTTAAGACGATCCAAATCGATCTGGAAACTAATTCTTGGGTGTCTGCGGCCGAAACGGAAAGCCCTTTAGCCGGCGCTCCGGCCGTTTTAAGGAAAACAACGTCGAGTGTTTTTCTTCAATTATCCCCCACAACCCTCCTGCTGCGTTTAGTTGATCTAATTAATAATTCACGTCGGGCCGGTGCGGTAACTGAATTAAACAGTTTCGAACAACTACCTCTCTATAGGAAATGTATTGTGCGGATCCTTTTTCGCTAATTAGTTTGCTTACATCGAGGATGGTTTAATGTAGGAGTTGGTACGAGTATGTTTGAGCTGGTGGGAGCGTTCCATTTTAATTTCGAATTAAATGGATAATTTAGGAAGGCGTTAGATTGGCCAATGAATGACTAAAGAGTCGGGGTAAAAGGGACAACCGGCATTAGAATGTACCTTTGAGAAATCTCCACTGGTTTGATCGGTGGATGGGGAGTTGTTGAGGATACAACGAGTCCTTATTATATGGCTACTTTAATATGAAATAGAGGAGAAGTTTGCTGGTTTTTTTTTTGATCTGTTAATGTTCGTTCTTTGTTATACTTTCGAGGATTAATATAAGAGATATCGAGTTGCGCTAACGCTACCATCTATCATCATCCGAAGTATTGTTTTTCTTGCCTCTTCACGCACATTAGCGTCCTTTATCCTTTGTTATTCTCGCTGTTATCTACACCTCATGTTCTCGATCGACGTTAAAAAATCACCCACACTGTTTCCTTTCGTTACTCTCGCTAATAATTTTTCCTCGCGATATTTTCTCACGAATGCGAAACCACTCGGATGATGTGTTGTAACCAACGCAATTACAGTGTGTAGCAAAGAAATAATTGAAAAAAAACACCTGCTAGAAGTGAAAGTAATTATCGCTTTTTGGAGATTTTCACCTTCATTAATTATGCACGGGTTTGGCGTAAAAAAAATCCGCCGCTCTCGTAGCGTAAATAAAATTCCGGTTGGATTATTCGAAAAATAAAATTAATTTCGACGGGGAAACCGCTGACTCAGCGCTTTATTTTCATTTTCTTATATATTTTTTTCTCGCACAGATAGACGAGTTCCATCCATTATTCATTATGTTTAGAGGAGTTATTTGAAAGCTGGAAAATTAAGTAAGGTAAATATTTGGGGGATTTTTCGAAACATCGAACTCTTCTTTAAATAAATAGTTAATCTAATAAGTAGGCTCAAATCGTTTGTAATATATTAGAGGTTTTTTTTCACAGTTGTGTCAATAAATAGGTCCGTTTCAATTATTTAGAGGGGATTATCCTGTGGAAAGAATTGTTTGCTAAAACCGAACCTCGCGTATCCTCTTGTCCCGCGGGATAACTGGATAGCCTGGAAAAACAATGTGTGCCCCAGAACACAATAAATCTCCGGCATAAAATACCGGCGAACGTGAACGCTCCAAAAGCGGATTATACACGGAAGTTTATCATTTACTTCGCAATTAAACTCGAAAATTCGCTAACGAACTAATTAGGCAGCCCGGAAAAAAACCACCCAAAGTTTTCATCCGCTGGAAAATCTCTCAACAAGTTGGCCGCACTGGCGCAGTTGGCACCTCCGCGCTGACGTCACGCGTCATACGTCACCCCGCGTTAATTTCAATGGATTCGTTAGTGGGACGCTCAAAGGAGGGCGATTTATCAAGCGAAGTTCCATCAGCCCCTGCGACGCCATACTTGTTGCTTTTGTTCGAAACCCGAAAGGGGGATGATAAATTCGACGACTTTTTAAACTGAAACGCCTCGGTTTAGTCGAATAATTAGCGGACGGTATAATTATATACGCGAGATGTAAAATTGTAATTTAGGGCTCTAATGAAAGGCGACTCTAACAGCGACTGTTCCGACGAATTTTTAGATACAATTAGAGCATCTGATCGTTCCGGCGCCTTTAAATTGCATTATTACATGGCGGAAGTTCGGAGTGAAACGAGAAATTTCGTTTTAATTAAACGTAAGAGGGAAAAGAGGCGCGCAGTAGAAACCCGAAATATATACGCGGAATTTCGAAGTCAAGACGGAAGTCTCGGGCGCTGTAATGGCGGAATTAAACGGGACCGGTTGTATTGTTATTACCGGCCGGTTAACTTTTTGCTTCCTGCGCCGCTCAGAAACGAAATTAGAACCGATTGAATTCCTGCGTTAATTCGAGGGTCAAGTTTATTGATCAGGTATACATGTATGCACGTACGCATATATTCTCGGTTCGCCGATTTCCAATGGGAACAACGACATTTGGAACAATGCCCGACAATATACATACAGAACAATTTTTGAAATATGCTTTTCAGCACAATTTTAACCCATATTTCCTACAGTTTTATACAAAGAAAACCGGCTTGCTGGTTATTAGCAAATCCAGGAGAATTTTAATCGCTTAATTATGTAGATAAATGGCGCGTCCTGCCCGTTGTCCTGGCGTCTCCTGCAGGTCCCTTCCAGGGGATTCCGAGGCGGCGTTGATGGATAATCAACGTCTCGCGAATAAAGCGGGCGTTGTCTTATCCTTCCTGGCGTGAGTTTCGCAGATTGCTGCTTAATATTACATGAACAATTCCTGCCGTCTCCGAGGAATTCCTGCTCGAAGACGCGCTTCTTCCAGCGCCCCATTGACGGACGATCTAATCGCATTCGCGCGTTAAAAAATGATTCGTATTGATTGCAAAGTTATGATTAGTTAAAAGCGCTATCGAATTAGAATTCGTTCATTAAATAATCCGGGTAAAACTACACCTGTGCGAAGGTTTTGGAGGCGCGCGCTAATTGAAACGGGGAGAGAGAGAAACGCCGGCGAATTGATGAAAATTTAAATGGAAATCACGTCCGTTCACAACTAATGGAATGACCTGTTGTGTTTGCGAGAAGCCCTGTTAACGAGGAAAAGATAACTAACCCGTGAAATTATCGTCGAGTGCCTCTGTCATATGTCAAATCGATTTGTTAAAAAATTTTAATGCAAAAACGAGATCGAGTAGCCGCCTGTCATCTGTCAAAACCGATAATAATGATAACATTTCATAATTTAGCAAAAAAATGCTCTTCAAAATATCCATCAAGACTTAATTACTTAATTAATACAAAAATACTTACAAACTACGACTGACAAGTTAATATAACAATTTCACTCACACAATTCAGAACTAAATCATATCGATAAAATTAATAATCGAAATATTTGTTGTTAATTAAACAAGATCGAGTAGCCCCCTAGCTGTCATCTGTCAAAATCGACTGGTCGCAATTAACAGACTACTAGGTGAATTTACGCCAAATCGCAAAGATAATCCACTAAATTGAATCTACTTTTTCAAATCGAATATTGGCATTTTAGCGCTCGTTAGAGGTAATCGGGTTTTCAATGGAAAAGCGCCGACACTGTGAGTTTTGTATGAAGAGCAAAAAGGTAGATGGTTGTTCGAACGATATCGGAATTGATGGCTGGTGGAAGTTCGTCCCTCTCTAATTGAGAGTTCCATTAGTTGCTAAGTAAGAATTTTCGCTTCGATCCGGATCGAATATAGGATAAGAAGTCCTCGTATTGCGCCAAACCTGGCCGATTCGAATGCATAGTTATTCGAACAAGCATAGTTTATTGCTGATAGAGATCGAGTTTGATTCAACAGAATCCGTATTTGCCTGTACATTATATCAAATAACCAGCATAGCTGTATGCATAATTTAGCAGCATCGAATCGAGAGAGGAATTTTGTATAAAAAAGGCACAAAACGAAATGATTCACAAAGGATATAATTAATAGAGTAGGCGGTATTTCTGGAGATGGCCCTTTAGCGATAAAATCGAATTTTCCGTGTCGCAACGTTCGGATTCTTTGATTTTTCCCATTAAGCCAATCTGAATGGAAAAGGGGAATCGTTCTCGAGCGTTTCCTGCAGGCCGGCAGTCGAAAATCGTTTTGAACGTCGGTAAGTAAATTTCCTCACGACAATCAAAAATCAATCGCCTCGAGCCGTTCGGTTATATTTTCACCGTTCGGTGATTCTTCACTCTTAAAATAACCCTCTCAACTTTATTATGCATATACCACGGCATTAATAGCGGTGGATTTATCGCGCAATAAAATCGACAGTCGAGCGATTTGTAGTTTTTATATCGTCTCCTGTTGATCTCTTATTCATTCCGGTTATTGGATTGTATATAGGAAATAGGAAACCGGAAACACTCGCTTTTATTTCGAATTCCACTTACTCCGGGATATCACCAATTTCGGATATATTACAATACATCTCGCTCTGGGCTCGTACGTCACGGTTTTCGAATTAAATTCGACCTTTTCTGTCGTACTTTACCCTAAAACGTTTTCCCTAAGAGACTCTTCGGCTTCCTTTTTCGTTCACGTCAAAATAACACTCACATTAAAATATATACCGGGTGAATTAATCGTGCTAAACAAAACATACTAAAGGCAAAAGAAAATATATCCCAAAGATAAAGGTTAGAACTTTCTAACTCACCCTGTATACGACTCGATAATGTTACGTTGAAAATAAAATCTATCATACCTGTGTAATTAAAGTGCTCGTCTCCAGCGGGATTTCTATCGATTCAATCCATCGATAAACGAACGGATGGTCGCGATCGTGATCGGTCCGGCGTCGCTGGAACGGGCGTCGCGGTGCGAGCGCCGTCGTCGTCTGTCGGTAACTGAGCCGACGGTCCATTTGGTCGGGATGCTGTAAGGGAATATTAGCGCACACTTTCGTGAGGATCGCTCTGTTTGGGTTTGTTAAGGCGCTTGCGGTGGATCGTTTATTTTTTTTTTTTCGCTTCGAATTTGGGGATTTTTTAATCGGGTATTTCAGGTATTTAGCGGAAACGTTTGGAAGAAATCAAAATGCCAGATTGTTGTGCGCGGGGAATGCGTTTGGAATTCCTGTTTGTTTGGGAATTGTTGGCAATCCGATTTGTTGATGTGTAATGTCTATTTTTTCGAATAGTTTCGTGTGTTCGAATAGTAAAAAATTTTGTAAATGTAATCCTTTTCTGGTATTATTAGGCTTTACATAAAATCCGTAAACACACTCTAATAATTTTCGAAAAAAAATCACCCATATAGCAGGTCGCTTTTTGTATTTATGTAATAGATCGCGAAATATGAAAGTTCCCTTTTTGTTAATTACACTGAGAAAAACGTATTGTACATAACGTATATTAAAAATTTTATTTTACCATTTACTATATATTTTATTAAATTTTATAATATTGTATTCTTGACGGAACAATATTTTTATATTAAGGAATTTTAGTAAATAATATATTAAAGGAAGAAATATGTATATGTGATTTTAATATAATTTCTGTACAAATACAGTATTGCACCAAAGCGATTTAATTTATTAATAGTTACTATTATGAATTCTTAAAAATTTTATACAATTTTGTTGCGAATGCAATCCCGTATTGTTCTCACAAGAGCTTTTTTACTTTTTGTTTGTTTTTAATATATAAATTTGCAAAAATATGTATATTCTTTACAACAAAACGTTTATTCATAATTACAATTTTTCATATTTAGAATTTTCATACAGATTTGTTGTAAATGCAGTCCTTATGGCACTTTTTTACAGAAACTAATAAACTGTCTATTTGTTTTCAATATAACTTTGCATATAATTGATACATTCATTACAGCAATACGCTTATTTATAATTACAATTTTTCATATTTTGAATTTTAAAATAACTGTTATAAATGCAATCCTGTATTGTTGTATTCACAAAAAATATTAAAAATATACCAAAAAGTTATTAGTACTTCTATCCTACTTTACTTTAGTCTACTTTATTATTCAGGGTGGAGACTTAATTGTTGGAATAAATTCATTATTTCGGTTACTGTATATATGTATTTATAGAAAATCCCGAAACACGTGAAATTTTAATCATAAATTGGCATTCTTCAACGTGAAAATGTGATCCCTATACCATCAACTCCCTTCGAGTAACAGTAACAACCCCTAATTTTTTAAATGGGCTTTAAGTATGGGCTTGTGATATATCGTTTGAAAAGTCTCCTCATTCTCTATTCAAAAATGTTATTGTTTTCCAGTTTGTTTCAAAAACAATAATTGTTCATAAAAGTATAAAAAATCTCATTAATCTTAAAGAATCTCAATGGAGTACCTAAATGTTCCAAATGCTCACCGCGAACTTGGCAACATCCTAATCATAAATAAAAATTTCTTATAACTTGAAGTAACATTAATATTTTCATGTTTCATATTTTTTTACATTGTGAACAATTAAGTATTATACATATTAAGTGTATAATAGCTAATTTATTTAATCAGATAATTTTATTTTTTTTGTTAATTTTTGAAAAAAACTTACAGTGGAAAAGCAACATTTTTGGATAGAGAATGAAGAGACCTTTCAAACGATATATCTCAAGCCCATATTTCCCATTTAAAAAATTAGGGGTTGTTACTCGAAGGGGGTTGATGGTAGGGAGGGATCACATTTTCACGTTGAAGAATATCAATTTAAAATATAAATTTGACGTGCTTCGGGATTTTTATAAATATTATGTACAATAACCGAAATAATGAATATTTATTCCAGTTAAGGTCCCACCCTGTATATTATCGTAGTTATCCTGTGTTGCTCTATAATAAAATTTGATATCGTATGAATATTACCTATAATAAATATTACGTCAATCGGCACTCAAATAAATTTCAATTTCTCAAATTTCCCTCTTTAATTTTAAAATTTCCCGCCGTACACACCACAGGAAGTTCAGAATTTCGTCAGGATGATCGGTAACGGAAAGGCGCTAATGAAAAGCCGCTAATTTATCCTCGTGACCAGTGAGCGCGACCGCGTGGGGTCTTGGGGCCGGTGGGGGGTAGGGGGGTCGCGTGAGCGACGCGAGACGCGAATTAGTGTGCATCATTTTAAGAAGCCAAAAGTCCAAAAGTGGAAGAAAAAGCGTGGACCCGGTGGACCGCCTAAAAATGAGTGAGGAAAATTCAAGTAAGTACTCGTTACAAAATTATTTTCAACTTGACATCAAATTGTGAATTACTAGTTAATGAGTAGGTCAATTGTTTTATTTTATACCAAAATTTTAGAAATAACCACGGTGTAATTATCGTACCTATATATGTAGGTACCACCACCTGTAGTATGTATAGATACCTACCTACTTACTTAAAGGTGCATACCAATAAATACTTGATTGAATATGATCAAATTTTCACAATCAAAAGTGTATTAAATTAATTAAACATAATTAGATAAATAATTTACGTATAAAAACATGCCCGCAACTGATCTAATCTATCATGCTACAACTGCATCTCACGCACTATTTATAGGTTTTATTAGAAACATGCCATACATCTATTCCTAAATACACATACAGTATTGTAAAATTCTCACATTCGATATTGTAAAATTCTCACATTCGATATTGCAAAATTTTACTATACTTTATTGTTAAATTTATTATAATAGTACAATAATTTAATTTTTTAGTGCAATCAATTCTGGAAAATTGGGGCTTCTCGGACCTGGTTCCAGTCTTTGAAGGCAAGTTTATAAAAATTGTGTTTTCACCTGCTTATCAAAGTCTTTTTAAATTTTATTTATAGAACATTTTTTAAAATAAATAAATATAAATTTATATTTATTTATTTAATTTCTATTTTGTATTAAAATTAAGTTACAAATAAAAAACATCAATGCAGTAGATAGAAAGAAAACAGTAAAACAATTACAATACTTGCAATATTATTAATTTCTAATTGATGTTTTATTTTTAGACTTTAGCTGAAGTTGATGAGCTGAAAAGAAAATATATTGAGCGGGCTCAACAACTATCCACAACAGTTCAACCCTTCATAATTGTGTGCGGCAAGGATGCCGATATCAAGGTATATATTGCAATGAATAATACATTGTATGATCTGGGAAATATTGTCTCGGCAATTGATGCGGCGTTTAAAATCCATTTTGCCCTCAATTTAGAATTTAACGTAGCCTGTGCGCCTATTTGGACATGGTTACAGACCTGTGTGTATGGGATCCAAACCGAATTTGACAAGCAGTTCGGATCAGTGGAGGTCTTCAAGGCGGAGTTTAATAAGGTCGTACTGTCTAACTCTTTCTGATTAACGCTTCTGATATTATTTATATTAGCTTTTTTATTTATTTTTTTATATTTCTATATGTGTTTGACACATTACAATATAGAAAGTTTCGTATATTTAGAGACACCGTTTTTTTCAATATGTATAGAAATGTATAAGAGAACTTGTGTCTTTATCATAGATATCTAATATCTAATATTTTTTATTATTATAAATTACATTTTTGTAGTTTTTACAATCGGAATTATGAAGGCTGTTCTTTTCTCAATATCTCTTTTAAATAACTAATTGTAAGTCTGATAACATTGACTGATCAACAAGTCTGATTTACTTTGTAATATACGTTATAAGTTTGTATGTATGTAAGTTATACGATTTATATTATTAATAATTTATATTATTTATAATTTATAATATTTTTGTACCTACCTGTTCATGTGCCATAACTTTGCCTAATAACTTTGTCTAATGTATGTTTTTTATTGTTCGTTTTTATTGTTTCAGTTTTATTGTTCAGTTGTATTGTTCACAGTGTTATTTTTATTATATGTTCAAATTTTGTATATCAACGTTTTTAAATTCCCCTACACCATTTCCTTTTTCACACTGGTATTGCTGAAAGTACTATACGTAAAAGTACATATGATTACTAATAATAGCAATACTATAAATTGTTTTTTAATATACCAGAATAGCTAAAATATACATATTAATTTACTTATCTTAACAATGCTTTATTGTTGAGTAAGCGATACAATATATTCTGTAATTAGCAATATTACATATTTCATTTTAATATTTCAGAAAAGTAAAAGTAGACATTCAAATTGATGATTTCAGCAATACATTATTTGTAAATCAATAAGAAAATATAATAGAATTTATTAGATTACTATTGCTAAAATTAAAATATTGGATCTTGGCTCCAATAATACTAGAATACGAAAAGCTAATATGAAAATATGTTTAAAACAATAATTCGAGAATGTGAGGACTTAGTGTTTAATATTTGCTTGCAACAATATGATTTAAGTGAATTTAAAATATGTTGTGTTCGCTTTTACTATACCATATTGTCAGTATATTTAAATATATCATATCGCATTTTGAAAGTAGCAATAAAAATGTATTCATTTTAAACAAATTGAATGTTAAAATTTAAAATACAAAGCAATACTGTTTTGCTAATAATAATAAAAAAATATTGTTAATTTTAAAATAAAAGTTAAACATAAAAGTATTTTAGACATAACTATACTGAGTGTCTGTCACATATACTGCAATATCTTATATTAAATCATAATAGAATTCTATTTAATAATACAATACTTTTTTCTCAGTGTAAAATCTTCCGGATGTCTGGTCAAACGTAAAATAATTTTTTTCTGCTCTATCGCGTTAACGATTTATCGGAACCTCCAGGAGCGTATTCCGCAAATTCCTATAATACACAAATTACAATCACTAACTGAAAATTTAGATTTAAACAGCACCACATCGATTGTTTTCCTCGAATAAAGTATCCATTTTCCCGGACGTTTCTCGCCGATATCTGGAAAACGTAAATAAACTCCGCTCTGTTCGCGCAATCTGGCCGTGTCATTCACAAAAGTATCTTGATGAATTCTTTAGTAAACAAGGCGTCTGTTCGCTGTAGACGAGTTACTTTTTTTAAAACCCACATCCTACATGAAAGGCCGAAAAGGACGCTTTATATTTCCAGAGGTTCAACCGGGGAAACGACGGTGTTTTCAATTATAAACTAAAGCGAGGAAAATTCCTAACGCACGTACCATACGCTTATAGTATGAACCTTTTAGGATCTGCTTGATGAATTAATAAATATATCAATTTACTAGTTCACACTGTACCTTTTATTTGTATATCTAAATTTCATAATTGGTGGTTAGAGCTCCAGGAAACTAGGAACTTGATAGGAAATGTATCGAGTGTATTCCGAAGGATTCGAAGTTGCCGAGTACTCTTGTTAAATCTGCATTTGTAGGTCGTTCAAAAAAAAAACTCGTTACATTTATTGGAAAAGTAGATGTATTGTAATTTCATGACCGATTGAAATCCGATTGATCGCTGACGCGTTTCGGGCGCTTTCTTAAGAAATTCAATCGAAATTAAAGTTCTAGAACAGGAAATCGCGAAAACCGCATAGTGTCATAGAACCTGCCAGAAATCGCTCCGGGTGACGAAAAAAAAACAACAGCCGAACAAAACAAGAGAAATAAGCGCATTGGCACGCCGATCGGCGTCTCCAACTATAAAAAGGAATTGTTGTAACAACAACAAAACAGTTTCAAAACGCGACTTTATTAGACACGACCGACGAGTGCATAGAAAAATGACTTTCAAGGTAATTCCGGTTTGTACATTTAGTGCGATTTATACACAGCGTAATGGATTAAGAAACACTTCAACGGATTATCTTATCATACGAAAACATAATTTTTAATTCCATTACGAAGACTGATAGTTTTAATAGTAATCGTGAGGCTATTTCAAACACAGATGACATTTTTTTCGGTTAATCGTTCTACAGATTTTTGACAGATGACAGGTGGCTACTTGATCTTGTGTTTTTTTTATCAACAAATTTCTCGATTAATCGACTGCATGATTTTATAGATTTTGACAGACTATACAGGCTTTTTATATTTTATCTTGTTTTATTAAATACAAAATTTGTATTTAATACTTGTTCTTGTTAAATTACCTGCTATTTTTTTTGTTTAATTGATTTTATGGATTTTGACATATTACAAGCGACTACTTGATCTTGTACACATTATTCGATAAACCAATTTCATCGATTTTGACAGATGATAGGCTTGATCCTGTTTAATTAACTACAACTTTACAAATTCTATATGTAATAACAAAACACTTTAAAAGTAGCTCCAAAAGCAAAGTTTTCCCCGCACTTTACACTAAAACATATTTCCAGCTATCAGCCATCGCTATGATGGTCTGTCTGGGCGGTTTGGCCGCGCACTCGCTCCCCCAAAGGCCACGAGTGGAGATCCTCGAGGCGTCGAAGGAGGACAACGTGCCGGCAGAGACCGGCTTCGCGAACCCGTCGGCTCCCGTCCACCAGGGCAGCAAGTTCTTCCAGTAAGTTAAATCGGCGGCCGTTCGGGCGCCGTCCCTTTAATTTCCAACTTTCTGTGCTAGAGACATTTACATGGCGATGGAGCAGCCCGGCCAGCTGGAGTTCGGCCACGTTAGGGAGACGCCGAGCGACTGGGAGCAGCGCTTCGAAAAATTGAATTTAGAAACGTCGAGCCGCCAAGGAAAGGTCCTCATCGACTGATTTTTTCTCACTTGTTTTGTCCATTCTAAAGATGTTTGTACGTTTCGTGACTAAATAGTTGTCATTTAATCACGTTTTCTGCAAACGTTTTTTAGAATTGCGACTGTGTTTCTTCATCTTTATTCTCTTTATTAACATGTGTGTAGATATGTATGTCACGAAAATGTGTTTAATACTCAATTTCTTACTAACAGATATATCCACGTTCCCGCTAAAGACCACGTTGAACACGGGCACAAAAGGGGCAACGACCACCACTTTATCGAACGACACGAAAAAGGGCATCCCCATGCCGGAGAATTCAAAACAAAAGTAAATACACCATTATATTCAATTAGAAAATGTCTATCGAAAGGGCGTTCGCATCGCTTAACAATCTCCTGCATGCATCATTTTTAAGTCAAAAATTGGAGCTTGCTCGGAATTCAAAATTGAACGTTTTATTTCAGAGGGATGTTTCTTCTTGGTACGATTCGAACATACGGTCTAGTTTCGAATACAGAGACCCGCCCCCGACTCAATATATACCGGTACCGGTTCAGGCGTTTCTACCGCCGGCTTTAAGGCCTATTCAGCCCGTTTTACCGCCTCCTTTACCGCCGATTTTAAGGTCTATTCGGGTACCGCGGAGGAGAAACGTCAGAATTTTCATAGATTAATTGATTCAACGTGAATTCGAATGTGCTGTACATAATAAAAAGTCGCTTTTGAAACTCTACCGACTTTTCTTTCATTCGCTTTTCTCTTCAAACTCTTTTTACACATCAGACGAGTAGATCTTCATCTTCACTGTTCGTACTAACTGGAGTTTATACATTGCATCGTACTCTCCGAGACACTATAATGATTTTATAACCGCCATTATAACGGTACACACGATGACAATGAATGAACTCTTTACAACTCCAACAAACTAATACATTAAATCGACTTTGTTGATGCCTGTAGGTGAGATGGGGAGACAAGCACGGAGGATACGGCGAGCACTACTGGGACTACAACCACGCGGGGCAGGGCGGCGACGACGGCGAGGAGAGCGAGTCCCAGCAGAGCGAAGAGTACGCCGGGTACGGGGAAGAAACCAACCCGGAGGTGGACGTGTTGAGGAACAAGCGGGAGCCGGAGCCGCTGGGCGACGTGGAGTTCATCAGCGACAAGGCCAGGTCGCTGTTGGTGGACGGTAATTCGCAGAAACACGGCGGCAATTACCGGTCGGTGAACGATTATAGAGGCAAAAGGGAGCAGTCGGAGAAGCTGTCGAGGAACTTCGGGGAATCGCTGACTTTCGATGCCGATGAGGGGGTTGTTGTCGACGATGCTACCGGGATTCGGTACTCGTTGAGTCCCATTCGTTAGAATCTCTGAAAAGACTTACTTATTGTAGATATATGTTGTAATGTTTGTTATTTTGCTTGTTTATAAGATTTATTAATACATTTTTTTATATAAAGTGCGTTGTGGTTTTGATAAATAACAAAATTTCAAGAGCAAATGATTCCTGTTTTTAGTATTGTTTGAAATAATATTAATTCCAGTTCCAGCGAAAAGAGGGAGCGATTTGTTGACGTTGACCACGGAACCACACTTTAATTCATTGACATTTTGATGCGTTCTGTGAGCTTTGACAGGTCAATACTTCTTTGGCAACTGGAGACTCTTACTTTAAAGCCTACTAACTAGTCTTATTCAGCTTTTTTATTTTGGCCTCACAACCTTCGTTTAGACAGATCTTGTCATCAAAATAAAAGTAGAAATGATGGTTTTGAATAAAATAAGGCAACCAGTTCAAAGGAATTAAAATTATTAAATCCATACTACATAAATCATCATTTTTACTAATTATTATTTTTTTAAATAAACGCAGAAATACTCCTAAAACATACTAAATATATTTCATAAAAGCACTTAAACAACAATAATTACGACATCTAAAAAGACGGTTAATTTAATTTGTAAGGTATAAATGAGATATATCCACCTATTCTTAGTATGTACTTTATAAAATAGGTAAGTGAAGATGTTATTTTAACGTTATTCGTTTCCCTCGAACGCAATTTCCGTAACGGGATCCACGTAAAACGGTCCTTCTTTCACGTACTCTTGCAATTTCGTCACAGTTTGTTTGTCGAATATGTTGCTCATTGACAGAGCCTGTACGATGTCGTATTTTATTTCTTTGCATTCTTTAACATTTTCCACTTTTCTATCTAACAGATACTCGATCAGTCCTGCAAGGTAATAAACATGAAAACCGATTAAAAGAGAACTAATTATTCAATTATTTACCCGGGGAATTCTTGATCTCCTCTTGTCCCCATTGCTGATGCGCCAAGCCCAGTAAGATGCCCAATCCGGCTATTTTGAGTTCAGCAAATGGATTTTTGGCGTACCTCAAAATCACCTCCATGGGTTGTTCGCACAGAATCGAATACCATCTTTTAGTTATCAGATTAACGTTGTTTTGTTGCTCGCTCACGCTCAACAAATGCTCCAGGCAATTGAGTGCTCTAATTTTCACATCGGTCGGGAAGGAAGAAAGCAATTTGACGATCGTCTTTAGCGCGTAGGTCATTTTATTACCTGAAAAAAAATGGATTGTTGTATTCAATTAGTTATATTGTGTTTACTATTAATTATTAATACCAGTAGAATGTAATGCGCTTTTTCCTTGATTTGTGAGGCCTATGATTCCTAAAGTGTCCAATGATATCGCAACGATAGTTAAGTCACCGCTTTCCAAGTTCGAGAATAGTCTATCGAATATTTTTGGGTATTTAGACAGCAATTCGAGCGGCTTCCAATGAGCTATGTTACCAAAAAACTTCAAAATACCTGCAAACATATAACAACGTACAAAAAAAAAGTAATTATTTCATCGAGCATATTTTACCTGGCTCACAATATTGATTAGTCAAACGATCATTAGCATCTTCAATTAATAAAAACAGCTTATTTATTACACCATTTTGTTCAAGGTAATTATAACCGTGTCGACTCGATCCCAGTTGAGTCAATAGTTCAACGATATTCATTTTTAATAATACATCGTTATTATTCAGCTCATCGAGTAAGTACTTTAAAATATTGGTGGATTTTATCAAATCTAAATTCGCTTCAGACTCTTTCGCAATAAGCACAACGCACTGAAAAGAAAAAACCAAATCGTTAGTAAACCCTCGAGCGAAAGTATTATTTCATCTACCTCGTACACCCGCAGTCTTGAAACTTCGTTAGTAGCCATTACTTCGCGCAATTCATTAGCAACATCATCGGTTATAAGCGTTTTTAAACCGATATCCGATAACCCCACGATGACAACAATATCTAAAGCTTTCTTCGCAACAGACAAATCGCTGTCCCCTACACACCTAACAATCGTATTTAAAAGGGATTTCCTTTTGCACAGTTCGCTCAGGCAATTCTCCTCCGATATATCCCTACGAATTTCCTTCAACGCCATTATTTTCACAGCCGAATAGGGGTGGATCAGCGCCCTTTCCAACGGCACGACGTACCTATTCGTCGTTTCTCCAATCGTCAGGCTCGTCATGCACAAAGTCAACACCTCGCAAGCTAAATCTATGTTCTCTCTGAAACAATCGTAAAATTACAAGTCGCATTAACGCAGCACTTTCCCTTACTCACACATTCGAGTCGTTTAAACAATCAAATACTAGCGGTAGATCGAGGCAATCGGCGAATCGGGAGGCCTCGGACACCGGCATCGACGTGAGGTGCTCCTTTATTTCGTTCAAAGCCGATATTCTCAAATCGTCCTGCAGGAGTTTCGACAATTTGTCGGCGCACCACTCTTCGCGCGAAGCCATTTTTAAAGTTTTTGTTGTGAGTTGTGACACTAATGACAGGACTGACAGGTGCGCCAGCTGACAGTGACAGAATTGACGTTTCGACGAGTACGTTCCGAATGTAAATTTCGCGACTCTTATTTTATCTACAAGTTTCTATTGTAAATGATCGGTTGATGAAAAGCAAATGGTTCTTGTGTTTTTATTTGTTAAATTGGATTTTTGTTGTACGGTAAAAATTGTGAATTTAGTAACTTTTGGTTTATACGTTTTAAGTTGGTATTGTTGTAACTGTAATCGACTCTTCCAATTTTTTTTAAATGTCGGCATAATTTAATGTTTTTTGATTTATCAACTAATCGCCACACAATTTGGTATTAATTCATTTAAGAGAATTTAACCTAAACAAAATTAATTCAAAATGCACCATTACGACAAACTATAATAAAACAAAAATAAACTACCATAATTTTACATAAAACAAACCCAATCTAAAATTGGCTTTTCATCTGTACCTACACCAAATTGATACCGTGCATGGAGAATTTCCTCAATTCCTTAATGCCGTCGGTGACATTAAACGATTTGCTCTTCGGCGCCGTTTTGTTCGTATTCAACTCGGCGTTGAACTGCGTCTGAGGCATTGGACAATTCAAGCACTGGCAATAATTATGCAGCTCCCTCTTCAGCTCCTTGTTTTCCTTGAGCAGGAAATTCCGCTCCTCCATCAGGGCGTCCCTGGACGCCTCCGCTTGGGCGACCTTCCCCCAAAACAGCTCCATCTCCTTGATGTACACCTCCTCTTCGACGTTGATGGTCTTGTGGAACCCGCCGATGTTCTCGCAAGGGAACGGCAGGATTTTCTCTTCTTGCGTTTCCAGTTTGCGACACACCGCGGCCAATTTGAGCAAGTGCTCGCCCTTGTGCTTGATCTTCTCGAGGATCTGCGCCGTCTCCGTGAAGGAGACGGTGAGCACTTGGAGCTTTCGAGCGTCCAATTGCCGGTCGTTCGCCAGCTTGCGCTTCAGGAGGGTGTAGGCGTTGTTGAAGAACTGCCATTCGTTCTCCAAATCGGACACTCTCCTGCCCAAGTAGCTCTGGCAATCGAAGAGCTTCCGCTTGAGAATCTTCGAAGTATCGTACATCTCCTGGAGTTTCTGAATCTGCGCCTCGAGGTTCTTCTTCAGAATGTCGTCCTGGTGCTTTAAGTTTTCGTAGTACACCCGTCGTTTGGACAGGTTTTGCTGGTACTCGCTAAGCAGCTTCTCGGACTCTGCTTCCAGGGCTAAGTGAGTGTCGGTCAAAAAGGATCGAATTCGCTGCAATTTTTGGGCGTTCTTCGTCTCCAGCTGCTCGAGCTTGTTGTAGAAATCCGCTAAAATCGTTTCTCTTTGTTCTTTCTTCACCATGCCCAGTATGTAGATGACCGTCTTCAAGTAGATCTCGTCTTCCTTCCAGATCTCGTAGATGCCTCCGAAGTTGTCGTCCATGCTCTTTTCGAGCTCCGTTATCTACCGATTCGAAATTTTGTAGTTAGGTAAATTTTAGAAAGTATTACCATACGTTGTTGTTGAAATCCGTCTTCAGCTGGTTCGTGGTGGCTTGGAACGTGGCAATGAACTCGTCGATGTGGTCCAAGTGGTTTTTGAAGTTCATGTTCAGCTGCTCCTCGGTGCGGTTGAGCTCCTCCAGGAGCAGGGTGATTTCCATGTCCTTGTTGTCCATGGCGCGTTCGAAGCTGATCCAAGCGAAGTCGAGCTCCTCCCGCATGTGGGGCACGGAGATTTTCATCAGCATCTTCTTCCATTCCTTCTCGCGCCTGGCGATCGATAGCAGCCCGTAGGTGCGTTCCCGTTCGAAGTAGTCTTTGAATTGCTGGCGCATCGCCGCCGCCTTTTTGGCGGCCTTTTTCGCGTTCTTTCCTTTAGGCATTTTTCTAATTGACCGTTTGAAAAACACACAAAAACATGCCACGTTGACGTATACAACGCGAGTTCGTAGATTCGAGCATGTAGATTAGTTGTTGTGGTTTGGAGTAAAATGTAATTGGGTAAATTGTGCCTTTTTAATTTTTAGTAAATTGACTAATAACTGTATTATCTCGCGAATTATCCATTAGAACCACTTGAACGAATGCACTGTTTTCCTTGGGTCGAGAAAAATGGCGCGATAATTATTACGAGGACCATGAAACCCAATCTCGGTGCACACTCCGCGAACGAACTGGCAAAGTGTTAGGCCTATTGGTTGTTTATTCCTTTATAGAGTGATTACTACGTACGACGAAAACGGATGTATGTATAATATTTCGTGAATTAGATTGTTAAGTGAGTGAAATCTTGGTTACGATGAGGCAGACACAGGCAAAGGCCGTAGCTGGGATGACATGCCAGGTAAAAAACGATGTTAATTTTACCAGAAATTGAGCTCTAATTACTGCCGATATACGAATTACGCTTGCTTGTTTGTTGCATTGTAAATAGAGATAATTTGCGACTTTTTGATGATGTGATAAAATCATATGTGATAATTAGGTTTTGCTAATAGTGAAATCTCACAATATAAATTGGATTTTAGTCGTGTGTAACAGGAATAAACAGGACATTCATCTGCATACATTTACATGTTTAATTGAGTTGGTCTATTACATACTAGAATATTAAAAAAAATAACAGTAAAGCAAAAAAATTGTACAAATATTTACTCCATTGTGTTGTCTAATTCTTTGAATATTTTAAATACCCTGTTTTACATAATAAGTACAAAAAATGGGGTTTTCATTCTAATAAGAGGATGTTATTCGTTGGTACATATTTTTTTAAAATATTAAATCATTAAATTAGTAAATTTATTTACAACCATACAGGATATGTGAACTTTCAACTCAATGGAAAATATCAGAGAGTTCATTAAAATCTTAGTACCTACCCAGATATAACCTGAGAAAACCAAAAGTAATGGTTTAAAAATTTGCTGGTTCGACGGAACGATGTCATGGTTTAAAGATTAAGTCCAATGCTATTTCGTAAACTACAATTAATTATTAATGCGTATCTTAAAACCCACCATTTACCCTTTACAATCCGTCTTTTACAGAATTTTCTAATCACAGTTATCATCCACTAAAATTTGTAGTTATAAAACGAGGAAAACATTTATTAAATGTATCAAAGTACTTATCAGTCACCGTATCTAAGCCATCTCGAGTCAATGGTAGATACATAAACACCAATTGAACATTGCATAATTTCAATACTTACCTTTCCTACATTGTTATGCAAGTTTGATTTTAATTAGATAATAGTATCAGAGGTAGTACTCAATGCAATTCATTCTAAAAGTAGGCTTTTTATTTCAAATTAATAAAATTATTGTTGTAGTCGATCAGAGGTAATGTTTTAAACTAGTAGAATTGTTCTACAGTTACTTAAATAATTGTATGACTTGCGCATCTATTCCCATCGATCCGTACCAGATTTTCGCCGCGTGAAAAATCCCGCTTTTCTCAAAGAAAAACTAATCAAACCGCCGGTACTAAACAGAATCCGCTCGGGCTGTCCAGCACCGGTACCGGTACCAGTACCATCGACGAGCTTCGATTTGAACACACCAAAAAAAAACCACGATGGTGGGAGACTTGTGTGTACAAAACGCCACAATCGACTGTCGTTCGAACTATTTTGATTCGGTAACATAACATATACGCAGATTCGTTAACCGTTGTACAGAGTGTTACCGGCAAACTGGGCCGATGAGAAAGTGATCGAAAGTCGCGAGGCGTACTAAACCGTACGCGAATCGGTGGTTTTTGAATTGCATTTAAATTTAAGTCCATCAACTCGATCTTCTGATCACTTCGAAAGGTAAGATTTTTAGGGCGAAATCCTGCTTTGATTAATTAGAATTGAATAGTTGTCTTTGAATAAAACAATTTTCTTTCTTACAAAGCTTCTTTTTTGTAAATATTTTAGAGAATTAAAGCGCATTTATTGCTAACGTGAATTAATTGTATTGCAAAGAAATGAACGCATCACATTATCAATTCTATTACATAGAATTATAAACGTTTGCATTTGTAGGTCGTCAATTTAATGTGGCATTTGATTATATTTTTCACGACTTGTTCGATAATTAAATAAAATCATCGATAATTGGCATTACGGCTAAACACGCCGTCAACAGGAGGGAATTTCTTAGATATGGGCAAATATTTTTCGGAAAACTCATTCGAAATTTACAACAGCTGATTTTCGACTGTATATTTTTATAATTATTAATTGTTTTATTACTTGCAGCTATTCCTGTGGAATTGTACAAATCTAAATAAATAAATAAATTATTTTTTCTCGTTATTAATAAATTCAATTAGCTGGAATGATTATAGTTTCTATACTGGTTGAAAATCTCGCATCGATAAAAAATAGTTTCTATATAATAATAAAGAGCATTTAGATAATTTTATGAGGAATTTACGAGTAATGGGCGATAAAAGGTAGGAGATGGCCCGTTTGGAATTCAATCGAAACAATCTAATTACTTTAGCATCGAACGGGAATAAATTTAAATAACCAACGCCTCGGATAGATTTTTTATTCGTTTTCGGTGCAATTTTCACTTTCGAATGCACATCGAAAGTGAAATTAACCTTATAGTTTACTTTAAAAATTTTTAGTTATAGAAAGCTGTTTTTAAGCAAATTCGTTATGATACTTTCATGTGAAATTGATGTATTGATTCGTTTCGATGCTAATAAAATAATAAAACAACAAACAATCTTACTAGTTAATACATATTCTCATTATAATTACATGTTAAATATATCTAATTTTACACTAATCATTGTATGAGATAAAGTTTATTGTAAACTGTAAACCCTGAAATGCCGGCCTTTGCTTCTGCAATTATTATTACTAGGTCATATTTCAATGCGTTTAAATGCATAACATAATAATATTTAGAAGCTTTTTGAATAATAATAAAAAAACTGGTTAATTATAATTACAAACGAAGCTTCGGCTCATCAAGAAATTGACGGTGAACCTTGAAGAGAACTATTAATAATCAACATGCGGAAAAATGGCAAACTTCGAGCGATTAAATAATTATCGAAAATTATCGAAATCCGCCAAAGGATTAGCTAGTTAAATTGTCCTTACTCGGACGACACTAATTACCCAAAGGATATTCATCAGAAAGGATAAAAACGATTTCGATTCGCCGTTATTCAGCGCGCATTGGATCAGTTAATTTACAATACGCCGATCCATTGTAAATTTCAATAACGTTTTGAATTACCTAGCGCTTAATCGATTTCGTTTAAATACACAAAACTCGGTAAATTCGACGTTAATTGATAAAACAATTTCATTTTAGGAAATTAATTTCCCAACGTGTGTACAGGCGACGCGTAAAATATATCGATTCGCAGTTTCCCGAAATCGCCTATTGAATCTTTATTAACGGAATTAATCATGCGCGATTAATGACTGTACGTATTTAATAAACGGAAGTTTATGACCCGAGTTATTTGCATAAATCGTCCTCGTGAACTATAAACCGACCTAATGCCACCTTGCTCGATGGAATTCTCTGTCATCGGTACATTCGCGGAATATTAAATTCGCTACATCCGCTTCCGAAATCTATCAATCAACTGTGCGCAGTTTTGCATATTGGATTAATTCATTATTCAATGCTGTTTTATGAATCGATTCAACCCCATGTCACATGGGTTTCGAAAAGAATTGGTTTGTTCTATTAGCGCATTTTCAGTCCATCAAATGGTGAAATTCACGAGAAAATCCTATAAAAGCTCCACTCGACACTGATTGACTACGCAAACCTAATGTCTATTTTTTAAAAAATAACTAGACATTTAATAAAATAGTCAATGGCCTGTCAAACAAGCGGCAATTAGGTAACCCAACGGAGCGGAATTAAAAAAATATTTAGTATTTTTATCATTTCATTCCAGCTAAATTAATACTAGTAGGTAATTTACGTTGCTGATGTATACGCAAAAATCGAGGAATAATAGTTCCAATTTAACAGGAATGTAATAATGACGAGATATTATCGTCCTTGGCAATGAAATACCTAATTTTCGAATCAATAGACATTATTTAACAACCTTTTGTGCAATTAATTTTGTTTATTTCAACGTTAATCGAATAATAGGACGCGCCTTTAAACGGGTCGCATGTAATCCGATTCGAAATAGGTATTATTTGATTTATTGGCGACCAATCAATCCGTTTTGTAAACGAATCCGAATCCTTTTTTTTCCTACATTTTGTGGTCGAATTAACTGTTACAGCATTGCACTTACACCAAGGACTTCGCTTAGAGAGCGTTAATTTTCCCCATTATCGCAACCTTGATTTTATGATTATTATCTAATACAGCAAGAAAAAAAATGTCATTAAAAATACTATAAAAAAACTTATTATACTCTAATTAAACGAATGGTTTATTGGAATTTAAATTGTACGTATTTTTAATGCAATAATGCATCATCAATACTACTTAAATTGCGTATATATGCAAAATTAATTATATAATATTATTATATAACTCGAATAAATGCTTGACTGGTACTAATTTTTCGCACATTATAATATCGTTTAAAAAAGTAACGAGTTTTCCTCGGAAACACATCATCCGAGTAAAAAACCCAAACAAATTCTAGCAGCAATGTTTAAATCATTTTTTCCTCCCAGGTCCTCCGCAAAACCAGAAGATCAAAAATGGCCCTGGCGGCTGCCAACAAACCAACCGACCCCGAGAAGAAGCCCTCCAAAGAAAAAGAGGCCCACTCGGGCTCCAATCCCCTCAACATCGACGCGACGACGTGGAAGGGCCGCTACAAATTCTTCATAGAAAACATCACGGTGGAGCCCATGCTGGCCTGCTACATCGTCCCCAGCGTGCTGGCCAGCCTGGCCACCCAGAACCTCAACCTGGAGAAGGCCTGCCGGGTGAACCTGGGCTACTCGACGGAGGTCTGCGACGCCCTAACGGAGAGACGAACGGCGAATTACACTCTGGAGGAACGGGAGGTGCAGCAACTGGTCGCCTCGATGGGCGTTTGGAAGACCATGCTGCAGAGCGCCCTGCCGGCGTTCCTCATCATGTTCATCGGCTCCTGGAGCGACAGATGGGGCAAGCGGAAACCCTGCATGCTGTTCCCCATCGTCGGGGAGTTCATGACGGTGGTGGGCCTGATGATCTGCACGTTCTTCTTCTACGAGCTGCCGATGGAAGTGGCCGGTTTCATCGAGGGTTTCTTCCCCGCCATAACGGGCGGCTGGTTCACCATGTTCATGGGGATATTCAGTTACATAGCGGACGTGACCACGCTGGACGTGAGGACATTGCGGATCGGTATCGTTAACGTGTTCTGCTCGTTGGGCATCCCCATCGGGCTGGCGCTGAGCGGGATCTTGTACAAAAAGATCGGGTTCTACGGGGTGTTTTCCATATCGGCGGTTATGTATATTATAGCGCTGTATTACGGTTACAAGTCTATTAAGGAGCCGAAGAAATTGGACACGCCGACGCTTCCGGACCAACCGTGCGCTTTTATTAGAGACTTTTTCGACGTCAGGCATCTGCTGGATACTTTCAGAGTGGCCTTCAAGAAAGGCGAGAACAAACGCAGGAAAAAGGTCATGCTGCTCATGCTTGTTGTTATGGTTGTTATTGGACCAATGCACGGTAAATTATTAGTAATAATTAGTATACGCAATTTAATTGCACAAAGTAAATGAACCTATTCAATGACAAAGGTAGTTAATGTTATACATATTGCTATAAAAAGCTCAAGTTATTTTTCGTTATCCAATATGTAAGTGGAATGGTTTGTTTCTTTATTTATCGTTTAATGGTAATCAGTAGAATTGTCGATTTAATTAAGGTTTTTTTCATTAGATTTTTGAAAAAAAAACGAAAAAGAATTTTTAAATTGATATGATTGTTTACTAAAGGTATGTGTAATAATTATTCGACAAGCGTTTGGGATTTATTGCGACTCTCATTAAAAACACCAATTAGATTATCGTAAATAATGCACAAAAATTTTACCTTCACTTGAATAACTTCAAATGAACTGCGAATACCACAAAATAAACGACTGATGATTTTGTAAAAAAAATACTTTCAGGTGAAATGAGCGTGGGATATTTATTTACTCGCTACAGATTTAATTGGGACGAGGTGGATTTCAGTATTTTTTCCACCTACAGTATGGTAACCAATTTAATAGGTAAGAATAAACAAACACCATGAACTCATTCGTGATAATTTTTATAATTTCCAGGTACGTCGTTTTCAGTAGGAGTTTTCAGCCACATTTTGAAATTCGACGATGCTATCATCGGAATCTACTCGTCTATGAGCAAAATCCTATCCAGTTTCGTCTACGGATTCGCCACTACATCTCTCGTTTTTTATTTAGGTAACTTCTCCCAATTAACACAAATTCCTCTTACTACACAACAGCCCTTTTATTCCAGGTGCAATCGTGGAAATTTTAAACGGCACATCCTTCATCGCAATGAGATCGATCGCTTCCAAGCTAGTCCCTACAGACGAACTAGGTAAAATGTCACACATTCATCAGCTATTTCAACCGGTACAAACCACCTACTGACGCGTCTTTTAGGTAAGGTGAACTCTCTATTCGGAGTATGCGAAGCCCTGATGCCCCTTTTGTACGGGCCCATGTACAACGCCACCTACGCGGCGACCCTGCAGGTGATGCCGGGGGCCTTCTACATCCTCGGCGGCGTCCTCACGATCCCCGCCGTCGTCATATTCGGGTATAATAACTCTCAGACCGAGCGAAGGATCGATTTAAACAGCGTAATATCGTGTTATTTTAGGTGGATGTACGTCCAAAACCGCAAAATGGCCAAGGCGAAACCGGCGCAAGACGGGGAAAAACCGGCCGCCGGTGACGCTTCACCTGCATTGAACGGCTTCAGGAAAACCGCCGGCGATTCGAACGACAAGAAGAGTTGCTATCAAAACGGCGTGATTAATCCCGCTTTCGACGGTAAATTGAAAACTAATAGCGAAGAGGGAAACGCGGCGGAAGGTAGAGAGAATGTTATCAACAAGAACGCCGATACTCGCATCGATGTTATAGAAAACGGTATTTACTATATCAAAGAGAACGGCGTCAACAACATGGCGTTTAAAACTGAAGAACAGTAAATCGACGGGGCTGGCTCGCTGAATTTGTGGCAATTAATCGGTAGTTGTTTAAGTTTTAAAAGAATGATCTCAAATTAGGATCGGTTGAATTAGCGAATTACGTCTTTGTATAAGTGGAATTTCTTTCAAAGCTTCTCTTTGGGACAATAATTTTTTCGATGCTCGTTCAGTTAACGAGGCCTAAATGCACGAGGTGCGTTGCAAACTTAAAATAGATCTACCTAAAATTCCTATATATAAAGATAAGTAAATAATTGCAATAATTGAAGTGCCTTCTTAAAAATACGTAATTTTTAAAACCAGCAATCAATTTTTATATAGGTAATGTTGAGAATTTTTATCGCGAACAATATTGTAGTAGTATTACTAAACTGTGTTATAATGAAGTACAGTTCGATGGGAATGGCAGAAGGGAATGTGCCAATTCGATGATTACTTATAAAAAAATGAGAGTCCTATTAATTGGAATAATTGGATCAATTGGAACGTAGATTTGTTGAAACTGAAATAGTTTAGCTATTTCTATCGAACTGTATGCGACAATATTTGTTAGTATAAAATGTGATTTTATCTGTAGATAATATAATTTTTAAATTTTTGTTCTTGTTTGAATACTTTACTCTACCTATTTTTCCTACTAAAATAATTTAATGGAGTAATTCTCAATTACTGGAAAAGCCATCATTTCGTATTCGAATTTCATTTTAGTATACCAACCGAAGGAATAGATGCAGAAAATTGATAACGATTATAAAATCAGGTAAATATTCAATAAGTAAAACGCGGATCTGGCGGGTTGCTATCTAGAGAAACATTTCGTACGTTTCATCAATTTTCCCCGAATCAAAATTGGCTTAAACGCCAGAATGGTGCCTCTGGTGACGCTACGCTTTCGAAACTATCTCGGCACTAAAGTCGCAAGCGAACTCCGGGTATAGTCGCAGATAAGCGTTCCGAGTCGTAAAGTGTCTGACGAAAAACCGTTTTTCCGACGAAGAAAATGGCGGCGCTGCATAAAAATGCAGTTGCCAGAAATTGCGCGCCAGTAAGAGTAACACCGCCAGAGAGGAATTCAGACACCGAATTGGATATTTTTATTGTTTCCAATAGTTCCATCACCTTTTTTTGTTCCGCATTTCGCCCGGCGTCTCTTTTGTACGTTTTTCGCCTCCTAAAACCCACCTAAATAACGCCGGCGAATTTTGCAATTCAAATCCTTTCCTTCCCTACACTACACGCCACACTCTAATCACCCCCTTAATAAGATTTCTACCTCATATTTCCTATAATAGTTTATCTAAACAAAATGTAACTAAAATTGTAACAACCTGTAGCTCGAAAACTAAGAGGTTTAGGACATAAATTGATATAAACTTTTCTTCTTAAAATCATCCTAAAATATCGGCATTCGATTAATTAACACCCTATATATTTAGAGAGCTCGGGCTGGGATGGAATAATTTCCGCAGGCCCTCGCTCACGGGGAATATTGAGAGTGAAATGTGTCAGCGAAATTTAGCATGCACTCGCGAATAATTAATTCAGATCCTCGAAGATTTGAGCGTTTGAATTATTTGAATATACAATGCAAGAGCACGGTAAAATTTGCGATAGAAATGCGATCGGATAGTTTTCGCGGAATAGGATTCGAAAGCGGTCGTTGTTTCGTTTGATTTTCGAAATTTGTTGGGCATATACCCGGATGTTTAAACGGGAACTTCTTACAGGAATTACGTCGGAAATGGAGAAACTAAATTAGGATGCATCAAATGAACTGACGCGTATATCCCTAAGGTACACATTCCGACGCGCCAATAATAATGTAAGTTTCACTCGGAACCTGCTCCGAGTTTAATATCAAAAGTTACATCATTTTCGAAGCGCCGGAGCGGGAATTTAAATGCGGTTAGAACTGCAGATATTCCAGCGGGATTCTCTAATTATCCTGTCAAATTAGTAAAAATATTTAAAGAACGGTATGTGTTTTTTTGCAAGAAATTGACTTGTTTTCTAAAACGAAAAAGGTCAAAATTGCCAAAAAAGGAGAAAGTCTTAAGAACTTTACATCCCTGTAGAATTGTAGATGAAAAAAAAAAGATGGATTTTGGTTGTAATATAAGAGCTTAATGGTGGTTCCGGGAAGGAAATTTTAAAAAATTGCAAATTTACCCAAAATAAATTTATTCTACCTCGAAGGCGGAATTCTGGATAAAAAGTATTAAAATTAGCGTAAAAAATTAGCCGGCTTAGTTATTTATTAATTCGGGTGGGCCCCGCGAAGCGCCGAAAAGAACGCCGAACGGGGCCCTGATGCTTCTCTCACGCCCGAACCCGCGTTGAAATTGGATAGTAATTACCATGGATGAATTGCAAATAGCACCCGACCGTTAAACGCGGGCCCGGAAAAGCCGCAAGAGCATCATGATGGTAAGCATCGGTCCCCCAATTATGCAAAACTCCCATAGTTATTAGATTATAATTAAGGAAACGCATTGCAATAATGGCGATATAGCCCGATGCGAACGACAAAAAGACACATACGTACCGGCCTTTGTTACACGCTAACGAGTTTCTAACAAGGAGCCAAGAAGACTTTGAAGTCGAGTTAGGCAAGAGGCAACCAACCCGTCGCAACTCCCTTGTGTCGGGATTTCTCTTGCTCTCTCTTACTCCCGGCACGGCCGTAATTCCGTGGATTTACTTGCCGCGGGTTTCCTCGAAATATTGATGAACAATCAAAAGTTAGTCAATTTGTGCGGATAAATTAAATTAGGAACTTTGTTTTCGCTCTTTTTTTTTCTTCTCTCTAATGGAAGTTTTGTGCAAGTTTTCCTCTCATCTTTTGACGAGTTTTGTAGCTGCATAATATCATCACATTTATAAACACCTCATTAATTGGTACACATCACTACACAACCACATACTTTTTTATTAAAAATAAATTTTCAAAATTCATATACCGTTATGATTATTTGCGTATAGCGAAATATGTATGCGGGATGGGAAATTTTATTATTCCTGCACGTTATACACAAAAGAGTCCCGGCCTTAAATGTATATAAATATTTAATCGACCTTCGCGAACGTTTCGTCCCTTTATTAATATTTATTTACGAATAAATATACGTTCGCCATCTCGGGCGGAAAGTAAAAGCTTCGAGTGATTTGGATTTGATCTTACAAACGGCAGGAACAAAAATCAAATTCGAGAGCATTAATAAATATTTATGAGCGCATTCAACGTAGAATTGTCTAAATATTTCGCATTTTGTAATTCGCATCAATCAATCGAGTACTGCATATAAAACTTCCTCCCCGGGTTTCCTCAAATTGTTATCATCGCCCGCATAAATCTCCACCGAACAACTAATTTTGTCTCCTTCGGCCGATAAATTACTTTTTCCTATATCTATATATACATCCATAGTGGAAAGCCATTTGAATTTCCCGTGGATTCGCAGCCAATCTAATTGGCGTCTTCCCGGATTGCGATTTATTGCTTCTGGAATTAAATTTTAAATTCAAAGTCGGCGGTATACAAAATGTATCCTGTGTATTGTATATGCACTCCGGTCGAAATGAACTCCGCGGGGAATCACCAGAGTTGATTACTACACTTTTCCTGCGACTTGCTCGCGTTAAAGGTTAACAATGTCATTCGTTTCGATGAATAATCGAGCTTAACGAGAACACCGATTACAAATCACATAATTGGAGGTTCATTAAATTCGAAGAGAAAGCGAGTCCACCCCAAACTTCCGCCGGATTTCGTCAAAGTTTGTCCAATTATTTTCGTTTAATAGGATAAGATACAAAGCAAACAACTTTAAAACGGGGAAAACTTATAAATGCCCATATAAAATATCAATTTCGTAATCGAATTACAAAAGAAAAAGGGACGCGTCGAAAAGGGGCGCCTCTCATTAGACGCGAGACGGGCGGTTTTATTTCGAGAGGGATTTTCAGAAACAAAACGTCAATGCCGAATTTATAGACAGATTAAGTACGTTTGATTAATTTTATTGGGGGTTGTTTTTCCGGTCTTTTCCTACCCCCGCTACAAACCAAAAAACTTCCTTTAATTTACAACCATTGGTGTATATGTATATATTTTTTTTCTTCTATAGGTAATATAAACAAATATCATTCAGAATTGTTATTAGATTATTTTTTTGTCAGTGAATATATCATGAATGGTCGTTAATAGAGCGGCGATTGGGCGATTGGGCGGCGCATAGATCGGAAAACATGGTGTAGGAAAATTAACGAGATTAAAATTTCGTCGGGCATTTACATAATCGTCGTTCGAACGACGCCATTACGCCACTGATTCGCGAAAAGCGAGCACGCATAAAGTCGGTCTTCTGTTTCTCCTGATAGGCGATTATTCGCGAAATTAATGGGACGGAATTGTTTTTGTCTGTTCGAGATTTATTCAGTTGGGAATTTCGGTGCCCGAAAATTAAGATAATAAAACGGAATTCCGCTATACGCCTTCGACGGCAAAAAGAATCTGCATTTTTTTTTTGTTCGAAACATCAATACTCAATACCTCGATGTTGATGGTTTATTCCAGCAATTCGAAGAAATTAATGTGTACCACCTTGAGGCATTTTGAAACAGTATTTGATATTGCACCTAAAGATGAAAAATTTAAATTATATTCCTCATTTATCGCAGAATCTACTAGATACAATCAATATTGCACGATGGAATATGCTTATACAGGATTGACCATCAGCACAGGATGCTAAGAAAAATTTTAAAACTCTATATTTCACTTTAGATTAGTTTAAAATGTCTACTACTGTTACCAGCAGGTTAATAACCGGTTCACTCTACCTTTACTGAGTCGAATCGAGAGAATTTGCTTTAGCTTTGCTAGTCACAGCAGGATATCGAGCAATTACAGGTGCGTTTTAGATGCGAATTCGAAGCGAGCACGTGCCGCTTTCGACAGCTTCCCACGTGTCATTTCTAATTAGACGCAAACGGGGACCGAAAAGGGTTAGAAGGGCGTGGATGGGCCGGAAAGTAGCGGGTAATTCCGCCGATAGGGGGGCGGTCTTCAATCACACGACGATTACACCTAACACAACATCGATCGAATTTACAGAATCAAGGCGAATTTGGAGAATTTCGAAAATTTCTAGCCGCCCGAGTAGAAGACTTTAGGGCGCTCTCATCGTGACGTATGGCGAAGGGATGACTTGACGAAAATTTCCCGGGTACATACCGGCCAATAAAACAGATTAGGTCGAGGATTAGATTACGATCAATCATGCGGTTCTTGTGCGATTAAGCGGGAAACGTTCCTCGGGAATGCCGATCGGAGTTTTCGGTTATTGATGTCCGTTCTTGTAGAAGAAAGGGTGGCCGGAACGTCCGGGATCTCCCGTCGGTATTATCGATTCAACTCGTCGCGAATCGTCGCAAAACTTTGAAGTGTTAATGAAAAAAAAAAAGCTGCGTTAATCGACTGTCCTGTTCGCAGAGATTAGGCCCGGAATAGTGCGATTAGGCGAACCGATAAGAGCCCCGAAACTTACGCAGCGCGT